TTATTTTCCATATTATTATGCATTATTTTTAATTGTTCCCCACAAACCTCACCTCCTAGCCTGGGTTGACTCATGCACCCTGGATGTGGAGAGTTGTAACTCTAAAATGAATCCAAACCCCTTAGGCACAACCGCTTCAACACCAAGTATGGGGTGAATTTTTTTAGAGCAAAGGAAAAACATTAAGTGAGAATTTTGCTCACTAAGAAAGATTTCTGTATTTTAAATTTTGAAGTCCGATTTTTTTTTTATCAAAAACCTACTGTGCTATCCGGAAGCTGGACAGAAACAAAATCATTTTGTTTCAATTTTGTTTTCAATTTTGCTCTGAACACCCAGAAATGATCATCAAATTCGACATTTTTAAACAAGGATTAATAGAAATTCTCAACAACAAAAAAAAGATTCATGCCAATATAAATAATGTGCGCCGCGCTAGGGGGCCGTCATCAACAATACTTGTCAATAGCAGCACTGGTTAATACAGTCACACCATGGCCAGTGTTGTATAGGCAGTATGAATGCGTTTGCGGAACCGGCCAAACGACCAGCAGTTACTCTGGTGGGTATAGAAAAAAAATTCAAAGACTTCAAATCTTATATTTGTATGGTGGAATAATGAATAATTTCCGAACAAGTTGCATCTATCGCCATGATTTAATTCCCCTGAACAATCGTGTAGCAGGCCGACAAACATGAAATCATGCTTCCGTGCGCGGCGTTCCATTTCGGCAGTTCGTTAACGGCAAGTGACGGTCGTAGGGGATTTATTTTTAAATGTAAGTGAGTATCCTAAAACTAAAACCATTTTTGAAAAGTAGATTGAATAACCTTTCCATCAGTACTAAAGTTTAAGTCCTTGGCGTTTTCGTCTTCCTGAAAACAATAGCTAGTTTACCGAAATTGCGGAACTGGTCAACTTTGCGGAACCGGTCAATTGACTGTATTAGATCGCGCACAACATAACATTATGAATCCCGGGACATACCGTTATTTCGTTTTTCAAAAAAAAACCGGAAACGAGCCATTGACCGTTTTGTCGTTTTACAGTTTTGTAAAGGTAACGGTATTAAGTCACAAAAAGCATATACCTTGTTATTGTTTTTGTAAATTGTAAAAAGCGATAAACGGTTAGTTGCTTTATTTTTTAGAGTGTTGTTTTACAAAAACATGACAATGTCAAAACGGTCAATAGTCTTGTCGACCATTTTTTTTATTCAGGTTTAAGTTGGCAATTATAGCAATGCATCTTGGAATGTTAATGTGTCCTTGGGACGGGGATCCACTGCCTGTGAAATTGCCTTCCTTACATTTATGTCGTTCTAGTTCTCACGACAGAATTTGAGAATATTGGCTATTAAAGAGCCGCGCTGGACTCCAATTTCCTTCAACATATCTGCAACTTCTTCATACGACCATCCAGGCGCGGATCCAGACGGGGGTACACCCGGCCCGTGCCCCCCCTTTTCGCAACTGTTTTTTTTTTTTTTTACGAGTCGTCTTAGGGCTGGCGGGCATTAAATACATTCCTTTGAGAACATGGCTGTCTTTTTCGTTTTTGAGGAGTCATTATGGCGGGCGGACGGGCGGTTATCAAATCAATCGCTTTGAACATAACTATCATACATAATTATAAACAAAAATATACAATGTATAAGTTTTGAAGGTAGCCTGTCAATCATTGTCTCAAAATTTATTTCAAAGCAAGAATATATTTTTATAAGACACTTTTATTTCCCGGCTGGAATTGGGGGCACATTTAATACAGCACTTGCATTTAATGCTTCATGTCAAAATATATTCCAAAATATATTCTAGAGTAGAACATGTACCGGTACACGAAATAATGTAGGCCATGTGGTTTTTTTTAAATAAATGAAGAATAAAATCGTCATCCCCTTTTTTTATTTTCCCGACCTCAGAGAGAGATTTACGTCTGGTTCTCTAAATATTTTTTTAAAAGCAAAATGATTAAAAAAAACCTAGCCCGTTAAAGTTTGCACTCTAAGTGAATTCTTTTGTAGATTCGAATTATGCTCGGTTTTCTTATTTTTAAATGAATATATCAGGATTAACAACATCCCTCAAATAATAGCGTCAAAATATATTCCAAAATATATTCTAGAGTAAATAATGTAAGCCATGCGTTTAATTTTTTAAATACACGAAGAATTAATCGTCATCCCTTTTATATTGTCCCGGCCTCAGATAGAGAGAGACATCAAATAAATAGGGGTTATTTTAATACGATTTAGTATGTCTTGTTCTCTCGATTTATTTTTAAAGTAAAACGATTTCAAACACCCTAGCCCATTAAGTTCTGAACTCTCAGTTAATTCTTTTGTAGATTCCAGGGGAAATTTTAATACGAATTATGCTTAGTTTTTCCTAATTTTAAAAGGAATACGGAGAAGATCATCAACAGCCCTTTGACTTCAAACTTAATTTCAAAATGTATTCCGAAATAATTATATTCTAGAGTAACATTTACAACACTTGCAGAATGCAGACAATTCATTTCGTCTTAAATTATTTAGCCTGCAGACTTCAAAAGAACATGGAAAAAATGGTGGTTAAAGTGTATGCAAGTGTATATACAAATTAAGTATATATGACCGCAGTTACCACACATTATACTGGGACTCAAAAGTGAAGCCAATCACATCCGCGCGAGCTCGATTTACACCATAAACAAACCCACACACACAGGAACACACAAACGGGATGATAATGGAGAAAATACGAATTGAACTAAAATCACCAATTACATTACATGGTAAAAGAAAGAAAATACCAGGAGAGGGGCAAAACTAAAAGGATATTATTAATGATGATGGAAGCAAAAAAAAAAAACCCAAAAAATGAAACGACAATAACATCAACCAAAATGGGGTGGGGTGGGGGTAGGGGCTGCTTGGGGCCAAGGGCGGATCCGGGGGGGGGGGGCAAAGGGTGCCATGGCCCCCCCCAAACGAAAGCAAGGTTTTTTTTTATATGACATCGCAAAAAAGGCAGGCAATGAGTACACCACCATCTTTTCCTCAAAAAAACATTGGTTAAAGTGGTCAGAAATTGCCTCAGATCGCACCACAGAGCATCTAGAATTCAAAAAATTTTCGGGGCCCTTAAGCGGGCCCCGAACCCCACGCCGTAATTTTTTGACCCACTTTTTTGGAGGACCAAATTTGTTTTTGGCCCCCCCCCCCCAAAAAAAATTGTGTTCTGGATCCGCCCTTGCTTGGGGCAGGCTGTCCCTTAATGAAATTCAATTTATTTTATTTTCTTTGTTTGCAAGGCAAATTTCTGGGTAGAAATGTATGTTTTAATAGCAAACATGACTTTTTTTGGATCGCTCGCTCCGCTCGCTCGCAAAATAACACATTTCACATTTTTTTTTTCACCCGGGGCTGTCATCAGCACCTTCTAATTTTGGGGTTCCTTTTCAGCTAACATCAACAGTGACTTTAAATTCTATATTTGATAGAAAAAAAAAAGTATTATTAAAATTAAAAAATAAACATTGTGAATTTTGCTCTTAATGGCTTAAAATACTCATGAGGTAGGAGAGAACATCTAAAATCGTAGAGCTTCCAGTGCCCTCAACCCTGCCTGCAAGGGATTTCGCGCTTCAGTCTCGTTATGTGTGCAACGCGCACAAAGTTTTTGTGCCCCCCCTTTTTGAAAATCCTGGATCCGCCCCTGCGACCATCCTGTATCCATTGTGAAATGTCCCCCTTGAAATTTTTTTTAGCGCCATATTTGTTTGCAACTCTTCAAGCCGGCCCCACCAACTGAATCGCAGTAGATGGGGTCAGGGTCACGCCAGGAATCACACCACGCACGAATTATTATGCCGAGGTAACACTTCTTCGTGCACGGCATATGGTCCCCTATAGTCCACCCCGGCCGGCCTTGCCCACCAAAAGTACCCGGCCACAAAATGCATTACGGACTGTTAACTATGACACTGAAGTAAAAGGAAAAAAAACAGTCTGTATTGAATACTGACCGTTTTGCTGTTTTTCAAAGTTATTTGTGTAAAACTGTAAAACAAAAATCATTGATCGTTACGCTGTTGATGAAAGTTATGAAACTGATAAAACGGAATAACTGTATTTATCTTAATACCGTTTGACCGTTTTACAAAACTGTAAAACAACAAAACGGTCAATGGCTCGTTTACTGTTTTGTTTTTGAGGAAATACAAAACGCCGTAAAACGAAATAACGGTATGTCCCGGAATTATTATGTACCCCGTATACCGTACGCGTTATGCGTGGGAATTGGAACCGTACAGTCGCCCACACACCACACTCAACACGTGTGCTTGGGCCGCCCATTTGGAAGCACGTCCATTTTATCGAAAATAGGGGTGTTGGATTTACAAAGTAGGTGGGTAACTTTTAAGTGCTCAGCCCATCCATTCCATAATTGTTTTGTGTTTTCACTTCATCAAAGGTTTATTTATTAAGTTTTACATTATAAATATTTATAAACTAATTTATAAACTGATCTCAACCGAAATTATTATTTCATTTTATTCACTTAACGGCGGTGCACGTCTGAATGACGATCCTGCCAGTAACCTTGATCATAATGGAACGTGCTACATGTCGTTGATGAAAAGAAAATTAACATTTATAAATATTCATAACACATTGATTGACATTACACTTCACCGCATTAACCAATAACCGCGAAGTTCAGGAACGATGAATATTTATTTTCATAAAATTTACATGCGCCATAAACAGCGTGTTCGATTACTCACTCGAGTAACTGCGATGTTTACAAAATCCTTGCGATGATTATGGGTGGATTTTACGTGGGTATTCGACTTACTTTTGTTGATTTTTTTTGCAACAAAATCGTTCAAACATCGGGATGACAAGTTAAGAAATCAAGTATATAAAATTTGGACTGACAAGATTTTACTGTTGGCTTTTATGTAGACAAAAACTGGAGTAGACAATAAAGCTTACAAATTTACCCAGGAGCGCAACTATTCGCGCGCCAGAAACCGTGTTAAGGAGCGCGATCGCGCTCGCGCTCCTTAAAAATTTTTCAGATGATGACTATCCATCGCAACCTGTAAAAAAGAGGATAGGCTGCTTTATAACTTTGCGTCGGATTTATCGCACAAGCAAGATTTTTTTCAAAGTACCGTTACTCGAGATATTTTGATATATCTCTTATGATATAAAAATTGAAAAAAAAAACCCGCTTAGTCACTATAACGATGATGTCATAAGGGAAGTGACACTTCCCCTCGTCTTAATATAACGATGATGTCATAAATACACTGCAATGTGCTTTTCTATATGTTGTGTATAAATGGTAGATTTACAAAATGTTTTGTTAAAGTAACATGTTTTTAAATAAATTTCAAACTTGTTTATTTATTTATAAGTGACTGTAGACTCGCGCACCAGTCGCTGTGAGTCTGTGTTGTGTAAATATGAAGAGCCTGGCCTGATTTCGAGACTGAGATATTGAGAGGGGGATATATTGGGAGAGGGGCGGGAAATCATTGGGGAGGTATTTTTTTGCCGCGGGGGATTTTGATTAGATTTTTTCTAAAAATTGGGATCGGGAGATTTTGATCAGATTTTTTTCTAAAATTGGGATCGGGGGATTTTGATTAGATTTTTTCTAAAAATTTGACGCTGGGGATTTTTAGAAACGAGAGCGACGTGTTCAGGCTTGCCACAGATTTTCCATTTTGATCTGGTACCCCCACTATCACTACTACTCGCTGACCACCTGCATGTAATAGTGACATTTTGTGGGATGGTTCCACCATTTTCTAAAGAGGAGAGATTATCTTGTCTTCAGCATGCCCCGGGGAATATCGATACATTCACACCATGACAGGGAATAATCAGAACCCACAGGAAAGATTCTAACAACAGAGTGTTCAGATTGTGTCCACTGTGTCTCATTCTTTCCAGCTCGTACTTGAACCTTTTCTCCAGCAAGCATGGCTGAAGGGGCACAGACAACCACCAACAAACACAGGCAATTTGTATCTGAACCCATGCGGGACAAAGCAGTGACGGAACTGGGTGGAATCGGCCCGGCATCTGGTGAGAAGTTAGGAGAGGCCGGATTTGAAAAGGTGAGATAACTACAACACCTTTGATTATGGATCAGTAACAGTGAAGGAACAAAAGGCTACTCATTCCGAACACAGCCTCAGAATCTCTCAAGGCAGAGATATAAGAGTCTGAATACCAGCTGGTGTCTCATTGACTGATTGGCCTGTGAAGCAGTGTTGTAGTCGAGTACTTTTTGCCGAGTGCTGAGTACTGCCGAGTACCTATAGGTTGCCGAGTACGAGTACCAGTATTTGTGCTTCCGGGTACAAGAACAAGTCTCCGAGTTACTTGAACGTCCAAGTACAAGTACTTGTAGTTGTACTACCGAGTATGAGTACTTGTATTTTGAGTACGAGTACAAGTATGAGCACGAGTATTACCAAATACGACACCAGGTACATTGTGCTGGAATTAAGCCTTAAATGATATGTACTGTTAATCACTTGTGATTAACTGCTTTTTCAATCTTTTTCAATCTGCTTTTTCAATCTGCTGTTCGAGTATGAGTACCATCATATCGAGTACGAGTACTTTGACATTCAAGTACGAGTACGAGTACTCCAAAAAAAGTACTCGAGTAGCACTTGAGTGCGAGTACCAAATACTACAACACTGCTGTGAAGTAGGGGTCAACTTAATGTGAAAGAAGTACTACTGGAGAACTTTGCTAATAAAACTACAGGGAAAGTTACATTACCAAGGTGATACTGATATAGTAATAAGATTTCAGGACCACTGAAGGTGTTACCTATCCTCATTTATGAGGTCAGATCTCCAGTCTAATTTACCCCTATCCAGGAGAACAAAGTCACCCACCCACTAAGATGGCTGCAGTGCATAAGGTCTACAGCTCCAAATATCAAAATAACTTATCCAACAAGGCTAGGGTAGGCTGTGGACCTGGTACACCTTTCTCAACTGTGAGAAATAGCGAGAGATTATGCTGTCATTGGCCTTTTCTAAAATGCCATCTTAGCATGACATTTATGCACATTCATTGAAAATTTGCTGATAAAGCTCAGCGTCACACATCACAAATCTTGTTCTAAATAGCAAGGGCGTCAATTACTTCTCAGAAGTGGGGGGGGGGGGGGACATACCTTGATCAGCTCTTATGTGAAGCGCAAAGCCCTGACAGCGTGGGGTTCGTGACCCGCTGAAGGGTCGAAAAAATGTTGGATTCTAGATGCTCTGTTGTGCAATCTGAGGCAATTTCTGACCACAAAATGTCATCTTTCGCAAAATGTCATCTTTTAAACATCATTTTCAAGTTTGGAGTCATTTAGTCATGAAGTCATAGCTATTTTGAGCTATAGAATCATTATAGTAGGCTGTAATTTTTATTCGGGGACGAAAAAGCGGGGGGGGGGGGGGGGGGGGGGGGGGGAGGACAAACGATATATCCCCCACTTAAAAAAGTGGGAGGACTTGTCTCTCCCCCCCCCCTCCATCCCCCACTGATTGCACCCATGCTAAATGTGACATGACATGCTGATGACATTCAGAAGCAGCGCGGATGATATCGAGCGTAATGCAGGGCTCAATTATGCATGACTGAACATAAACAATGCTGGGTACAGTCTGCAATCTTGACACAATGCATCCCTCAAAACCAACTGACACCCATTCAGCCTCAATCCTCCAAAATCCTCCATAATCTTCCGGAGGATTAAGGAGGACTGAGGAGGGTTTAGGATAAACTTAATGTGCATGATCTTAAAACAATAATTGTAAAAGTATGACATTGCATTCTTATTTCATGTCCCACTCTAGGCCTACAATGTTCTCGGTCAGTTCCTGGTGCTGAACAAAGACAAACAGCTCTTCACTGATTGGCTGAAGGCAAGGACACCGGCTAATAACAAGTGTGCCAACGATTGCTATAATTGCCTCAAAGATTGGAGTGATGCCTTTGTGTAAGGACACAATACTGGAGAACAAATTACGGCCATGGGGATCAAAAATTTAGACGATTTTTTTATATAATATTTTGTCGCAAATTTAACAAGTGGACACCGTAACTAACGTTAAATAAAATGAGAGATTTAGCTGTTAATCCATTTTAATAGCAGATCAATTGAAAATTTTATGACCACAGTGTCTCACAGTAAGGACCTCAGAGGGAAATTCATCCATTAAACATTATGTTCCTTTCACGATCTTATATGGACCTCTTTCGACAATCTCTGTATCAAAATGTTACATAAGTTACATGTGGACACCACATAGTGGTCATAAAATATGTCCACAGAGTGGTTCTCCTTTCTAAATTCTATGTAATTTGACTACAACTTCAGTAAATGAAAATAAAAAATGGTTAAATGTAAACAATTATTTTGCCCAAATTGAAAATGGCATCTTATTGGCTCCAGTCTTGTAATACAAATTGTATGTAACTAAAGCCTCTGGTTTTAACTCTGTGGACTAGCACACATTAATGAGTGTGCATTGTATTTCCCTGTACACGCGTAGTTTATTATAAATGTGTATAAATTCAACTCAGCATCGCAGAATTGTAAATTTGTCATCATAATTCAATTGCAAGTCATCGCTGTCTCTACTCAATTGACAAGCTATCTCTCACTTTAACTGAAACAAGTGCATTTGTTCATTCTTCATGATGTGTTAAATGCAACTTGCTATGAAATTGGGCTTGTCATTGTCTCATTCACAACACTGCAGTGCGGATGGGGTATGGATTGGACAGAAAATGTCTCTAACGATGTGCCACCTTATGGAACAGTCTTCATGTCACTGTGATTAGGCCACACACACACTCTTGATGATGTGAATGAATGGGGTTCTTTAGATCCTTAAAAACAAACTTCTGTCGCTTCAATATCAATATACCTTAATATCAATTCTCAGTAAATTTGCTCAGCATCCTTATCTGCTTAGAAAGGTCTGTCTGGGATGTCCATGAAATTAAGCATTTTGGCTAAATAACTGGAAACTGCTTACTGCTTATTAAATTCAAACGATAAGCATAAATATGCAGAGAATCTCACAAGCAAAAAAAGCAACTTATTGCTTTGGATTACCTGTTATTGCTAATTAGAACTTCTCTGCGAAAAAGTCACAGAAATAGTCACGCATGAGTCCAGAATGATCACATTTTGCTAAGAATAATTTTCAGTGATCAGCATTTCTTACGAGTTTTCTCCCTGACATTGGTCTGCTGTTGCCACTTATGGAAACTTAATGAGGTACCGATATATAGACGGATTGCATTCAGCAGCCATCTTTGGGGCGTGTTTTGTTATGTTAATTCATTAACAATCAATGCACAAGATGTCTAACTCATGTGTATTCCTGTTCAACAAAAGCACCCACCTTGTACATGGCTGCAGTGCAAACAGCTTTAATATTTGTCGTGAATCACTTTTAATCAGAATTGACATTGTACATAAAAATAGTTATGCTGCGGGGCTTTTCAAGAGGTTGTGGAATGCTCGAAAACATTTCCGTCATTTTTCGGGTATATGTAGCCTAAGAAATGAGTACAAAGGGTACTTTTGAGAGCTGTTTTTCAGGTCCTGTTTCGACCCGAACGTACAATTTGTGTAAAAGTCGTCGTTGGGGGCAGCAAACAAAACATAGTAAATCGTGACGTAATAAACAGGACTCGTTTATGCTACGGGAGTCCTGTTTATTACGTCACGATTTACTATGTTTTGTTTGCTGCCCCCAACGATGACTTTTACACAAATTGCACGTTCGGGTCGAAACAGGACCTGAAAAACAGCTCTCAAAAGTACCTTTTGTACTCATTTAATGACGGACACAATAGTCGTTTTTATTTCATCACACCTTGGGCTACATATACCCGAAAAAAGACGGAAATGTCTTCGAGTATTCCACAACCTCTTTAATAGTCAGTAATATAACAATTTAAAAGGTATGCTTTATATTGCATGTACATGTATATTAACCAAGTTTGAAAAATTCACATTAATCAGAATTGCTTATTGATGAAGGACCACATAGTACAGATGCCAATAAAGTTGTATTTTATCCTCGAAAACAAAATGGTTTGCATCCATCCCAGCTACTTTCAATTTTTGTTTTCATGATATTGCTGTTGATGCTTGTACAATGTTTACAATATCTGTCACTATTGAACAAACCTATAATAAAAACATGGCAAGGAGAGATGGGGGGGGGGCCCTCTTTCAGGGTTTTCTTTACATTTTCTGAGAATTTCTTAAAGGTTTTAGGATTTATATGAAACATATATCTGGACCACCAGTCAAAGAAGACTGTGGAGAGGCCTTGCCGGCTTACTTATTGGGACTTTTTCCTTTCCAAAACGAGTGGGTAGGACAAGGCCGGAGAAAAATAATGGTATTTAAAAAAAAATCAAGAAGTAAAGGCATTTTTAGTCACTGGTTGTTGACATGTTTAAACATTTTTATTACCAAAAATTTAAAAGGTATACATGTACATCAAATGTCACAGAAAACAAAAAAATCTCCATAAATGACGGAGAAAGCAATAACTTTCTATTAAGAGTATCTGTCAAATAATTTGTTCATATGAAAACTGCACTGAAATTGTGACAGTTTAAATGAACTGATAAGGCATTAAGTAACAATCTACTTTGTTTAATTCATGATTGAAAGTACTGTTTGATGCTCCAACAGAAAGATGCGAGGCATACTGGCAAAATGAGACGGAACTGGGCCCAGGCCGTAGTGGAGAAAAATGCAAAAAAACTGAATGGGTTATTTTTTTTTTCTTTGATTTTCAAATTTATTGCGATTTGTTATCTTTGATGTCTACTACACATCTATTAAAATAAAAATAATATAAACATTGTTGAATTGAAGTGTTTTTAAGGCAACACAATTGGCATGTTTCATTTTCACAAATACAAAACTCAAAACTTTACAGACTTTTTCCTCAGTATTTTACTTTATTTCTTGACATGTTGATAAATGCTAATTTGAAACGGCCATAACTTGTCAACAAAATATCCAATTGAAGTGCAACAAACTGTATTGTAAGGAGACTCCATTCTCTTTCCTGCTACCTGCAAACCCTCATTTCAACCTCTGCCCAGTTCTGTCTCATTTTGCCAGAACGCCTCACAAACGGAACAAAAAAGTCCCTAAATAAAACAAAAAATACATTTTTTTGCATGTAGATAAAACATGTACATGTATGGTAGTTATTATAAGCATCATTAAAAGTAACACTACAACAAAAAACTGCTTAAATATCAAATTTTACTGAAATAGAGAATACCCTGATATATATCACAGCTTTATTAGCCGTTTTCTTCAGCACCAATTCACATCAAGTACATGTATTATGCCTATGAATATTCAAAAATATCAGTACATAAAGTCAGTACTGAGCAGACGACAATAAGTTCATTAATTTTTACATTTTTTTTCCTGATTTGAAAGAAAAATTAAGTTCTTAGCAGGAACACATTTGTAGGAGATAAAAGTGACTTGAATAGCTCTGTCCATATGAAGTGATCTTTCCTCATATGAAAAGGAACACACAAAATGTACAAAAAAAACCCAATTTATTGAAATATGTTTCTGATTCATTCATTATTTCAACTTGGTGCAGATTACATGCACTGTATTTAAAAAAAAAAATCAATTCTAAATTTTCACAATTTTCTAAGTGACTGTTCATACAAAGAAGGAAAATAAAATCTATTCTTCAGACCTATGTACAATTTCATGGAGATTATATCCATGAAGATATCTTGATCGTTCAAGTAGAAAAAAAGTTAGATTTTAAATGGAAGCAGATCGTCATAAGAATTTACAAAAGCTATTGCACTCTTGAAAAAAAAATAATTCATGAAGTGTCCTCCATTAATAAATGGTTTCTTATTTTTGTCTTCTGCACCAAAAGAGAGGGTTAGGTGACCGCTGGAACGGACGTTCGAACAGTGATGTAGTGCCTTGATGCTTGGCCTTAAGGCTGCCTTAAGGCTGGACTTTAGGGCCTTGGCCTTGAGGCTTGAGGGCAGTAGCCTTGGCCTTGGCCTTGAGGGTTAGGCCTTGGCCTTGAGGGTTAGGCCTTGGCCTTGAGGGTTAAGCCTTGGCCTTAAGGCTTGAGGGTCAAAGCCTTGGCCTTGAGGGTCAAAGCCTTTGCTCCAACACTGTTCGAACACATTGACGCTGATGCTCGTGCAAAGACCCAACTGGTTTGCACACTTGGAATGGAAGAAGTCGTGCATACTTCATGTGCTCCAATCAGTACGCCCATGCAGTGTGTGCCTCCAACTGGAGCGCTTTTGCAAGTTGTGAAAAGCGCCACCAACTGTCCGTGTGACCGCAGTCTATCCCGTTCGTTAGGCCCCCCAAAAAAAGGTCTCTGGTCTGCGCGCGCGTCACCGTAACCATGCCAAAAAACTGCCAAAGTCACTGGTTTGACTGGAATCCTGCTGCTGCACCGTTTTAACGTGTTTTTAGATGGGGTTACGATCGAGTATAAGCTTTATGTGACCTCTCTGGGCTCCCATATACTTTGCACTCAATTTAGTTGGGCACCTTTTGCAGACGGTGTTGTAATTTGGTAATTGTGCGTCTGGAAGCCAGACTAAGGGAGCGACAGTCAGGAATCTGGAACCTGTAAGTGCTTTTTAATTAAGGTATGGAGCATACTGGAGACTTTTTTGTTGGCCTTAGTGTGACTTTACTTCAGTTTAAACCACGCCCACTGGCCTTTAAGTAGCATTGGAACCATTGGAACCGGAAGCTAATGCAGCTTGAGTGTTTATCCAATGGGCGCTAGTAATCAGTGGTGCACTCGCGTGTATGACATTTTTACTAACGAACTGGATAGGCAAAGGCTTGCATTTCCGACTTTTGTGGGATATTTGATAGCACATCTGGGCTAAGACAATAAATTTATATATGAATACATCCGTTTCTGTAATCGACTCAGAAGTTAAGTATTGCTGTGTAACCATAAATTATGTATGATCTATAAAAGCCATGCATGAACAGCAGATGGTGTTTCTTGACCTCTGGTGAGATCTCCATGTGCAGGACTCGCAACGTGCGTGCACACTCTAAAGCATGTATGGTAGTAAGTACACATGATTTATTTTCGTATGAATGTACAAATACCCATTGGTCTTCTCATGAATGCCAGACGCAATGCATCAAGGAGTTTCCCCTAAAAGGCAGTTCCTACTTCATGCGAATGAGAATGCGATGCGAATTTGACGTCATGGCATGCACGAAGCATTCGCTGCAAAATTCGTCGGAGTTAAAATGTGTTCAACTTTTGCGAATTTGTAGCGCAAATACTTGCCCAGATTTCACAAATTCGCGTTTGAATACGCTTTCGCACCGAGTATGTACCGGCTTTAAAGATATAGTCCATCATTTGTAATTTGTGCATTTTGTTCGTTTGAAGCAACAAAAGAGTTCAAAATCTAATGAAGGATACTAAACAACTAACCTGATGAAGTTTCAGCTCAGCTTCAGCTGTATATTTCGAAGAAAAACAACATTCTAGGATCTCAATTTCAAATCAGAAGTTGCTGAATCATGTTTTGAATTGTTTTGAATTGCAGCTATACGCGATGTCGCGCACTGATCCGACGAATTATAGCAACCGTGCGTGTCTGTGCGTCGTGCCAATGCTTGCGCGCGCTGTGCCGAATAACAAAACGAACTACTAATTTAAATTTTCCAACGGTGCGTCTTAAGACGCACCGTTGGAAAGGCCTTCTTTCGTTGATTACTTCAAAATGACAGCTTGCCAGAAAGAATAATTTCACAGGGAGTTTAGTCCACTTACTATCTTTCAACCAAGTATGTTTTTCAACAATAATACGCCAGTTACTTTTTCGGATGGCTGCAAATGATGGACTATAGCTTTAACTCTCTCTTTCTTTGTTACGGTTAAGGAGGATACCTGAACACATGTACCAAAGAACTAATTATGAAATGCCCTCTTCTAGTCTTTATCTGTCGTCATGATTTGGCGGTCTGCTGATTACTGTCCCAGTGTGTGTGTAGCAGGTCTATGGTAGCTCCCAGGGCCCAGCTGATCTCAAACCCACGGATCCTTTCATTCATCTGTACAGGAAAACAGGTGAAAGATAAAGTGAAAATTGAGGTTCACTTTAACTCACCACCATCATCATCATCATCATCATCATCACTACAACCAAGCAAAACGAGTACGGATTTTCAAATACAGTCAGAATTGTTTTCCTCAGATTAAAGTTCGGTGAGTATTAAGTGGCTGATCAGCCCGATGTGGGCATGGCACACATGTCCTATGGACATATCCAACAAATCTAACACTCGACCAAGAAAAATTCTGTCAAATTCAGACAAATTATGACAAAGTAATGATAGCAAGCGCATTGCTCTAAATAGTACACAAATATTGAATGCTTCGAGTGGTATAGTAAAACTAGCCTCCCGAGGTGATCCATGGACCATTCATTCGCCTCGGGAAAATAGAATGGTCCATGGATCACCGAGGGAGGCTAATTTTACTTCACCACGAGATAAAGCATTCAATATTTGTTTTATAACACTTCAGCCACAGATTCTGCTTGATTTTAATATTTTAAATTATTTAAATCTGAACACAGTTGAAATAAACTTCAATTTCAATACAAAATTGGTGGAAAATGTATTTCTCTCTTAAAAACTACCCCTTCACGAAATGTTTGAACCCAAGTCTGCGGCGCGCTCTCTTTGGAATAATACGCGCTACGCACAACGCGCACACCAGCATGCATTTGCACACAAATACCGCGCCGTGGAAATAGTACTTTGGTTGCTAATGGTATAGTACTTTGGTTGCTATGCACATAGTACTTTTGGCCGTGCACAGAAAGATAGCAAAATTAGAAAGTAACATGTGACTCGCTCTCGGCCAATCAAGACACAGAATCTGTGGGTGAGGTGTTATAACACGTCATAGGTGATGATTAACCCAACTCCAACTACAGGAATAACAGGTACCAAATCTAGGCACATTTGGCAGTAAAGCTCCTTCTTTGTGATGTTAGGCTCTATCAAAATTACTTGGCTCCAGCTGGCAGTATCACATGCACCTACTGCGGCGGCCAAATTCACTTCCTGTATACATAAGCATGTTACTGCCAGCCGTATAACCCTGTGCTTCGTCATTGTTTTATACCCATAATTATAGTCTTACTCTAAACTACAGTTCACATTTGAGTTCACTGAAATATTTGCTGTCTATCGAATTTAGGTTATAATGGTCAGACAACTGCGAACAGCCACTTGAGCTTACTGACTAGTCTTCTTGACAGGATGATCGATCGCGAGGCCGGCAAGACTCACTAGAAGGATTTTTTTACACAAGCATGTGGTTCTTGTCAGAGGGCTGGTGTTCGGCCAGAATTTTCAGGGTCGATAGTTCAAGCTACTTTAAAGGGGCACTCATAATGTTATTTGGCTATGTTTGAATGAGGAACTTGTGAAATATGACACTTTTTCAACAAACAATTTAGAAATTGAACTTGATTTTAGAGCAAAATGATATTCTTCGGCTCCAGAATATGCCACAACAGTGGTTAGGTGTGCTGTCACTAGCAACCTGTCATCTGACACTACATGGGATACAACTTGGGTTGTTTGTGGTGACAATGGGTCCTTATCATAATGGTAATTGTGTCAGGGTCATATGGTACATGTTTGTGCCATTTTGATGAAAAAAAACCCTGTTGCTTCAAATAGAGGGTCAACGCAGGTTTTCTATGCAGATGCACACTTACCACAAGTTCTGTCTCACTGTTAAAACCATAGCCATGCGTAAGTAACGTATTAATGTAGACCAAGTCCATGCATAGAAACGGGTTGCTGGCATCATAAGATTTGCAGGCTAAAGAAGATAGAATGAGAGACAAATAACAGAAACAATCAAAGGCTTTTAAACGTAATTTGCCCAGGGGATTTGTACATCGAGGTACAAGTAAAGTATACCTTGTACTGCTTTTGAAGAGACTGAGCATAAGCTACTCTACTTGGATTCCAACCGGTCACCGCCAGCTTACTTACATGTATCATTCAGAAATCTTTACAACTCAACCATCATCGTAATCAAAAATATCTAAACTGGTGAGCAAGAACTTCTTGAACCCAAAGTCGTATCTTTAATTTCCTGTCATAAAATCTGGAGTAAATCACAAATCTTTGTAGTCTCACAGCCGAGCCTTAAAATCCACTGTTTGCGGAAAAAGGCAATAACTGCCACAAAACTAACAAAGAGCAATTTTTGTATGTGTTCTACATTTGATACTCTGTACTGAGACCAAAGAGCGAAAGAGGGTGCACTGATTTTAATTACGGGACATGGTACATTAGGGAGACATTCCCATAGACTTGTACACAAAAATGCCTAACTTTGAAGGTACAGTCCATCATTTGTAATTTGTGCATTTTGTTTGTTTGAAGCAACAAACGTGCTCAAAATCTACAGAAGGGTGCTGAACAACTAACACTGAGCAAAATATACAGCTTCAGCTGTACATTTCGAGAAAACAACATTCTAGGATCTCGATTTCAAATCAAAAGTTGCTGAATCATGTTTTGAATTGGGCCTGAATTCAGCGTCCGAGACAGTCGTTCTCACTGAGCCGATTGCAGCTACGCGATGTCGTGCACTGATCCGACGAATTAAAGCAACCGCGCGCATGTGTGCGTTGTGTCAACGCTTGCACGCTTCGCCGAATAAAAAAAATACGAACTTCTAACAGGAGTTTCCAACAAAGTATGTTTTTTAACAAAAATTACGTCAGATACTTTTTGGATAGCTGCAAATGATAAACTGTAGCTTCAATGACACCTAACCCTAACCTACCCTTATCCTACCCTCACTAAACTTAATAAATTTGGGTTCTGCAGCATGAGGAATCAATTTAGCCTATTTGCGACACTAAAATTTTGCCTAGAAATACATGTAGGAGTTGAAACTTAGGGAGACAGTGAAATGTCTCCCTTATCTACCTTGTCTCCGTAAAGTATAACTTTTGATGATAACGTGTCTCCCTAAGGGCACAGGAATTAACCACACCAAAAGCATAAAATGTGAATTGTTAAAGGGTACAATTACCTTCTTTTGCGACTCTAGTAAATTCTTTCACTCGGACTATGCCTCCAAACTCTCTGGCTGCAGGAAATAGACAGGAATCAAAGTGTTCAATCATTCTAATTTTAGCTCAACTGTTGCCTTAAAAATTGACAGCCTGCATAGTCCATGGGAAAAATTTTGCAATACAAACTTGTCGTGAATGGGACGTTTGCGGTAACACCATGTGAATGATATCTGTTAGTGAGTTGTGTGGTTCTGAGAAGAACCAGTTGGTTTAACTCGACGTTTCGAACAGTATGCTCTGCTCGTCATCAGGAGACTGCTGACTCTTGCTAGTGTTGTAGTTTAAGAAGTGGAGGCTAAGTTCAGACCAAGTCCACTACTTAAACTACTACATGCACACTAGCAAGAGTCCGAGTCGAGTTAAACCAACTGGTTCTTCTCAGAACCACACAACTCACTAACAGATATCATTCACATGGTGTTACCGCAAACCTCCCATTCATTGATCATGTCCACCATGTCGTGCTACTGTAAATATACTTTATATTGAAAAACTCAAGCGCCTAAGGATTTGCGTTTCAGATGTTTGACTGTTGCTGCATTACATGTAGGGGCTCTTGCACAGGATAAAAGTTCTGCAATTGTAACCAACTTTTGGGAATAAGCCTAGAATGTGAAGCAAGTATTACATGTAAATTGTGTTTCAAAGATAAATTCTGTTGGGAAGTGGTGGGTGAGAGACAAAGTAGTTCAACATAATTTAGAAGGTTCTTCAAAATTAACGTCTGAATATAGACCTTTCTTTTACCAAGTCACAGCGTTAGCAAACTATGGGTTGACCTCAAGTTTGTAAAATATAATGGGATGTGTTGTACAATTATTAAATACACTGTACAACCACACAAAACAAAATACAGATTCCTTTTCTGTCATATCAAAGAGGTGTGCAAAATAAAGTGTTGTTACCACCGTTGAAATCTGTAAAAAAAAAGATGACCATTAAAACAAATTGATTCCTTATGATTTATGCCATCAGCCTGGGGGTTTGGTCAGTATCAAATCAGGGCATAAATGATTATAATGAGCAAGCGCAAGGTATACCGCCCCTAAAGTGGTAACAAGCATTTTGATGGACATTTTGAAAAAAGGGTGATAACACCCAAAAAACTGCCACTAATGCAATGTTATCACATATTTTCCAACTCCGAAGGTGTATACCTTGCCAAAAATCACTATGACGATTATTCCCCTCATTTGATACCAGTGGCCAAAATTTTGGACCAAGGCTGATGGCCTAATTGTAAAACCACAGAAAAATCTACAGACAAGAAACCCTTGTGCCAAGTGTTCTCCAACCTGTAAAAATAACCGCCCGCCATGCTTTCTGAGGCACCCCCCAAGCTTCTTACTGTGTTAGAAATGGCCTAAAAGCTGTTATCCATACATTAATTACATATTCATCTGCAAATAGCGCCCCCTACATATTCATCTGCAAATAGTGCCCCCTAGCATAAAAAAAAGTATGACTGCAAATAATGCCCCTAACATATAGCGCCCCCCCCCCTCCGCTTTTTGATGGAGCATCGACCTTTAATTTTCAAAGTTGGAGAACACTGATTTTGTGCCAAATTGCCATTGTGCCCAAATGCAAACTCATGTATCTATAGCAACACTGCACGGCTTACTTATCAGTCCGCTTTCTACGCCTTTCCCCAAGAAGTAGGAGGACGTGTAGAAGCTGCGATTCTCTATTTCCTTGGGTCTGTAGACCTTGTCTCCCATGAACTCCTTGGTCACGTCGGAACAAGAGGTGAAAATGTCCACCATGTCCAGCCCGTTGGACGACCGTGTCTCGTGTGTCACACCGGCAAATTCCCACGTTGCTTTGACGTTAAGCGGCAGGCAGACAGTGGAGAGATTGGTGTCTACTCCTTTTCCCAAAATGAGACAGAGGGTAAAGATTAATATTTGTTACAATGTCACACATTTTGTCTGAAACAGTTAAAAATCTTGCAGTTTCCGCACTTTGATCACTTTTCTGAAACTGTCACTTTTTGCATATTTTACAAACATGGAGATAAACACTGGCCTTGATGGGCTATATTGGCTCGTGACAGATTTTACTTTTTACTTTTCACCCGTGAGGGGGTCGGTCGTCATTACCTGATTCTTCATGAGCTTGGGTACTTGCTACTGACCCTAACCCCATCTTCTGCTGTTCAAGCTTCAAGGTCTCCAGCCGAGCCTCTTTAAGTCCCAGTCCAAGATAACTGCGGGGGGAAAAACGACAGGAGTAGTGCCTTGGCTCAGTTATCATTTGTGGATCACCTCAGATTGATGCCGTTCGCTGTTGGTTCTGTAATAGTACACCCTCACATATTTTGAATAGCTCGCATTATATAACCGACATACAGATCCTTGTCATTTGATTGGTGGAACTCACATCACGTGTCCTTCGTTATTACTGCCATTCACGCCGGGGCTCAAGAAGTACTATCCCCCCATGGGGAATGGGAAATACTATTCAACAGTTAGGATCATGCTTGTTCCATGACACGGTATTTGTGTGCAAATGCATGCTGGTGTGCGCGTTCAGCGTTGCGCGTAGCGCGTATTGTTCCAAAGAGCCAGCGCTACAACGTTGGGTTCAAACATTTTCGTGAAGGGGTGGTTTGGAAGAGAGAAATACATTTTTCACCAATTTTGTATTGAAATAAAAGTTCAAATATATCAAATGACAAGGATCTATATGTCAGTTATATAAAACAAATATTGATTGGTTTTAAATTGTGAAATGGGAGGAATATTATCGCTCGGTAAAATCTGGACTTTTCCAGTTCACTCAGCTTCGCCTCGTGAAATGGAAAAGTCCAGATTTTACCTTGCGATAATATTCCTCCCATTCCACGCTGATCCACTCAATATTTGTATACTAGCGTCTTTGGAATCCTGCATGGTGACTTTAACTTTTCATTTGTTTTTTTTCGCTAGGCTTTCCTAAGCAATCAATCAGCAACCACAAAAGTCAAATCGTATTTATATAACACTGTATGTAGTGTTCACTGCGCCATATCTCAATCACAGGAACAGGAAGATCCGTCCATGAATATAGGGGTGAGGATTGTGCCAATGCGGCAATTGCACCTTCAAACATTAATTGTCAATGCAGAAACCTAAAATTTGAAAGACTATGAAAAGTAAATTGTGTCATGTGGCCTGCTCACATCAGCCATATACAACGCAGTGTGATGTTTCCATATCTCTCTCTGCTTTTTGAGGCTTTTATAATGCTGCAGTCAAGTCCTTTTTAGAGCCAGACAAATATACAGAAATACAGGTAGAAACGCAAGCATTTCAAAATGAACCTGAAAAATGAGTTAGAGAGATCGGTGTATGTTGGATTTTGAGCATGGGTTGAAATCTGGGTATTTGGACAAAGAGGTTTGTTGAAAATGTCCACGGACTCACGTTAGCGTCCTTTTAACAATAGGGACAATTAGAAACTGTGCAGGTACATGCGGCTCTGAAACACTAGCTTGTTATATCGCCATTTTGAGTGGTTAATTCCACCAAACCAACATATATAAATCTTAACATTTTGATGAGAAAATGCACATTGCCCTTAGTGTGCCAGATGAAATAACCACGCAAAGTGGTGATTTAACAATCCGTGCTGAAAACGTATGAGATACACATACCATTACTAATGATACATAATATTTGTACATTTCTTGCATGTACATACTTGTTTCGGACATGTCCAAGCATGCACATTCCTACTCATTTGACATACTCAGTCAGCACAGCCTGTGGAGCACACATGTAGTCGTGATTCCTGCTTAAAACCTCACATTTGAGTACAACTGAGGACTCTGAAATGTCTTCCACTACAACAGTGATAACTGTGCCTCCTACCTGTGAGTGTACAGCAGGAAAGTGTCTTTCATGAATCGAAACTGCTTGATCAAGCCCAGCGGCCTGCCTTCATCGATGGTTTCTTGATGTCTGGGTGCAAACGTGATTTGGGTTGACCCTCCGCCCAGGTCTAACACCCCCGTGGTGTTAGTAGAATGGTCCGGTGACCCAAGGACACCTGATGGTCAATGCAGTCAAAAATATGTAAGTTAATCTATTAAAGATGCATTCCCCGTGGTATTTTTGAGTTTCATCCTAAACATAGATTCCTTTTCTAAATTGCTATATTTCTAGCAATATTACTTTTGAATGAGACATCAACCGAATGAATCGTCCCATGTTTAGTTATTGAATTATTACTTTACAATTTCAAATTATTGGCTGCCAGACAGTAATTCCCATTCTCACGGGTTAGGCTGGTTCCGGCCCAACAATCAGTATCAATAATATATGGACCGGGAGCCAGTCTGCTTGCAAAGCGGCTCTGTTTGAGCTCTGTTTGCAACATCCAAAAAAGCAAAGGAGGGTTGGCATTTAAAACACATTTAAGTTGCAAATTTATTAACCCTAACTCCCCAGCCTAATTTACTTGCTAGGAGCCATACCCATACTGGCAAATTCGAACACCCACATGGGAAATTGTACACACACACTGTTGGACTTAGTTTCTGGAGGTATGCCAAGCCCAGTGTCAAAGACCATCTGCTTAGGGGTACTGTACCTATCCCAACAGATAAACAAAACCTGCTGTTGAACTTTGATGGGTTGAGTTCGGTTAGGGTTAATAGAAAAAAAAAATCGAATTTGTTGAAGAGCACGGGGAATGCAAGTTCAAGGAAAGTGCATGCTTTGAAAGTGAGGTAAAAAGCCCGGGCAAGAAAATGAATAAATGAACAGAAACTAACTCGAATGAAAATACACTGTATATTTTCAAGCCTCCATGATACACATGACATGGCCAAGTCACCCTATCTCTTGTACTTAAATAGAAAAACGTTAATGTCAACCGCCAAAAGATGCATGCACATTAAAGATGGATCATGCATTGCATATGGACAGTCTATGGTATGCCTATCAGTGTGATACTTTCACTTTAGCGTGCAAGTTGACCACATAACAGCAACTAAAATAGGAGCAGTATCATGTGTCAGTGTGACATACTTTCTTTATGGATTCATAATGTGGTTTTTCCAGTCATGGGCAAAAATGGGGATTTACGAAGGAAAAGAAAGCATAATCACAATTTAGAATGTATTGAAAATTTGCACATTTCAGAACAGTGACATTTGACAAAAATTTGATAATTTCAGTGTAAACTTTGGGACACTGGATCATGCAGATATGACAAATTGGGTGAATACAAAATGAGAGTCTGTGACTAGACTAGTCACATAAAAAGTGAACAAGACAAGTGCAACTGGCAAATCCCCCTCCACCCCCTCCAAACCCCCCCCCCCCCCCCACCCCACACACACACAGCTGTATCCATCCAGGAGTATGGGGTACTTGATGAATACATGACACAATGAAAACAAATCTTTAAAAGATGTACCTTTGAGGAAATTGACGGTAAACCAGACAAATTCTCCCTCGTGGATGCCATCGATAATAGCCACAGTGTTGTTTTTGGACTCGACATGTAGTGGCGACTGTAAAAAGAGCTCGTATACCTGCGAGAAAGTTCACACGATTTGAAAATGTTTTCTAAGATGTACCTTCATGGCATCAACAGGTTATGGCTTCTGAGGAGTGCCCCTTGAACAAAGACATTGACGAAATGGGGAACCGCCAACATAGGGCTGGATAGCTGAGTTTGTAGAGCACTGGAACAATTCAACTAAAAATTGAAAATTTGAACATTTTAGATTCCATGGTCAAAAGCGACCCATACAAAGTTACATGGATCTTAAATCGTCCATGTTTTATCATTTTCATAGTTCATGGGACAGACAATAATACGCCTTCAAATATCGAAATATTCAATCAAATCCAAGTTTGAAAAATCAAATACTAAATTAATTTATAAATGCACAGCGTTTTACTCACAGCATCTAATAGAGCCTGGGCTTTGCTATGAGGTAGGAGTCGTAGACCAGCTGTAGCCTTCAGAGCCACAGGAGTAGAAGCCCAGAACTCTGACGGGATTGACTTCATGGCTACGGAGAGTAGATTACTTACCACCTCAACTGCCTGGCAAATGAAAACCACCAAAAAAAGTTAAACAATGACAAAAGGAGTTTATGTTATCATTGGAACCTGCATGAAAAAGCCATGTTTTATTATACCTTTGTAACGAACTGGAAATCTACTCATCCAAACACTAACAAGTGCAGAATAAAGGATAGGTTTTGCGGGCACACCATGGAATATTTCTTCTGTGAAGAAGTGTGGTTCTAAAAACAACAGGCACGGTGTTGAGTTGGTCTCGACGTTTTGGACAATCCGTCCTCAGAAAAAGTAGGAAGAACTATGGGCTCCGTGCGCCAACAAAGAGGGCACTTTTTACCTCTTTTGAGAACTCCGTGGACGGGACACACAACATGCGTATACTGTACTGTACTGGTTCGCGCGCAAAGTACGCACAACTTCCTGAACAGTGCTGAAGCGTCAGGCGTTGTCGGCGCAGGAATACGTTCGAATTCAATTTGCAATGGTCTCCAAGAGTGAGACTAATCCCCGCCTCCCATAACTTCAGATACATTCGAAATACGCAGTGGATGGATCAGGAACCAGTCTAGGTCACCCCCAACTCTCCTTTTCTGGCCGTTGATGGGGTACTTGTGCACGGGGCCCATATTAGGGCACTCAAAATTTGAGGGTCACGGCAAAATAGGCACTTACGTTTTCTGATATAATTGAGTGCAAGAGATCTCCTAACACAACCTCTTTCATCAGACGGAGGATAACAGCATGCTGGTACAAACCCTCCACTTCTTACGTACATGCATGTATGCAGAACTAGCCAAATTGAATATTGTGTCTTGGATACTGTAACTTCATTGGTCTAGAAAAGCCACAAGTCCATTTTGTAAAAATAACTGTTTACTTCATATACACCATGTTGCATATAAATTACATCATATACATCATGCTGCATAAATTACAAAGTATCTCATATACACCGTGTTGCATATATTGCGCACGTGTGTAAGGTGAGTGTGTAGGGCCAAGGCTCGTGGCAATGGAGAACTGCAACCTCTCACATCTGGCAGGAAAGCTCCCAGTGACCACAAAGTTACACTGCAGCGATTTCATATATTTCTTAAATATATAATGAGTGAAGAACCGTCATCTTTTTATGACTTATTGGGACGATATTAAAATAACAATTGCTGACTGTTGTTTTAAACCCCTCGGTGTTGGTGTTAAAAATGCCATATCCCACGTCACAGCAGTTACTTATTGTTAAATAAATAGTAGAACTATCTACATTTGATTCGTAGAGTTTGCTTTGCAAGCATTTAATTCTGTAATAAATGTGGAATCAATTAAAACAAGCACTGGGCACGCACTTGTGGCCTCACCTCTTGGGGACTGTCTGCAAACTCACCCAGTCCATGTTTGGTCTTATTAAAAATCTCTGACACCAGTATTGGCGGGCCACCTGTGAATAAACATGAAATGCAGTCAACTTCATTATGTAATAACTTTCACCCAATCTTTTCTAATTAGTAACTATTAATATTTTTAATATTAGACACATTTTTGTGAAAATGAGGGCAAATATACACTGTTGTTTTCATGAATAACAAGTATGAGGTATATGTAGCTCTGCATTTTTCTTTAACCAGTTCATGTCGGAGAACGTAATATCACGCACTGGCTGTTTTTATACACAGGCATGGCTGATGGGTCAAGACGTCAAGATTGCCTTGACTCAACTGCGGGTGGCATTTACGCTCCAGTGCACACCCCAGATTATTGAAACATATGAGGTTTCAGCAAGAAATATCGTACAAAATTACAAATACTGTTGAAAATTTTCCTTTTGCGAATATTGACATTTTTGGTAAAAATAATCCTGACGCGAAGTGGTAAAGCCTAACACCCTCAGATTTTGCAAGGTGCAATCCAAAATCATCTTAATCCTAACTCTAAGATTAATTCAGCCTTCGGCTGCAATATGATTTTTATGAAATAAACCAATAACAACTAACATGTATTATATTGGATTTTAGACAAATCTATTGGTGGCTTGACTGTACTTTCCTACAAACCCCATGAAATCCCCCACAACTTCCTGGTGGAATTTTGAAGAATTGGGGAACTTACCATTTATATCATTTTGAAAGTGAAAAACATGCACCCTAGTGCCCGTGCTTCCAGCATCAAACATCACCCCGTAGAAGTCACTGTTTGTGAGCAAATCTTGCAGCATCTCATTCCAGGCGATATCGTCGCTGCTGAACGTCCGATATCCGTCGGCCAGCCAATCGCCATGCGTACGACTCAGAGACACCTTGGGCCCCGGGACGAGAGCTCGTCCAAAGGGGGTGCCGTTGTGCACTGACGTATAGATGAGAAACAGTGTGACTCCAGTAACTACCAAGACGCTTATTAGCTTGTAGTTGGGTCGTATCTGCCCTGGCGTCATCTTTGCCCCTGGCATGTCAGACTGACTATCACACCAAAGTCACAGGTGTCGTATTGAAGATGATGACAGGAGTTCGGAGACTGTTGCATTGTGGGATAAATTGTGGACGGCAGCCCACAGCTGAGTAAACTTGCATAGCTATCCTGATGGATATTTTTAACAGCCTCTGCAATACAAGTAAATATGGTTATTTATTCAATACTTGATTATGTATAATCGGTTTCACAGGGCTATTTTTTTCAAACTATTTTTTTTTAAGAATAATGATTTTTTTTGTGTGCAAATAATGCAAAATAAAGTTGTGCTGTTTGCGACAGCATGCAGGCATATGGTCAGTAAAACTGGAATTTTGAATAACTTGGGATGGAGTTAGATTGAATTTTACTTTAATTTTAATGGACATCTTTTGGCATTAGTGAATTTTAGAACCAATTCTTTCTTTACTTTAAAACAGGTACTGTACATGGACGATAATGAAAAAAAGTGTCAGGATGCAACATTCTTTCCCCCATGTCTGTTATAGAATTCTTAAATAGTTTTCATTCCTCAGCTCAGCTCAGCTCCGCTCCACCCCTTAAGGATGCACACCAGTAAATAGGCCTAAACCCATACCCACTGAGAGGTCAACGGGCATGAATAAAAGTTATAGGAGTTTTTCTTGTTATGAAAGCTACTTTCACCATCAAAATCGATGGATTAGTTCCAGGAAAGGAGGTTTTTTATCATTTTTACAGAAAATAATCATTTTGATCAAGTTTGCATCAGTTTTTAGAAGGTAAGACCTTAAGGGACACTTTTTACACAGCCATAAATGGATTTAGTGGCTTATTTTTTGCCTAGAAAGTCAAGATTTCAAGCTGAAATCTGTTTCCCTCAGTGCGAAATGGACAAAAATAAAACTTGGGTGCCTTCTCGATTTCGCCAGATTGTGTGTCCATCACGTTTAATACATGTAAGTAGGGTGTGACTGGGGTGGGGCCAAGCCCGCGGGAACGGGGGTGCTGTGGGTGCTACTCCCAGGCAAAAATGTGTTCCAGCCAGCAGTGTTCTACGACGATGAAATTGCACCGCTACACTATACATTATGCTTGCTCTACAAATATCTCCTTCGTTTTGTTCGTTTCTAGTTTTGTCGCGGCTAAGCGCGGCGCTTCGAACGTCTTGCACAAACACTGTAAAATATCAAGAGGAGGTATTTTCTAAATCTTCAGGCAGTGCAGAATCGATATTTCTCTCAAGGTATCTAAAATCATGACATGTCTATGATATTTCCGCAATGATGGAAGCTTTGACCCAAAAGCAATAACCTCAGCCATGACAATGGTGGCAAAGTTGATTATGCTTGCCAGGATTTTTTTCATTCGATCTTTCAATAGGGGCAAATGTTCATACCTTTCCCCTGAAGGTTTTTCTTTTCATTTAAAAGTTTCATTGACGTTGCTAGCATTCTGTATTCAACATTAACAAATAGCAAGGTTCACATACATCCCATAATGTAATGTAATGTTCACATAATAGGAGTGGGATGGGCTTTCATTGAAACTAGTCATGCTTTACGCCAATTCCAGTGTAGTTTTGGAGGATACGGTATAGGCAAGTACCCTACCCCCCGCGGCGCGCTTCAAGCGAATCGAAAATAAAATCATCATTCTGATATTTCTTGGCACATTTAAACATTTGGCAATGACACCCTCTTCACTGCCGCTGGAACAAACTTTTGTCAGGGGGTGCTGGAATTTATTAAGGACGGACAAAATTAATACGAAAGCGGAGCGCAAGTATATAAATATTCCAACTTGGAATATGGATGCTCTGTGGTGCAATCTGAGGCGATTCCTGGCCACTTCATTGGTCTTTTTAGCAAAAGTTTTTTGAGATTATAAAGACAATTTATTTCATTATTTTGTTTAGAATATACTGTTGCCCTTAAAACGTTTAACTGTAATGAAAAGTGGAGAACCGTGTATGTTTATGTCCATTTTTGGTTCCATTTAATTCTGGAAAAAGAATTGTATCATTACGCATGACATCGCATGTAAATATTATTGTTGCAAGGAGCAGGCCCTGCTTTCTTTCATTTAGTAAATTCCGTCGTGTATGTTTTGTTTTATTTTCACAGCCCTTACGGCGTGGGGCCACAGGGCCAGGGGCCCGCTTTAAGGCCCTGGAAAATGTTGGATTCTGGATGCACTGTGATGAAATTATACTGTTAGTAGTATACTGAAACTTATAAAACCCAAAAGGATTTTTTTTTTTGGTTTAAGTTAAATCAAATGTTCCACTGGAAGCGGATGAATTTCTGTTCATAAAAATATTCACATAGTTCTTACTCACCAAACGATGTGGCTCTCGATATATTTGCAGTGTTACTTGTTTGTTACAGGGAATGGCAATTGTAAAAGACTAAAAGACCAAATGTATCTTTATGTTTATGATCGGTAGATGGCAAGTTTGGGGCTATAGGCAATCATTTATCGGTCTACAGAGGCTTTTATGAGGAAAAACTTGCAAAGGGTAAAACATGAATATTTTTTTTTTTGGATAAATTACAATGAGGAGTTAAAGATGACGATAACAAACCGAAAATATATTCAAAAAAAGCAAGATGGCGAACTGCAAAAAAAATTGGAAAGTCACAGTTTCTTTGAAAGTTCTTTCAAAATTACAACTAACTAGTAACATGAGTTTGAAGAAAAAAAAGAGACTTTAGGCCCCCCCCCCCAAAAAAAAGTCTCCAAATTTCTGGTATGGAGCTTGCCCAAAAAGTGGTGCGGCGACGCGGCTTTTTTTTTTTTTTACCTGATTTTTTTGCTTCAAATGTCGGCTGATGACTGCAAATGGTGCCCAACTAAACTTAGTGCAAATATATGGGAATCTAGAGAGGCCACATAAAGGTTATTCTCGACCATAACCCAATCTAAAAACACGTTAAAATTGTGCAGCAGCAGGATTTCAGTCAAACCAGTGAGTTTGGCGGTTTTGAGACATCATCTTTCATTGAAAAGACGCACGCGCATACCAGAAACCGGAGACTTTTTTGGGGGGCCTTAGCCTGCAAAACTAAAGTCACTTTGGTACTGCTGCCTGCTGGACAGTCATTAGCCCCATAAATGTGGCCTATTTACTGGACTGCCTCCGTAAACATAGGCCACACATCCACATGTACAAAAATCGTGTCGACTTTGCCAAATTTTGATTTTCACATTAAGGCTTAGTTTGTAGGATTTGTCTAATTTTTGTGAAATTTCATGTTGAAATTTTGATACGCAAACGTGTAAAAATGAATCTGGAAATTTCACGAAAAATATACATCTGAAAAAGGCAGCACTTTCTGATTAGCCTATAAAGAGGGTGAGTATGCTTCTAAAGCAACAAAATCCTACAAACTAAGCCTAAATGTGAAAATCAAAATTTGGCAAAGTCGACACGATTTTTGTACATGTGGATGTGTGGCCTATGTTTACGGAGGCAGTCCAGTAAATAGGCCACATTTATGGGGCTAGACAGTCATCTGCAAAAGTCAGTTTTGAACAGAACTCGTACAAAATAGAGGTGTCCTCAGCTCAGGACCGACATGTTTATCATCATTTTTATGTACAGCTTAAATACCTGAGAGAGTTCTGAGTATTTTTAAAAGAATTTTGAAGTATGGGCATTTATTATTAGCACTACTTACACTAAGTTACAGGGTTGCACCCAAAAAACCTTTTTAGAATGGTACCCAAATGACATCCTACAACTGCAAGTACACGTTTAGCACTGTGGAGTCAAGGGACATGCCTCATACCAACGCAAGAAAACTATGATGGCGACCCGCACACTTCCATTGCTTCGTGCTCTGAGTCTGAGAACAATTTTAGTTCGAGAAGTTAGACCTAATAACAATACTCACAGCGTTAGAAGTAAACATGGGGCGTTATCATCGTGTGTTGTCAACTGTTCAACAGATTCTGCAATACATTCAAAACACAGGGAAGGTAAGGCGATCCGATAAACTGATGATCTGCAGTGCTTGCTCAGTTGCTGCCAACGTCGTATCGTGCGCGTGGCATTTGTTTGTCATAGAGGGCGCACTTGTCAGGGACCATTTAGAAAGTCACTTGGTTAATCATAAAAATGATATAGGGCCTAGATTTATATTCATAATTTACAAATATTGTTCATAATAATATTAATCGCAGTGGCTATTGTTACGGCAGCCGTAACGCATTTCCCATTTTCTATCGTTACGGTAGACTGCAACCTGGCAACTTTTATAAAAAAACATGACAAGAAAATATAAAATTAGAAGGAAAAAAGTGAATTTAAACTTAATGAAATTCGGACTTTATTTCCCTTTTAAAAAAAATCCTCCAAAGCCTCAGGTTAGAAAAGGAAAAAAATTCGAGTGCAAAACTGAGATTCGAACCCGCAACCTCGCGGTGCAAAATCCTACCCTCTGTCGGCTGAGCTGGCGCACTGCTCGATAAAACGTGTGGAAACAAATAATTATATACCTGCGTGCGTATCAAAAAAATATCGTAGAGGGCGCTAAACAACGAGTGCCGTAACGATAGCCACTTCGAATATTAATATTACATAGTAGGCCTACAGTTTTCCTCGTTCTGGATAACAAGCATCATTCAAGCTGCTTTCGGCTCAACTGATCCATGAATTCAAGTGACATTGGTTAAACTTAAAGCAAGAAGCTATAAACATGATAAAGTATGGCAGTGGATATTTTGCCGGAGACGGCAAACCTTTAGTAAACGTTAGTTTGCCGGATATGCACTGAACATGCGCAGTTACTGTTTTTTTGTACTTAAACATTTTCCGGTGACAAATTTAGTCTGGCTCCATGCCAATATCATCGTTGTAACCTCATATTCACAAGATGGGATTCAGACCATTTTATAATTTCGGACTTTATTTCCCTTTAAAAAAAAATCCTCCAGAGCCACAAATCTGAAAAAGAAAATGTCATACTTTGCAATAAAATGTTTGAGACATGTTCAAATAATAAAAGAAGAATATTCTTATTTATTTGGGGATGTGGAAAAAAACCTTACAAATGTGGCGGGGATCGGGATCGAACCCGAGTCATCCCGCTCACTAAAGCCTTTGCTTAACCACTACACCAAACGTGCTACACAACTTTTGGTGGGAATTTAATACATGTTATAATTCAGCCCATCTTAAAGAGTACAGTGCCCTCTGTTGATATGGATTGCCGCCGGCAAACCTTTAGTAAACGTTAGTTTGCCGTCATTACCTCCGGCAAAATATCCACTATCATAAAGTATAAAAAGGATTATGCTCCATATTACCTTGACTCGAGTGATGGAGACAATACGAAATAACTGTCCTAATTTAAAGTCTTTTAAGTTTGACTTTAAATGTACCGATGCCACTTTTTTCCAGATCGGTTTAACGAGTTCCGAATCGATAAAAAACTGCTTCGCGCAAAAACAAGTCACAAGAAAATCAACTTTTCTGTCAGCCAGAACCACCCCAAATCGAGCACATTTTATGATAAAGTATCATTTAATTTTTCGAAAATATTCAAGAGAATTCCTGCAAATTTTAAAAAGATAATTTTTAACATAAATGATTTTGAAACAATTTTGTCTGCAGTGGGCCGCGGGACGGCATGAACACGCACGGACCTAGACCTTTGACCCATCACAGAATGTGTCGATTAACGCACCTGTAGTTGGGTCCTACATGTACGTGCATACACAGTATAGCTTCAAATTCTGGTCGTCGGATTCCACTGTACTCTGTACATGCCCCCTCCCCTCCCACAAACCCCTTCTCTCCCCCCCCCCCCAAAAAAAAAAGGAAAAGGAAAAAACAAAAATGCAGTTGAAAAGGGAAAAAAGCCTGATATGAGCCAGTCACTGTCCATCCCCACCTCCAATGACTTTGTGTTATGCTATTGTTACATTATAACTACTTCTTTAGTAATGTTTTCGTTCTTTTTATCATTTCTTGCAGTGATTGAGACGGTTGAGGGTAATTCAACAACAGTAAGTTGCTGTGGTTATTCATGAATAACTATTCCTATATTTTATCTTAATTCTCCCAAATTTAACAGGTGCCAATCGAGTCTTTGTCCACAAAATTGAAGATATTGATGGAAATTACTGCACACTACACTGAATGGCACATTGTCAGACAACGATAAGGATGCAGTGTCAGTCTTATGGTGGAGTGTATGTAAGGCAAAGTAAAAAAATGAACCAGTTTGTCGTCCCCGCCCGCTTCCTTTTTTTTCCCGGATTCCTCCTTTTAAAAATGTTATTCATACATTTGCTATATATTTTGGACATTGTATTGTCATATATTCAATATATTGTCCTTTTTTTGCCATAAAAATTGTAGCTGTAAAAGGGTTATGGCTCCTTTGGGAACAATTTTGTATCAGCAAAATAGTTGAGATAATTCTTGTTAAAAAAACCCAAAAAAAACCGCCCGCCTCCTTCGTTTAAAAAAAAAGACGGACATGAAACTACTTAATTTTTTGTTGCTTGGCCTAAATAGACTGTTAAAACCTAAATTTTTGTGAGTTGCTTGAATCCTAAAAAAAAAAAAAAGATTTCTGCAGTCATGCTGTAATAAACAGTCATAAACTTTCAAAGATCATCAGGTCTCTGGTAAAGTAATACATGTAGTTAGAAAGTTACATTTTATAAACAACTTCAGTTGAGCATTGCTGTGCTCTGTAACCAACAATTTGCCCCACAGAAATTTGAAAGAGGGAAACGGTTTGTACATTATTATGTTACTTTTGTGTATGTGTGTTTTGTTTGTTTTTGTTTAGATCGAGGCTGTGTACAAAGATCCTCCTGAAAACCACCACACGATTGACAACCCCCACAGGGCCTGTCCTATTTGCAGCAGAAACCTCCGAGTAACTTACAAGGTAAAAAATCCCTGCATGATTTTCATCCATAAGAAATGTCTCTCATGAATATTCATGTTTCAAATCTTTATTGGTCATATTCATGTAATTCTTGCTCATGTTTTGTAGTCTATCACAAGTCTGGTCTAAAGTAAATCACAAGCTCTTTCAGGAGCCCAGACGTATATAACAGGGGATGTTTTAATTCGTCACAATACATTTGAATAATTTGTGACTTGACTTGATGCTGGAGGACCTGTAAGGCCAAAAAAAAAAGTCTCCGGTTTCTGGTATGCACGCGCGTCGCCGTAGCCATGCGCATCGGCAAAATCAAAAAGTTTTTTTTTTTAATGGAAGATGATGTCTCAAAATCGCCAAACTCACTGGTTTGACTGGAATTCTGCTGCTGCACAATTTTAACATGTTTTTAGATAGGGTTACGATCGAGAATAAGCTTTATGTGGCCTCTCTGGACTCCCATATATTTGCACTAAGTTTAGTCGGGCACCATTTGCAGTCATCAGCCGACATTTGAAGAAGAAAAAAACGGTAAAAAAAAAAAAAAGGCCGTGTCACCGCACCACTTTTTGGGCAAGCTCCATACCAGAAACTGGAGATTTGGGTTTTTTTGCCTAATGGACTTGTGGATTTGTGAGGATTTTTGGGAATTGTGAGGACTTGTGATGGTCTGGACTACAACAGGAATGAAATAGGAATACATATGCCAGCTTGTATACATTCGAGATATTTTGAAGCCTTTTAAAAGTTGATATATTTCTCTGCAGGATGTTTTGATCTTGAGCCAGTTCATCCGGCCGGATGGAGGAATGTTGCCGCGGAGAATTACCGGCGTGTGCAAAAAACAGCAGAGGAACTTGGAGGAATGTGTTCAAAGGGCCCATCGGGCAGGTAGGTACAGGCAGAAAAAGTAGCATTGTATTACATTGTGTTTATCACATTAACCCTCCCTTTGATCAGTCACAGACAGTCAAAAATCCAATCCTGTTGCCCTGCCATGCCTTTTACACAGGCTAGTCACCAACAGGCAGATCATATTTCATGTAGGCACTGTGACAGTCAAATTCCATCAACAGACAAAAGCAGGTGACTGGTAGGCACAGCTGGCTTATAAATCTCCTGCAGTCAAAACATAGCCAAATCAGGTTTCATAACAATCACTGCCAGTCAATCCTGCTTTATGCATGGCAGGTGGCACTCAACTGTTCAAAACAGTCACTTGATTTATTTTCAATGCTGGGCTGGCCTTGTTGAAATTACCAGCCAGAGAGGGAGGTTTCAAACAACAGAGTGCTTGGGTAGTTTTGGGTGTTACAGGGAGTAATAGGCAGGGCAGTTTCAGGTGCTTCAGTGACTAATGGGTTAAGGGGGCTTCACACCAGAACTGTAATCAAATCAAACCAAATTGAATCACAAATCAGTTGGTCAAATCACAAGTCAAATTTCAGATCAGGTCAGAAAGGAAAAATAATGCCCTTGTCAGAGATCCTTTGGAATGCTTGTGACTTGACTTGAGACTGGATGACTTGTGATTTGCTTGTGATTTCTTGTGCTGACTTGTCACTTACTCGATTACAACTCTGTTCAAAACACAGCATTATCCATAACACCTTGGACATTTTGAAAGGGTTTGTGAAGTGATTTTTTTCGGAGGAACATACTTTGTGCAACTTTTACTCCTCTTAAATGTATGAACCATATTTGACATCCCTTTTAAATTAATTTGTATTGAAAAGGGGCACTTCTTTAAACTTTTTTTTTAACTTCCATGCTTTTGCGGACAACTGAGGGCGCTTTTACTGTGATGTCATTTCAGGAAGACACTGTTCAGTTCGGGGGTTTTCTGATCAAATTGTGAACCCCAAAAATATTAGTGAGAAAAGTTTGCTCATTGGCTTACTGCCATGTATTGACACGACGACCAACCAACAAATTTACGACAGCAAAATATCCAAAATTCTGGCAACTTTTGGTGCTGAATTAGCTGTAACATTGAGGTTTTTGCCTGAAATGACATCACACTTTTGCTCAAGAATATGGAAATTTGCATTAGCATAAAAACCAAAAAGGCACCAAAATACCCTAGAAAATGGCAAAACAAAAATTGAAAATAAGGTTATATAACATACAAGGGTGTTTTTCCAAGGATTACATTAAAAAAAATCCATTGCAGTGCCTTTAAGTTAGAAGCCTTTCTGGGCTCTATCATCTTGAATCTTGCAGAATCCTCCAAAACCTCTTTAAGACTAGCTGTTGGACAGTTTGCTGGTTGAATGGGTTGACTGTAAATTTTTACAAATTATTTGTTTGAATATTTCCTCCTTCCTGTTTCCAGGTTTATTACCTGATCACCGACCTCCCAAAGATGCTGGCCAAATCCCCCCAGGTGTCACATACCAGCGCAAGATCAGGTTCAACCGATTTTGACCAGACCGGAGTAACAGTGTGTGGTTGTACATGTACAGTGATGTGAGACAGTGTACATTGAGAACATAACGCTTGTATACATTAAAAAGTTCAGATGTCAACTTCTGGCTTACATAATGGATCCCAACAGCATATATTTTATGAAGCAACTGAAAGTTCATCACTGAACTTGCTGAAACATTGGTGAAAAAGTAGGGAAAACTTGTATCAATTAACTCAGGGCAGATGGATACTTTTGTGAGTTACACATCTTGACAGATTTTGGGGTTGCTGAAAAAAGGGTATGGAATTTGTGCCGAAACTACAGATGGTGCCGAGTATGGCCCACTCAGAAGAATCAAGGAAGGACATATAGACATCCACTACGTACATTGTGCATGTGGACGGCCCATGGGGGGGGGGGGGAAGGGGTATGGGAAGTGAGACACACCCCCTCCCACTCAGAATTCAGTGCCCACTCAATGGGTTTTTAAGAAAATGGAAATTGAACACCTGCTGTATGCCACTGCATGGGGAATGTCACATATGCATCAAATTTTCAATTGAATGTGTACAATTCCTTGGTATTCTCATACGAGAGGAATGCACCTGAGCAATGACACGACAGAAATGGTGCCCTTCAAATTTTTTTTGCATTTTTAGTACCAAATGTTTAGTTATACACATACTCCACAGCCTGAAAGTTTTGAAAAAAAGCAAGTTCCTCCCATCTTTGTATTTGCTGTTAATTTCCTGGTATATCTCAGAACTGTAAAGTTGCAGTCAGAATTCTGCTCAGCTTTAATGAGCATTCGTAGTGAGTATTCATAAAGACATGATATACGCTGCCCCAACCTCTTTGCATCTTTCCATTTTAGAGTTTATAGAAAATGCACCCTATAAAATAAAACGGAAAACTTGTAGCTAATATCTTTGGTTTTTTGTGTGACATATTTTACTTGCATGTTTAAAGTGTGTGTAAATCAGTTTGCTCTTATTTGTACGTCTCACATTGACAATACTTACATTGACATACAATTAAATTTTTCTGAAAGATTGATATTTGAGCATTTTAAGTCTTCAACCGATTGGTCCCTGTACCACCCCAACTCCCTGTAGTGCCTGACCCCCCCCCCACCCAAACACACACACACACACAACTCAATGGTCTAATGATTCGTCAATGAAAAGATACAATGCACCAGCAGAAAAGTATTAAAAGTAATTCACAACACAGTAATGTTACATGCGACACTGCTTGTCTGATAAATATTGGTTTTTATTAAGGCAAACACACATGAACATGGACATTCAGCTATACAGATGTAGCAGTTGTCAAAATGACAAGTCTGCCAACAGACGTGGACCTTGAAATGGATTTTAATTCATTTAAGCAATCTTCCATCTTATGAATTTTGAGTCCACTTAAGTTTTGCTACTTTATTCACATCATACATGTACGTGTAGATATTTGTGATGAGTGCCATCAGCGCTATTCCAGGAATTAAACCCAATTATTTCATGAACTAGAGATGAAGTTGTTTTGGGATTAGTCTATGTAATGTAACAGTTAAGCCAAAACTGTTTGAAAAATGGAAGTGCACATAATGTATAACAATTTTAAAATGTCAATTCAGATTAAATATAATAACATTCAATTCCACTTGCTAACTTCTTATCGTTCAACATGCTCTTCAATAGAAGGATCAAATTAAGCAACTTAAGAATTGAAAATATTCATATACGTTCTCAAGGTCAGAGGATTCAGTTAAATACAAATGGCACTTAAAATTTGACATGTCTGTTTTCAACCCTTAAGTATTGCAAGTGCATATTTTACAATACATTCATGAACAAAAAGTGCCTCGACACACCATATATCTAAATAATCCTGAAGAGTTAAATGGGCTGTGAAAACAAGTCTTGTAACAGTTTTAAAATGTTGCTTATGACCACAATATACCCAGAGGGACCAGTCCATTTCCAACAGTGAACTATTATTCAACAATTTTTCCTCAGAACCTTTCAAGCAGAGTGTTAAAAACAAACCTAAGAAATCTGTACATCATTTACACGAAACTGAGCCTTCTCACAACATGAATGGCAAATCTTTGTTCTTCTCTCCGGTGCCAAAGTAGGCGTAGCCAAACTTCTGGGTGTGAGGGACGTGGTAGAATGCCAAGCCGGGCCACAGGGCACTCTGGATGCACACCAGTCCACTGCCTCGCTCGAACTTCAAACTCCAGGACCCTTAAGCGAAACGGGTACAAACAAAGACATCATGTTTAGAATTAAAATAATGACTGTAGATATCTATTAAGGTGGATCTCAGTGGCTGAAGCTTTACCGACAAACAGGCCACAAAAAAAACCCAATCGATTGTGAATCTAGTGTGATTTCCTCACTTGGGGAAATAGGGCTAGCTTACATCAGACATATAACTATAAAGTTTCCGTAGTATATGAGTCATTTTGTAACTTAAGAGTCCGAAGTGTGACAATTTTCATAGCTTTGTTACCTTGATACTTTGTATTTTACCATTCAAGAATCATTAGGAATGTATGACTTCAAAAGATTTTTTATTTGTTGGGTGGATAGTTTGCTATAGATCTCTCTCATAGGATGCCATCTTCGTAGGAACATAAAAACTGCCTGTTCAACGACATCAGGTGCGTGTGCGCGCAGTGTGCAAAACGTTCTAAACATGCGTGTATGTTGTTCGAAATTTCTTCGAAATATGGCACAGCCGACGCCCATCATGCACATTTGACATCCAAAATGCTGATGCACGTGGCAATCTGTGGGAAGTGACGTCATTTGAGAGAGACCTCTTCATGGAGAATGACTACATTAATTTCTTGGAGAATGACTGTATTAAGGAGTGCATCACAATAATAAAATCATAGATGTCACGTAACAGGGACAGGAGAAAAAGTGGACCCCAAATTAATACGGTGACCCAAGTGTATTCAACGCGATGGGTTTTTTTTGATAGAAAAATTGTGATGGCCTCACCGAATGAACGTAACAATAAGTTTAGTGAAGGGCATACTTTAGGATAGAGTTCCAACTTTAAGCAAAAACTATCCGAACGTCAAATCCATCAAAACTCAAATCACACGTCATTTCACCAATAAGACCATGAATAAGTAACAACGGATAAACAATGAGAAAGGAATTGCCTTTGTTTCACATTTGATTTAAATAGCTTGTTTTTTGGACCAGATAACCCAGATAACCAGTCACTGACTTGTGATGACTTGTCAGAACTTGACCAGAAAAAAATATGCAATTTTATAAAAAAAACAATCACTCCTTGAATTCTCCTCTTAATATCAAATCCATATGATGTATGGATTTACAATCTAACCAGGAATTTCTGAGTGGAATCCAGTGATGTATTTGAGTACTTGTAAGTATCCATGAGTACGAGTACAAGTACCTTGCCATGAGTTCTAGTACGAGTACGAGGCAATTCGTGCTTTAAGGCAAACACACAATTACACAATGTACATACTGGGTGTCTAAACTGCCCGTAGGGTGTCCAAAAGACACCTAGATCCCCCTCTGGCTTAAACCTTGGCTGGGGGACTTCTTTTAGCTGGGAGTAATTCTGCCAACTTTTTGCTGATTTCTTTCTCACCTCTCGGTATGTCTTCATGGATGGGGTCCAAGAAGTCAATGGATTTATCCAGGTCGGCCTTCTCCAGTAAGGTCTTCTCGTTCAGACGGACGGGGTCACGGAAGTGGAAGTAGTTGTGTAACTTGCCGGACTCGGTCACAGACAAGCCTGGATTGTCAATAATTCAATGGGTGAACAGTTGTGGTCAGTGATAAGGGACTGAGCAATTGCCAAAGCGGCTAGGTTCACTACATTGCTAAAATATGTTGATCCATGTGGACCTAGCCTTACTTGTGATTGCCTTGGTCGATTGGGACTTAAAAAGTCTGGAGGTATTACCTCCAGTGTAAGAACAAATCTATCAATTTTCATATTGTTTCTTGCCATCATTATCTTGCTACATCATCACTGTTTTTCGAGGCAACAACAAATTTGATATGTTTACTGTAAACTTGTGCTTGTTCACTTTGTACCTAGAGTTTTCAGTTGGTCATTTGTGGGCACTGGTCATCATTAATATCCAAAACAATCTCAATGTAAGAGGATGGATTGAAACTGGATAACTCCTTCTTATTACAAAATAACCCCAAGCAGCGCAACTTGTATTTTTTAATACTCCTTTTTTTTTCTTAAAAAAAAAGACTGTGACTTTCTTTCTGGGATGACTCAATGTTTCAGTTAGCCTTCCAGTATTACAACCAACACACCCAAGTAAATTGGGGCGAGGGTCACTGAAAACAATGCTTATTTCATATTTTTTCTAATTTTTATTATAAAATGATATTTTTTTTAATGATCTGATGAGGGGAGGGATATATACATGTATAACCAGTGTATGAAGTTGGGCAAATTTGATCTGCAGTATTCAATCCACATTGATGAGATCAAGCTAAATGAGTCGTTTGTCGACCCTTGTCAATTTTTTTTTTTTTTTTTACAGATTTGAAAAGAGCACAATCTCAACATTTCTGATGTGAAAACCGCACGCTGATACCATCTTTAGTCAAAAAATTATGGACGTCGGAACACCAAGAGATGTGATGAAGTAATGTGATGAAGTGGCCCTATTTTGGCCTGAAATCTCCAAATGAAAGTTCACGACAAACGACTCATTTAGCTTGATCGCATCACATTTGCTCATATGTAAAGAGAGTATTATTCGTTCGAGCGTACCTTCAAAGCTGCGGTTTTTGAGCACAGTGCCATGTGGTGTCTTGACATAGGCTCCCCTGGGTACCACAGCAACCTCCTCATCAATGTGTGCAATGACAGAGGCAAGACGATCCTCTTCTTTAATCATGATCTGTATCAAGGAGTCAAGGACCACGCCAAGTCAGGTTAAACACGAGATACAATTGTAAACTCTGCATTCTGCAGCAATGGAACAGAACAGTTGTAGAAATAGGATGAAACTATAGTCGGACTTGGATAATTTCCCACAATTTGTCAAATCAGTAAAAAAAACCAAAAAAACACTGCAGTTGCATGGCAAGAAATGACTGCTACATTGTACCTGGTTCAATAATGTCTAATTTGAAAACCTCTTTCAAGTACCAGTACTGTTTTTCATTGGGAAAGGGTACTATAAGGCTGAAACTCACTGTATTTTCTTCTTCAGTTGCGTCTTCCCCCTCACCAATTCTCTTGATCTCCACATGCTCATACTCATGGGATGGATCACCAATGAATCGTCCTTTCACCACAGAGCACTGCTCTCTGATGGCTTGGGTTGCCTGTGGCAGGAGACCCCATGTTACACAGTCCAGGCTGACAAAGGAAAATTGTTAAATTTGACCATTATAGGGCCTATGATTTAAACCTGAAAATCGAAATAAATCTCACAAGATTTTCAAACATTTACACTCACTTCTAATCTCTCTAACGACATTTACTTTTCACTGACAAAAACATGGAAGAGTAGCTAGCCAGAAAAGTGACACGTATTACGAATACGACATGAGAAATTTTGTTTTTAAAAAGGCAGTGGATATTTAGCTGGATCCAGCTTTCTTTTAACAATATTTTGCCAGATAGGCACTGAAAGTGACATGTGCAGTGACTTGAGACTTTGAAGAAAATCATCTGCGATTAACTGTTGAAGTCAATTTGAAATAATAAAAGAAGAATATTCTTAATTTTTGGGGATGAAAAACAAAAATCTCGAAAATGTCAATAGCCGGGCTTGAACCAGGGATGTCACTCATGACATGAGGTAAACGCACTATCCGCTCGGCCACAGGTATTGCACAAACGATGCTGGTAATTTAATATGTTTTATGTTATGTCACAGAGGGCTCTGTACAATCTAGCTGGCTTATATCTGGCTAACTATCCACTACATTTTAAAACTGGTGAGCATGGTGGAGTAGGCCTAGGCCTTTTTGTAGGGCCTAGGCCAGGGCCAGGCCTTTTGTATTTGGGGGGGGGGGGGTCACTGGGGGTTAGGCCTATTTTTTATTATTTTTCGAATGTTTTGGTAAAAAAAATGAACGGTCCGGTGGAAGTATCATGAACTTATTCATTTATGATTTAAGCCCATTAAACTCACTCTTTCTGTTCCCATTCTTTGTTAAAATAAAATTTAAAAAAATTAAACTAGAAATTATATTAAGATATTGTATTTGTAAGCCAAATTCAATTGATAAACAGTGATTAAATTTACCAAGGCCCCACTTTAATTTTAATCTTCCTTAATTTACTTCAACGTACCTGTACAGTGTTTTTCTATCAGCTAACTCATCATTCCCAGTCCCCTGCGCAATGAAGTAGTCTCCTTTGATGCCTAAAATTTTCCCCCAGAAAAATACCCGGTTGAATTTGTAATGATTTTGAAGAATCACAAGCGAGTTTTGAAGCGATGCTTTATGTTCAGGACTCAGTAGAATTCCACAAGACCCAACGTAGTCAACACTAAGATGAAGACCTTCTGCCTCCATGGCTCTCTTCGTTTCAACAAATTCCGCTTACTTCCCAACAAATTACAGAGGAAACGAGACAAAATGACCGTTTTATTCTCGAGCTACAGTTCATGCAGTTGTGCCAAATCTCAGCTTCAGAAAGTTGTTTTCCTTTCCACGGCTGTTGTCAAGGCTCACTGCGCATGCGTGACACATATGAGTTTTCTGGCATGGTCGGGTCCCCAAACTTCAGCCTGCGCATGCAGATTACACTTTATATGGGAACCTGCTAGTATCAGCAGCTAATTAATCACATTCAGCACGACCACTTAACACGTGCGTATGCATTCGTCTTGTAGTTTGTATGTTGTGGTCTGCATGCGCTCCTAGTTTGCACAAAATCATGCGAAATACTGACATGGCTGAGCCTGAGGCTCATGCATTTACTTACGTACGTCGAGACACTGCTCTGACTTCAGAAATCTTCGAGCGCGCTATAGCTAGCTGGTGAAGATTGTTTGGCTTTCGTGCACTGACAAGAGAAAAGCACGTGTGCAAATACGCGCGCAAAGTTGACGACTCGCCAAAATGACTAGTGGCGCGGCAGTGTAGTTTATGTACTGATGTAGACCCAAAACAGTTCAATACCATGACTAGCAACTAGGCCTAGGTCTATAGCCATATGAGACGCAATTTTCAAAGGCAACCCAGAGGCAAAATGCACTGCAATCTGACTGAACCCATATTTCCAATAGTGCTCCAGTTCTGTGGTATGGTGATTCCTCAGAACATTACAGGGAATCATCAATTTGCCTGCCATTTTTTTCTCAAAGATTTCCTGAAAAACGTGCCTTCTATCAATTTGCCTCGTGTGACTGGCACAGCTTTAAAATTCTTTATTCTGCATGCATGCAGTGTCACTGATTGGATTGTGTCACTTGAAACATGACTGCGGAACCTGTTGGCAACTGTCGCATCATGATTTATTCATACATGATGTCACAAAAATAATGGTGATGTTACACCTCACAACTAGGCTACCATGCAGGAATAAGAACACATGGCCCCAAAGTCGGGAGATGATGCTATAGTGACATGGCCAGCAGAGGCATATATATGCCCCAACCACAAAGCGTCAACCCAACTAAAAGTTGGGACTGCCCCAACTACAGTTGGAATTAAGGCTGGCCTAACTTTATTTGGGGCCAGTGCTATACTTTTGGTATAACGGGCCCACATATGCATTGTTAATGTGGCAGTGTGTGGTTATGGACTCTGCGCATGACTAAGTTTATGCATTCTGAGGAGAATTCAATGATCGAAGGTCAGAGGACACCAACCAAAATATCACATCGCATGTTTTTACTGGTCCCTGTGGGCCAGCGTAGTGTCCTCTTTGCACCTATCTGATTGACTGACCCACTGGCACATGGCTGACTCACTGACCACACTGTCACCTGTGAATTAGACTGGTTGTATGTTGATGAAGATCTGTGGAGCAGGGCAGTGCTGTTGAGGAATGCTCTGTAATACCAGCGAATGTCTAAATACGGGCCATTTTGCAGACTGGATGCATGAAAGACTTCCATTGAATAGCCTTTCTGAATCATTTGCAATTGCATAGAATTCTGTGCCCTAGTGGACCAGCTTTACTAGCTCAGTACAAAGAGGCGCTGACAAAAAACTTCAACAGGGTTACAACTCGAGAGTGCTTGTATCTGACAAATTCGGAGGCAGCCATTATCTGTGGTGGTGAAAGGTTCACGCGAGTCGCACTCGGTAGTACATGCACACCAGCTCCTTCAACCAATAGGAATAACAAAATGCGCGTGCACCTCATTTTTAAGAATGTGTGCAGCATGCGCGTGATCGTGACACCTCCGTAGTAAAAGCATCTAATTCTTGTCGGTGGATTCCACTATATAATAATGAAATAATGAATGAATGTATCCTCTTTATCATCAATTTTTTTTTTACTTTACAGGCAGCGACTAGTAATAGCATGGATGGAGAATTCTCTTTGCTATTTGCGGCACCCAACTTCCCTGGTGTCCCACAATCGAATCTCCATGTCAGGCTCAGCGAGGACTACAACCGTAAGAGTCTGCCATCAAATGAGATCAACATTGACCGAATCTGGGAACTCCGCAGGAAAAGCAACCCCAGGCTTTACAATGGATCCAAGTTTCGGTTCCATGCGATTGAAGTCGACAGCAACGGTGGTGACTGTAGCAGTTGTTCGGCAGGGGTCACATTTCATCTTGGAATTACTGGCTACAAAAACTTCATGGGGACAAACTGGGCGGACAATGCCACGGAGCTTTTAGAATCCGGAGTGAAGGACTTTGCCAACAGTCAGGCCTACATGTCGGATGCCTTGGGAGTGGGTTCGCTCGTACACACTGCAGATGAGTGTGTCGTTCTCATTCGTCGAAGCTCCAGTGTCGGTGAAGCACAAGGATTATGGGATATACCTGGTGGACATCCAGAACCAGGGGTATTAAATACTTGAGATACAGTAGCAATTATGCATCTGCATATCTACAATCCTAGTAAAAGTGGGTGGCTGAGCTGTTGAAAGCTGAGATTTTTCAAGGAAAAATGAATGCATTTTTAAAGTTTACACATGCATGTAACTAACAGACACAAAGACCTCAGGATGTTATTTTGGGTCAGTCCGACAAATGCTGCGGGGTAGGGTGTTTAATATTAACAATTATGCATCTGCACGTGTACAATCCTAGTAAAAGTGGGTGGCTGAGCTGTTGAAGGCTGAGATTTTTCAAGGAAAAATGAATGCATTTTTAAAGTTTACACATGCATTGTAACAGACACAAAGACCTCGGGATGTTATTTTGGGTCAGTCCGACAAATGCTGCGGGGTAGGGTGTTTAATATTAACCTACACACAAGGTTAATAAGCCATTCCAGAAATCCCCTTAAATATGTCCTTGGTTTTTGTACTTGCCTAGTGTTTCATCACTTGCTATAACAGCCTCAAAGTTCATTCTCCTTGACCTATAAAGCCCTTATTATAGCCATGCAAAGACAAGCTTCTTATATTGCCCCTTCCCCAGTTTTACATCTCATTATTATTCATAACTCGTAAACGAAAACAAGTTTTTCAAAATATCAAAGTAGAAATAAAACGTACTACATTTTATTTTCACTTTCTTTTTTTTAAAAGAAGCAAATGTTTTTGTTTACAAATTAGGAATAACAATGAGGTACATGTATGTTGCGAAATGACAACATGTCGGCTTTTGCGTTGAATTGCCCATCGTCAGACTGGATGGTATGTGAAAGGGGCAAATTAATTGCATCAAAATCATTGATCACAGTATCTGCTGCTTTGTCAGATTTGTATGGACTATTCGACCACAGTTTACAACAAGTCATCCAAGTCACTCTGGTATAAAGATTATTTTCGTGCATTTGCTTTTTTTTTGTAGGAGGTCAAGGGAGGCTCATCAAAAATGGAAGACATCACCTTGTCGGACATCTCAGAACTTGATGTCAGTAAGGAGCTCGTCGACTCTGCGATGAGAGAGATCCGAGACGAAATAAACATTCCCAAGTCCAAGCTTGAAGAACCACATCTGATGGGAGTGACAAGGAATCACACAAGCTCGGGAAGACCCAATATGCAATTCTTTGTCAGGTATACATGTGCAGTTCATGAGATGTTTACTAATGGAAAAGAGTATTGCTCCAATAAGTTTATTCTTAGTTACAGTATAGTGAAATGATGCCATGTTGCAAATTATTTCCATTTACCTAAATGTACATGTAGTATTCTTTTACGTTGTTCCTGTTCAATTGATGCATAGTTCCCTCTTATCTGTTCAAGAGACATGCAGTATGTGCAGTTAGGATCATTATGCACATTTTACACCCCCCCCCCTGGAATCGGGCAATGATACCAACTCTACTATAACACTCTGCCTGCAAGAAAGCATTCTTAAAACAAACATCTTGTTGACTCTTGTATAAATCCACAACTCTTTTCGAAATGAATTTAGTGACAGGTTCGAAAAGAACGTTTTAGAGCATTTTGACACTGATGCCTCATATTTGACAATGGAAATTAAAATAAAAGCTAAAAAAAAATAGGTACTTAATCTGGTAAATCAAAAGGGAACAGTGAAAATACTTACACTCCTGGGTCTGTCGAAATGCATCCCTGGGTTTGGGAAGATTTGCAGGTGTAAGGAAGGTGTAGCCAAGCCACTTTTATTTTACCTGTGGCATCATTATGCCCCTTGAAACTGTAAGAGAGACCGTGCATTGCAGTCATGCACAGTGCATGGAGTTTGCAGCTTTCAGGAGCGATCCTCTCTTAAATGTCTTTGCAGCTAGTCAAGAGATTTGCCACATTATTTTCCAGGTGTACCCTGCCTTCCAGTGAAGTGAGGCAGATGTACAGAGCTGGTGGAGCAGAAGCAGAAGAGTCCACAGCACTCAAGCTTATTCAGTTATCAGTAAGTTTCTAATTCCAGACCGTCTTCATCGGGCAAGACAATATATTGCTGCAGTCACTACAGAAATATAATGTGACCTGTCACCAAAAATGAGGATGTACAAAAGTTGGAAATTTCCATGTTGCAGTACAGTGGGTAAAGCCAAAATTTGAAGAGGTGATTGATTTTTTTTTTGTTATTGGGTGAACCTCAATCTGTAAGTCCTGTTCTACCTTCTCTCATTTTTGGTTCTATCCAACATCTTTAAAACCTACTTAACTGAGTTCTGTAACTGAACTCAGTACCCCTAAATGTTATATTATGCTTGTATGTATTTGAAAGCTTTTGCTCAGCAGAATCCAGAAATAGAAGCATCTCAGTAACACTGTTGAATGGTTTTTAAAGCTTGAAATTTCTCAGTGTTGGTCACTTTTAGGTGTAAAACACGGGTACATGTACCCGGGTCCCTGTAAAAGAAACTCCACCCCAAAAAATAAGCATGCTTGATTAGAGATTCCATGTCATAGGCATATAGGATCATTTGCTCTTCATGCATTTTGTTCATTTCCAATACCACCACCACTAAAAACCCAAAAGAGAACTTTCACAGCCTTGCCTGTTGAAGTTTTAGCTCAGTGGATATGACACTTTTCAAGAAAACTGTGAAAAAACATGCACAATCTTTTGATCACGAAACATGATTTTGTTAATATTACATGTACTCTTTATTTTGTCAATTGACTGATCATTGGAAATCCCCTATATTTCTTGATTTCTTCTAAATGGCAGCAAGCCAGATGGAGTAATTTCATGGGATGTTTAGTACCAGTACGATCTTTAAATCCATATAAGCCTTTTTATAATTATTTGCTAGGTTACTTTGGGATAAATGTAAATTATCCTATATATCATATGCCTTTAACATTTGTACTACAGGCCCAGATGGAGCAGGCTTGACTAATGACATTATTCATGGTCAAATATTTGCTGTTGAGACACTGCTGGGCAAGATGTACACACTACACAGCCATAAGGAATATGCCTAATTCAGCATTACAATAAATAATCACATTTTCTCTTCTCATGATTATTATCAGGATATTTTCTACCTGGAAAGTACAGACATGTGGAAGGAGATGGCTCCAGCTGCAAAGGCCTGTGTTAAGTTGTACACTACCCTAAGGAACAACCTGTCAGACTCTGAAAATAACATAACATAGCATCAGTGTATCCTCCCTTTTGGCCTCTTTGTCTCAAAAACTTGGCCTGACTTTGGATAAATGCCACAGTCAAATATTATGTAACATGTATTCTAATTAAAAGAATATACAAATATATTGTGGAATTTTCCACTAAACTCTACCATCAAACCTCTTACATAGGTCACATGTGGAATTTCAGATTCTTGTTTCTACACTATTCTGTATACATGTATATGCAATGTCATACATGTACATGTGTATATAAAAACTGCTTTTGCTTTGCAACATAATTGAAACATTTGTAAAGATTTATTCACAAGGTAACATCGAGCTTTAGTTTTTGTTTTTTTCAGTCTAGGCAGCTAATGGTATGTCTTAAGAGTTATAAATTATGTGTGGGTTGGTTCATTTAAGCTGACCTTCCCTGTAATTTTTTTAAAGAATTGTAGTAAGGTATATTTTTGATGAAAAAAAGTAATATTGTGCAATTTTGGTGTTCTATTTTTTTAATTGTTTTTTTGCTTGCTCTGAGAACCAGGCACACAACTGGGAATTTAGAGAAAAAAACCGGGGAAACTCCAAATCACACAAGACTTTGTACAGTATTATTCAATTGTAATGGCATTCATGAGAGGTGAAACACAAGGAAATCAGCAGATCTGAGGAAAAGTTGCATGCCTTGAGAACATGCACCTAAAGCTTGAATTCAAGCTCACACCATGTGTCTGGGAGAACCCTAAATTTTGCCATCAATATCCGACTAGATGTCAATAAAAGTACTTTTTCAAAACAGGGTTTTAAAAAATAGCTTTTGTTTAACCTGATGGCATGTTGCCAACCAAAGTAAACCCAGTGTTACCTCAACTACAACTCGTACTAAAATATTATACTTGTTTTCCCTTTCAAAAAATACATGTCGAATAAAAAGTATTTTGGTTTTGTAGATCCATATGTCCATGAACTTATCTTCATGATATATTTCCAAAGTATGAAGTTATAGATACTATGAAACCTTTTAGACTACGATATGAAGTTCAAGATGTGCGAGTTTTTATGATGTAATAAAATACATTGGATAAAAGTTTGATGAAACATTTGCGCATTCTTTGTATGCCAGAAGTTATGTCAAAAGTCTTAAGTCATCCAAAATACGGATAAAATGAGTGTAAATGAAATTCCTCAATTTTTTGAGAGTTGCTTCTCTGTTCACTCGTAAAAATAAATATTGGGATGTATTGGATCAGGGGGTGGGGAGCACGAAATTAGTGAAGGGTTGTTTTTTCCCCTTTCAGTTTACACTCCCCGATCTGCACTATACGATATATATGTAAATTGTAGTTATAATAAAACCGTCATTATTGTGCGCACATGTCTGCGAATGGGCAGGGCTATGATGTCGCCCGTGGAAATTTCTTGACTTTCCTAACACAGATCCTTCAAAACACAAAATGTATAACTTTTAGAGAATTTGCAAGATTGAGCAGATACAGAGCCAATCTACTTTGGGAGGTTTTATATTTTTCGGTTCACTGAGGTCAGCTGTTTTCGTTGTTCCACCGTGGAAAAATGGCGAGCGCGGTGGCCTTATTCGTGCGCGAAGTGGTTGGATGGCCACCATCTTACCAATGTTTACTTTTGGTGGGAAGTATCCTAAATGTGGCCTAACTGAATAACGGTGTAAAAATCTGAGTTCATTAAGGCACCACCCCACACCCGGAGACCCATCATGAAACTTGAATGCAAATAAATAAATAGGCTGCAACCACAGTGTTGCTTTTAAAGAGGGTCTGTAGTTTCTACATTCCACCGCCGTCATGTTCACCGTGTTTCTTGGGTAGGGTAGACAGGCCGCATGATCCTGCTGCGCCGGCGAAGGCTGAAGTAATTGAAGTGTAGAAAGTTCCCCACCGCAGCCGCGGCGCGCCCATCGCATTGTGCTTTTCATCATGTTCTTCTTTTCCAAGATGATTGAATCCTGAATGAACTTTTTAACAATTGTCATCGACTTTAGTTCATCGATTTAGTTCATAACCTACTATACCTCCATGGTTCAATCATCATAGAGCTAGCTCTACGGCCCCCCCGGGTTCAATTTACGCGCGCTTTGTAAACTAATTATTCACCGCACTCTGTCAATCATCATGACGTTGGGTATTGGATTTTCCAAATATGGTAAGCTCTTCCCGCCCTCTGTACTCTAGATGATTGGTTTTGATGAATTGCATTTAATATAAAACTAGATTTTTCGGTAAATAGGTCATTGATGCCGATAAGCTTTAGCAGTTATATGTCAGGATATGTCATCTACTATTCTACCAAGTTTCATGTAAATCTAGGATCTCTCTTTGGTGAAATCACGCATTTTACCAACCCTACCCCAAACGGTGTTGGTTTGGTTCTTGCGCCAGTGCACTTGCATAAAATATGAACGTTGGCGCTCTATCACGCCGTGAGACAGAACTTGTTTTCGAAGAGACTGGCATTTCACCTTAAATTTGGGCAAGTTTTTTCTTCATCCACGTCATAACATAAGATCATCCATATGTTTGACAATCTGTGACACCACTGATGTGCATTTTAAGCCATGTGTAACTTGAGATACCATGTTTTGGGTCATTCATAAAAAGTATGTTTTTCCCCGGTCATTGTTTGGTGCAGGTTCTACGTACGGTCGCTGATGGTCATCGTATGAACGATGCCTCTACTACGGCGCCGGGAGTTCAAACCCATCAAACCTCCTCCGGATTTACGACCAAACGAGGAGGTTTTCGTCTGCAGACTCACAAATGAACTATTCAGGGATTACAAGTGAGTCTCCAGGACAATCCACGTGTATTTTATTTGTGTTTTGGTGGTTGTATATTTCTTGTAATCAAATGTGTGCATGAAGTTGTTGGACCAATGTGAGAGCAGTTCGAAAAAATTGCGCCATTTTTGTTAAGCAGGCAAGACCTTGCATGCATCATGCATGCTAGCTACCCGCAACACACGGCGCCATACGGCCGGGTGCACAGGCTGTGTGTGGGACTGCGTTTGGTCATACTCTTTACTATGTTTTGTTAATTGGGAGGATTTTTATGAATGGAAACATGCATGTAGTTGGGTTGTTCTTTCAGCATGTTCAGGGCTGTGTAAAAAAAGGGTAAAAACCATGGACATGGCCATGGGGAGTGAGGCATTCCAAGTCCTGTCATTTTAAAGTGAAATAATGCATGGCATGAAATTAATCCTCCAAATAGTGTCTTTTTTTGGGGGGGGGGGGGGGCTGCTTATTAAATCATGGAGGAATAAGTTCTTATTCCTCCATGATTAAATCAAGAACCGGTGAGGCCTCTTTGGTGGCTAGTAATATGAAATGGTTATTTTCAAGAGTTGCCGTCCAAGTGAGGTGCCTGAACTGAAGACTTGGAACTTTTGAAGGATGATTCAGGAGGAACTGAATATAGGCCTATGTGTGTGTGTGAATATTACATGTATACTGCATGCAGTGAAGTTATTAAAATTGCAGTCAACAATGAAAATGCATGTACTGTACTATTATATTGGCGACAGAAGTTGAGTTTTGTTTTGATTTGGGCATTAGACCCATCAACGAAACATTACTGAACTTATGGTGTGAAAACATGCAACAGCTTCCATTAAAAAAAACACCATTTTCATAAACAACCTTAATTTTAGTTATTGATTTTGACAGCTCAAGAACCCAAGAGTGACTTTAAATGATTTGTGTACTTGGCCATATCTTCATCTCAGATATATTTTCATAAAAATGTCTTTATTTCAACTTTTCAAGTGAGTTCTTCAAGCGGACCATCCTGTGTAACAGCCTGGTGTGGAGTTGCTCTCTAACAGGCAAGCCAGGCCTGACGTACCAAGAGGCCGTGGAGAGCGAAGCCAAGGCCCGGCGCTACCTGGCCAGCTTCCCCGTCTACCTGGAAGCTCCAATCCTGTACCTGGTCACTCTCACCCAGCGCGGGCGCCTTGCCGACCTGTGCGATGACGTCTTTGTCTTTTCACGGGACCGTTACTTCATCGGGGAGATCGTGGATGTCTCTCACAAGGGGACCAGGTGCGCTACACTGTAGGGCTCGCTCAGCGACAGCCATCTCTGTAGGAGAACTGCAACTGCGTATTTTACGCAATCATGCACGCATTGTGCAGTGTTGAAAATGTTCCAAACATGCGTGCTTGTTGCTCGAAATGTGTTCGAAATACAACGCAGCCGATGCGCTTTATGCAAGTTGACGGTTGAAATGCCGATGCACGTGGATGGTCTATAGGAAATTACATTATTTGAACGAGACCAATTAGTATAAATTTAAGCTAGGCGTGGGCTCACCAATCTCACCAGGATATTCATTTAGGGTTGGGAAAAGATGACTTTAGACCAGGGTAAGAATAGGGGAACTATCCTTTGACAGTCGGGCCAACCCTGGTGTGCCTGGTAAAACCGGGTGAAACATTTTTTGTTTGTATGATTATTTATGTCCTTAAATTTGTTCACAGTTTTGACATGAATTTGTGAGGTGCTAGTTTTAAGGTGCTACACAATCCTTTTTATCTCCAGAATTGACCAAATTCCCTTTCTTTTCAGAATTCTTTTCAGAGTCGGCCATGTTTCCTTTGTTCAGGCATGCAACTTTTCCTCGGATCTGCTGATTTCCTCGTGAATGCAATTAGAAATTGAAAAACACTCTACAACGTCTTGTGTGGTTCGGATTTCCTGGGTTTTTTTTTCTTCTAAATTCCCAGTTGCATGGCTGTTTGTTGCCCTTCGGATGTGCAAAAAAAAGTGCTATAAAAAATAACTTCTAACGGAAATAGTTTTAATGTATTTAAATAAGGCTTTCAGTACATTCTTATTAAACGTTCTTGTGGGCATTCTTGTTCAGGGAGACGTGCAGAGTTGTCGGGGTGATTCCTCCCGTTGGAAGCAGCGAGTTGACCAATGGTGAGGCTAGCGATAGTGACGATGTCATCATCATTGAAGATGATGGCCAAGAAAAAGTCCTGAAGATGGGCGAACCCAAGACAAGGTAAATTTGTCCAAAAAAGGGGAAAGTTAAGTTCCATTAGTAATGTTGAGTGATACTAAAAAAAATTAAAATAAAAACAATTTGAATTTTGATTCCTATAATTGCTGTGTGCGAAGACAATACAGTTTCAGTGCTGGTAAAGTGGACTTGGCATTGACTTTGACCACATTGTAATGCATGTATGTCAACATACATGTAGAACCGTGACACCATTCTATAGCACGGCATGTAGAACGCCATGGTCCAGTGGTTACGGTGTTTGACTCATGTACGAAGGTGCGTGGGTTCGAACCCTGCCAGGAACATGGTGTTTGTGCCCTTGGGCAAGACACTTAACTACAATTGCCTCTCTCCACCCAGGAGTATAAATGGGTACCTGTGAGGGTCGAGGACCGATTGAGCGCTGATATCGGCTGCCGCGTGGTCCCATGGCCTGATGAACGGGTAATAATTGTAAAGCGCTTTGAGATAGTTGATACGATGGAAAGCGCTATATAAGCACAATCATTAATTATTATTACAGCAGACTTCTGTGCTTTGTATTTTATGATTAAACTATTTTTCTAGGACGCATGCGTATAAGCGTGAACTCTTGCTAATCCATGAAACATGCTTACCACAAATGTTATGGCGTAGAGTGAGGTTCTTTGCTCAGAACTACTTAAACCTGGGGTGTTTTCCAAGTACTGGTATGCGAACGACACAAAACGTTAACAATGATTTCCCATTGGACATGCACAAAAAGATCACAAACGTTGGCAAACGTGAGCATTGGCAAAAGTTGAATGCACCCCCTGATACCTGATTTGGTGATAGCCTAGGTGGCTTTTGACTTCTGGCAAATGAAAGAAACATTTAAAAAGATATGTCACATGACTCATTGACGAAATATCAATTGAAGTTAATGAAATGTATCATAATAGTGTCGTGTGTACTCCGAATCAAGGTTTTTCTCAAATGTTTTTGTAAAAAAAAAAAGTTTTCAGGTGATTTCAAGTGATCTTCTGGGACTTGATACGCCAAAAGATGCTAGCTACATAAGGGAGCTGTACACCTTCATAATAGTAGAAAATGTAGTCATAAACTTAACACTCTTATTTTGATGGTTTGGTTTTTCAGTAACAGGACCGGTCCACCTCAAACTCTAGAAGCAAACGAGTACCGATACAAAGTCATGTCTCTCCAAGGCAATGGGACCTACCAAGTAGATTACAGAAACATCGGGTCAGTGTTTTTTGTTTAACTTTTAAGACTTGAATTGAGACTTAGTACTCTATCGGGATGGGATTTGCGCACCATTACACCCCCCCCCTCTCAAAAAACGGACGCGTATATTTTATATGCGATCACAAAGAAAATGTTCACCTACTTTAATAGAATCTAGTTGAATGGAAATTGTAACAATTATACCAGAAAATAAGCACCTTGAGATGGCCATATGGTAGCCAATGAGGTTATATGGGGCATAGATTACTTTCTTCTCTGCTAAAATTAAAGGCACCGTGCAGTGAAACGTACCCAAAACAACATTTTCTTGCAAACGTTCATTTCTCCGAACTATTTTAATATAATGAGACACCCTCGTTTGGTTAATTGTTTCCATAAAGTGCACTTTCCAGTTAAAAAAAAAACGCATCATGCTGTTCCCAACAATTGAGGCCGCTGTTGCTGTGATGTCACCAGAGCCGTATATAGAGAGAGTTGCGACAACTTCAGACTGTTGAACCATAACAGCCGTTCATTATGTGTACAGTCCAGCGTGCGACTATTGTGTACGAATTATATATGTGCACAGATGCATAATCCGCCATTTTGCTTCCAAACAGTGCGACCCTCATGTTGCAACTCTCTCTATATACGGCTCTGGATGTCACTTCCAGTTCCAGCACACACTGTACAGTTTACGGATTTTAGTATACAAATCAGTAACCTAAAATGTGGCTCATTGAAAAAAAATGTTGCTTGAAATGTTTGCTTAATAGCTGACTATACTGTCATGGAAATTTACCACTCAATACGGACATTACATCGGTCAACCAAGTCCTCCTACAATTTTGCATTGAAGATTCATGAATTTGCAAAATTCTGTCACTATGCGGTACAACATTGATACATTCTTTGTTCGCAATTTGGGCATTAAACCACACGAACATCGGCAGAACTGTACACAACACTTAATCCCTCAAAATATTTCAACACCAGGCATGTTTTTTTAGGTAGTTAAGGTTAATTACTAAAGTCAAGCTTTTCGACTTGCTGATAATGAGCTTTCATGCTGTTGATTTTTTTTTCAGGAGGAAAAAAGGACTGTATACAAGAGAGAAGAACAAGTTGTTTTTAAAGCAGCACTGTGCCATCGTCAATCACGTGTGGTGTGTCAAGGTAAGCGACCTGTTGTTTTCATTGTCAAGAGGCACAAAAAGCACAATGTGAAGAAGGTGTAAAGTAAGCTATTCATTATGCAAGACAGGTTTGTGACATTTGCTCTTGGCATGGTATCGCCACATTCAAACTAAAGAAAGATTGTAAATGCAAAGGGTCCTAAGGTTCCTTGTCCAAAAGGTCCATTTTCAACATTTTCAATAACCTAAACATGTTTTTGTACGTTGTGCTAGAAATTATCATCTGGGCAAAAGTGTCACAAAATTATCCACAACTCAGAATTTTTTGGGGGGAGGGGGTTACTTTGTGGATGAAAAACCTATTTTCTATTTCATACCACTATTGCAGTTGGTACATAATTTTAAACACAAATACATGAACTTATGCACAATATTATATGTTTTTGTACAGATAGAAGGCTTTAAGAAATCTTTTTATTTGTCCTCTCCCCTAGCGTGAGTACAAAACCAAGTACAACCTGGCCCAGAAGCATTTCCACAATTTCTACGGAGGCCCACCTCCCCTTTTCGCCTTCTCCCCCGGTAAGAGAACCTGGAAGTGCAGTACGGAGCTGGAGTCATCCGAGGATGAAGATGATGACATTCCGTTGTGTGAAGTCAAGAAGAAGGCTCAGGCTAACCAGATCAAAGAAAACAGACCCGGTAAGATAAGACAGGACAGGAGGAAACAATGCATTCCTCACAACTCCCTTATTTCTAACCCTTGACTTGAATCCCTGGGCCCAATTTCATATAATATTGTGCATATGTTCACAAATCTGCTTAAGCACGAAAAAACATTGCTTAGTAAAATCAGGTTACCGGCCAAAACTCCATGTGATGTACATTACTTGTGACTGGTATTTAGCTGTTGTTTACTTAGCATTGCAATCGCATGGAGTTTTGGCCAGTAGCCTGATTTTATTAAGCAAGACTTTTTTGTGCTTAAGCAAATTTTGTGCTTAAGCAGCTCTATGAAATTGGCCCCTGTCCAACTCAACAACATGCAGCACTTGGTTAAAGGGAAGATACAACATTTGCGAATATCAAAAAACAAAATGATCAAATTATCATGAAATACTTTACTGGACTGTTGGGGAAGGACAGTGTAAAGCATCCTGTAAAATCATGGCTCCTGGTGTGCTGATGTTTCAAAAGTAAAGTGGTATTTGTGTATCAATTTCCAACACTGGTCGGCCGACCATCGTAAGAGAAAACTGACTTTTTTTTCAAAAACTGCTCAAACTTTTCATATTTAGTTTGTCAACATTTTCTTTGCAATTGATTACACACCCGTGGAGGGGTATAAGCCTGCTAGACTAATTCTCTGAACTTACAATTCCCCAAAGTCTATAAATTACTCCTTTTAATCTAAAGTGGGTCAGGGAACCAGACTACAAGAACACAATTTTTTTCTTGGTTTTTCGAGCATCTACGAACCCAAAGCATGAAGAAAGTCAGTTAAACAATATTTGCTATAACATACTAATCCTCCAAATCCGTTTATTTCTGAAAATTACAGCAAAAGCAAATGTTGTACATTCCCTTTGAGGTGGGCAGCCTACCCAGTGTAACAAGCTTTATTAGGTAAAAAAATCCCCAAGCCAAACTGCCACCAAGCCCTCAAAGTCCGTGCAGCAGAATACAAACGTGGCATCTGTTCAATGGAACTAGCTGCCATTACGTTCATTATGTGTGTCGGCCATTTTTGAAAACACAGCGAACGACTCAGGATGATGACTGTTAGTTGTTGCTAACAACGATTGCCAATGTTTGTGGCAAACAGTTGATCCCACTTGCACAAACGTTGTCAATGTTGGCAAGCGTTAGCATTGTTCGTGCAGAAGTGGAACACACCCTAGGTAAGAGTTGTGGATTTACATCGTTTTCTATATTAAAAAAAAAAAATCAGAAACGAAGGCCAAGCAGAAGACATCGCCCCCGGCCGAGCCCAAGAAACCCAAGATGACCTTGGAAGAGAGGGAGGCCATCCGAGAGCAAATGCGACAGGAGAAATTACTGATCAAGGAGCAGCTTCTGATGGAGCGGGCCCGGGCCAAGGAGCTCATCAGACTGCAGAAGCTGGAGGAGAAAGAAGCCCGCAAGGAGCAGATGAGGAAACTGATGGAGGAAGACAGACTCAAGAAAATGAGGGTATGTACAGGGAAGTGTCTGGCACTTAGTGTCCAATCCTAAATGTTCTCCAATTTCATGTATAAAATCTATCATCCTATGGGCTCCGTGCGCCACCGAAAGAGGGCGCCCTTTTACCTAGCAACGACATCCCATGGGCGGGACATTTAGCTGGTTGACGTGCATCATTCCTTGTGTGTGACGCACGTACACCAGGGGATTTGTACTATGTACACGCAGTGGTACGGCCGCGCGTCGCTGCAAACTTGCAGTCAGGCAAGATGGCGTCGGTCGGTCACCCCCAACTGTACTTTCTTTGCCGGTGAGGGGGTACTTGTGAACGGAGCGGATAGGGCCTGTAGCGCAGAAGCATTTCATTCCGAGTGTTGCTAAAGTCTCATATGTTTTAACATTTAGATTTTTTTGTTTTGGTTTCTGGCTTTTAGGAGCGCGAGGTTTTGAGGGAAGAGAAACGACTTCAGGATGAACACTGGAGGGAGTTTAATCGCACGAGAGACGATCTGGAGTGTGATGATCTCAAGGTAGGCACTGGAGATTACGATACGAAAACTCCTCTTTCTTGTTGTTATGGTCAGTTAATGGGATTTGGCAGATGTATGAAAAAACCTTGGCTTTTCCCCCATTGTCAACTGCGGAGGATTTGTGTCTGACTGGGGTTTAATGTGAGACCCATGCTCTGCTTCATGAACATCAAATCCTTTAATAAGAGGCCCCAACGTTTCAAGTCTTTTTACTTGGTTTGGACACAAAAGGAAGGGCCTTTTAATGCCCCTTTATGTCCCATTTATCTTCATTTTCAATCTTCATAATGCCATTTTGAAGGGTGTTTTTGATGCTGCTTTTGTTTTGTTGCATGTGCAAATTTCCATATTCATGAGCCAAACTGTGATGTCATTTTAGGCAGAAACTTCATATGTTACGGTTCCAGCATTTTAGGGGTTTTACCACGGTGAATCTTTTGGGTTTGGTGTATTAGTACACCAAAGTCTCTGAACAAGTCTAGAGCAAGTTCGGGCAAGGACTATAGTTAACCATAGTTCGACTAACTTCGCTCGAACGAAGGATGGTTGGACTACCTAGTCGACTACCTGGAACCGGAGCATGGGGCAAGGTTGCATCGCTGGTTACCAATAGCTGCGTGCATCATAAAGCACAACAGGGAGCCTGGATTTGTTACTATTGTTTGACTAGAGGTGTTCGCAAGTTGCAAATTAGTGCGCAGGCGTAAGTTAAGTCACTAATCAACCACTAGTTGACTGATGGTTCTCGCCTGAAGGTGCTTCTAGCCGAACTGGGATTCAACCTTTGGCTTGTACTTGCAGCCCTTTGTCTAAAACTCTCGTTTAAATATTTAAATCCTTTTTTCGTTAGGAGCTACCATGGCCGTCGCCTGTCAACATGAAGTTGCCTCAGGAGTTATTTGGCGATGTTGTCATGGTGCTGGAGTTCATGTATCACTTCAAGGAATATCTGGGCTTCAGCGAGGAGTTTCCCGATGGAATCATTCTTGGTGAGTTCTTGAGATTGAAAAGGGATTTCAAAACGTCCATTTCATCAATCATAGCCCAGCAGACTATTGAGCTTCTATTTGGAACACGCTGATCATAATATGGCATATGTCTGTGTACAACCAGATCAAATTGAGGATGCGTTGCTTACCAACAAGGTGGACGGGATGTACTATGATCTGGTCAACAGCCTCCTGTCGGCCATCTTCAGGATGCAGGAAGAGGAAGAAGAAGATGAGAAGTTCGATCTGAAGGAGGAGCAGCGTCATGCTCCGTCCGGTAAGAAGGCCCATCCTCCCCAAACATCTTGATTGGGTTTAGGGTAGGATGGGCCCAAGGCCAGATAAAGGCTGCATGATGCCCTGTGCCCAAGGAATGCTGGATACCATACAACACAAAAGCCTGGCTGGCTATTTAAACGAGGAGAATTGTTACCTAGTTTACATAAATTGTTAAATCAGGCGGCATTTTCAATTCAAAACACAAAATACTAAAATGAAAAGTCATGCAGAGGTACATTCTCAGATTGGAGGAACTATTTTGCTGCTGTAAAATTGTTTGACAACATGTGGTTAGCATTTCTGGGAGGGCCTCAAACGTTGGAGGCCCTGGATTCGGACCCATTGGGCTATTGCGTAATTCCGCTAGTCCGTCCTTTTACCTGTCATCTTTGAATCAAAGTGTTTTTCAGTTAATACCATGCCCGGTTGATACATCAAAAGCATTCTGACATCATTGGAAATTGCATTTACTGATTTGGATTTTCTTCAGACTGTTAAATTATGTGCCAGGGTGTACATTCCCAATTTGGAATTGAAAAGCCACGTCAGTGACGCCATGACAAATGTAAAGATGTGAACTTTTTTACTCAGTTAAACAAAGTGTAAGACATAGTTAACCAAGACAATTCAACATCTTGTTTAACTCTTTGTTAACTTAAAACAATTCGGATGGATGATTTTGAAAGAATGGTTTGGAATATTAACTGTATCAAACTTAAATCTCTTACAGCTGACTTGGCGGAAGCATTGTGTGAGGACGACCCAACTTACGCTGCTATGACCAAAGCCGCCACCTCAGCATTAGTCTGGCCACAAATTCATCAAGGTAGGCAACTTTTTGCCTATTTTGCCTATTTTGCCTACTTGTGGGCAATTTATGTCCATCTTTCAAATCGAAATTACTTTCGGGGGAAGAGAATTAACACTAATCCTGTTGGACTAACTTGGAACTTTCTTAAGATTACAAGATCCTCGACTGCTTGAAACCAGTTACACTGCTTTGTACCTAGACATTGAAGTTGCATCAATTCTTGTTTTTACACAAATAATGAATGTTTATGAGTGCAGTGGTACAAATAATTCGGGCGATTCACAATGCGCAGTGCGCCACCAAGAGTTTGCCACGGAGAGTTCATTTTTCCCAGTGCATTGTGGGAGATGGTCGACAAATTCGCAGCGCGGGACATTTGAAATTGTAAGTTTTTCCGGTCAGTAGTTTCGTGAGCGTATTATTCGAGGATTTGTTTGCCCATTTCTTTTCTTCTTACCAATATGGTGTTTTTTGTAAGGCGGCAAAACGCTATGCTCCAATCCATAACATATTAGATCAAGTTGTCTACTGACACTCATTCAAATGGGCCGTGTTTTGTCGACCGTAAACTTGAAAAATGGACTCTCCATGACAAACTCTTGGTGGCCCACTGCATTGTGAATTGCCCGAATTTAATGAGGGGACAGATGGAATGTGCCATTCCACGAGGCGACACATTTCGACACTGGCGGAGTCTCTTTCTATTTGCCTTTTAAAAAAGACGATGCTAGTGTCAAAACATCAGACCGTCGTAACTTTCTTAAAAGAAAATGAAATCTTGCTGTGCGACCTCGTATTTTAGTTTCCTTATCTGCCTCAGAAAAGACTGCTCTATAATCACCTTAACCTTCATTTTCGGGATTAATTCTCTCTATTCTACTTTTAATATCAGTATTTCTTGAAGATGAAAGCTTGCTATACGACCTTGTACATGAGTTTCCTTGTCCGCCTCAGAAAAGACTGCTCTGTAATCACCCTGCCCATCATTCTTGGGATTACTTCTCTCTATTCTACTTGTTATTTCAGTAAAATGTTTAATTTAGGAATATAATTGACCGCATCAATGTTGAACTTGCCCTAGGTACACCATTGCGTCAGCTGCCCATTGATTCCACCACCATCTCTGAAGTCTTACGCCTTCACTTCCTATCCTCCGGTGCCCGTACGACGTCAGAGAACACCAAATGGCGCTACCAGCAACGAGGGGATTTATTCCCCATGACGACCCGGGCTTGGAGTTCCGCATGCAAGACCCCGATATCCTCAAGACACTCACTACGGGAAACATGTTTGATCTACCTCCTTGTAAGTAACTGGATTAAGGATTCTATATGCAGTTGTCTGAAAAAAATATCATAGGGTAACATTAAAACATGCAGGATCATTTGTGTTTATTCCACAAATAACGTACTAAATTATTATCAAAAAGCTTACTTGGATTAAAGATCATACTGGTACTAAACACCCCGTGAAATTACTCCATCTGGCTTGCTGTCATTTAGAAGAAATCAAGAAATGTAGGTGATTTCCAATGATCCACCAATTGACTGATATTTTTTTTATTTGGAAATAAGGAGTTATAGTAACGAGATCTTGTTCCGTGATCAAATGGTTATCCATGGATTTTTGGTTTTCTCAAAGAGTATAATATCCACTGAGATAGGTTAGGTTTTCAACATTCTTCAAAATTCACACACTTCCTCGGGCGGGACTCAAACCCTCTATCTCCTGCCCACTAGACCTCTTCAACACGAGACCATTGCGCTTTAGATAAACAGCAGGTTATACATTTATCTGAGTCAATTTTATAAAGCAGACTTCAACGGTAATCTTTTTTTTAAACTCAATCGCATAATTTTTACATCCAATGTCTACCTTGATATGCAGCATCTAAGACGAAGATACTTACGTCGCTGTGCGGCCAGCTCTTGACCTATGTGACGATGCGGGACATCATTGAGGAAAGCTTGGAAACATTCCAGACTTCTCGTAAGGAATGGCGGGAGCTTGTCAGGCTAGAGCATCGAAGAGAGAGAGAGGATGGAACTGCCAAGTAAGACATACTTTGGTGTTCTACAAGCGCTATCACTGTAGAGGTTTCTTACAACCTGAAATTCGCTTGGCACCAAGTTTGCTGTGATTTATCTCATTCTGAGCTATAACATACTCAGCCTGTTCAAATGATTATTTTGGCCTTGACAGGTGGAAGCGGCGACTGGAGGAACGAGCTTTGGAGAAAGAGCACGAGAGATTGAAGCGAGAGCAGCGAGATCGTGAACGCGAAGCCCAACTACGTCAAGACCAACAGGCCGGTGCCGGGGAAGAAATCATCAACCTGGACAGCAGCTCAGAAACGGAAGATATGGATCAGACCAGCGAATCCGTCCAGAAAAATGGTCCAAAGACGGAGGATGCTCTGGAGCTCATGGACTTGGAACAAAGACTGGAAAACCTGAAGCCGTTACCAACACAGGAGGAGCTGGATGCTAGGCAGAGAAGGGAGGAGGAAGAAAATGCAGCACTTAAAGCAGAGTTCAACAAGAGGAACCGGGAGTACCGCTTGGAAATGGCCGAAGCAGCCATGCGTTACAGCATCACACCACTAGGTGAAGACAGGATATACCGCCGGTTCTGGCTGTTCAGCGCAGTCCCGGGATTGTTCGTGGAACACGATCTCTCCCATTTGGTTGACGTCGATCTGAACCCTGTACCTCAGCGAGTGGATTGCAAGCCTCAAATTCCTGACGTTGGCTTACCACAGGTCAAGCCCGAGAATCTGGAGGGTGACAAGGACCAGGATACATCAACCAGCAGTAACAAAGAGAACATCGATGTGGAGGCCGTTAACGGAGCGATGGAAACGGAAACAACAGCCCAGCAGCAAGAGAGACTGGTTAAGGAGCCACTCTTGGTGAACGGTGTTATCCAGGAGGCAGAACCAAAGCAAGAGCCTGACCCTTGCATGATGCACAAACAGCACACCCGCTGGTCTTACTACAGTACTCCCCAAGAGCTGGAGAGCTTGATGGCCTCGCTCAATCGGCGGGGGTTCCGGGAGAAGTCCCTGAAGGAGGCCATCCTCTACGAGAAGATGCGTATTGAGGATTCACTGCAGGCAGTCCCCACCAAGGCTCTGAATTCTACCAACAAGGAGGAAGGGGCTGAGGGGGAGGAATTGGAGAAAGACTCCAAGCAGGGCGGGGTCTCGAGGCAAGTTGTGGTCAAGATGAACAGTGGCAAGAAGGGCCTAGTGTCGGACAAGGCTAACGGCGATGAAGCGCTGGAATTACTTCTCAGGGAACAGATATTGGATATTGAGGAGAGAGTCTGGAATGGCAGCTTGGGCATCATCAAGGTAGGACTTGGATTTTCTCTCAGAGTTGTAGTTCACTCCTCACAATTCAATCACAAGTCCTTCTTTGTCAAGTCAGATCACAAGCTATTCAAATTTACTATGAAAAAAACGTCCTTTTACATATGATGAACGATGTATGTTTTCCTGTACTTGAAAGAAACTGTTGGTAGAAAGTATTGTCGTTGTGCATGAAATTGGATTTTTGCCAGTGTAGTATTTTTCTCAAATGCTTTTTCCTTCATCAAAGGTGGAGCAACGAGGAGAATGGATCACAGCCATTGAGCAGGGCTCTTACATTCGTCAGTGCCAGCAGATCAGCTGGGGACCCCTCTACGCTCGCTCCTTCTTGGATGACAAGGACTTTCTGAATATGTCAATGCCAGACCTACCCAAGCTGGAGGATGAAGGGGCATCGGCCCAGACAAGGAAGCACAGCAGGTCCGTGTGAGAAGGGGTCAGCTTTGTAAATCGAGCCAGTCACAAGTACATTGCATGTCAATCACAAGTACATGACATGTCAGTCACAAGTCAATCACAAAAATGTCACAGCTCCTATCACAAGTCATGTAACAAGATAAATCACAAAATCGAATAACACGTCAGAACACAAGTCAGAACACACGTCAGAACACAAGTCATGTCACCAGTCATACCACAAGTCATATGACAAGTCATATGACAAGCCACATGACAAGTCATATGACAAGTCATATGACGGTCAAATCACAAGTCATATGACGGTCAAATCACAAGTCATATCACAAGTCGTATCACAAGTCAAATCTCAAGTTGTATCACAAGTCAAATCATAATTCATATCACAATTCATAACATCAAGTCATATTATAAGTCATGGCACAGGTCATATCACAAGTCAAATAACAAGTCATGTCACAAGCCATATCAAATGTCAAATCACAAGTAAAATTACAAGTCATATCACAAGTCATATAACAAGTAATGTCACAAGTCAAAACACAAGGCATGTATGTCACCAGTCCATGTCACAAGTCATTCATTAGTCATATCACAAGTCAACTGTAAGTCAAGACAAATCACAAAGTAATTCCTTGTTTTCTACCTTTTCCAAGTGAACAAACAGTAACCAATTATTTATTTTTTCCCCTTGCAACAGACTTGCTGAGCTCCAGCGATCGGATGCCACTGGGTCACCATCCTCAACCCGCTGCAGTACCCCTATGACCCCCATGGATAACGTAGTCAGGGACCTGACTTGTGCCTTACTCCAGGTGTCTCAGGGAATCGATGCCAAGTACTTGAAAGCTCCCCTCGGTAAGTCAGACGGACTAGGAAATACATTCTGTCGAAGAAGGCACAAGCATTTCAGAAAGTTGTCATTCTGATACCAATTACACACTATTTAACGTCCAGGATAACCAAGGATTTAAGAAACGTAAGTATTAAATTATTTTGCTACATTTTTTTTTTTTAACAGGGAGTGAGGATACTGGGCGGTATGCAGCTATCAGAAAGAGCAAGAGAATGCAGGAGAAACTAGAAGGAAAGAAAGAAGAGAGTGAAGATGAGGATGAAGATGGTAGGAAAATGACCAAATAAATATACATCTTGAGGTTTTACAAGGTTTGATTTTTTGTTTTATGGGGTAACTCAGAGTTTACTCGCGTGCCGGTGAAAGGCGCTCACTCCTGCATTGCCCAATGTTGCCTCAAAAGTTTAAATACGTGTGACATGCACGTGAGTATTTGAAAAATACACTAGTTGATCCTTTTCCTGCTAGTTTGTTGATCATTCAGGCATGAAAGTTTTCCTCGGATCAGCTGATTTCCTCGTTTTTTACTTCCCATTAATGCCATTGAAATGGAAAAATACTGTACAAAATATTGTGTGGTTTGGAGTTACTCCTCGTTTTTTTTCCCTCTAAATTCCCAGTTGTGTGCCTGATCATCTCTTTGACATTCAGGCATTCACCTGATGATTGCCAGAAAATTCTGACCGAAAATGTTCTTCTGAGAACCCCCTGTCTTTTAGTGTGTCCTCAAACGTATCCCCAATTTACCCCCTCTTCCTGCCAGCTGATAAGAAGCCCCGGAAGACCTGCCGGGAATGCTGGGAAGAGTCCCTGATGGCGGCCACCAGCCTGCCCCAAATCTTCCTGCACCTCTCCACCTTGGAGCGCTCCATCATCTGGTCCAAGTCCATCCTGAATGCCCGCTGCCGCATCTGCCGACGCAAGGGCGACGCCGAGCAGATGCTGCTGTGCGATGGTTGCGACCGCGGTTTGCACATGTACTGCTTGAAACCACGTCTCAAGGTAGGTGTACATTCACCGTCTTAGTATCTATATATTAACTGTTTTGGCAACGTTCCCAAAACAGCCATTGTTTTTGTTCAGATTTGTTGTCTTCTTTTTCCCCCCAGACGTTTCTCCGCAGCATTTGTACTTTTGGGTTTACAGGCCAGTTTGTTTTTTGCCTTTCAGAAAGTTCCTCAGGGAGAGTGGTACTGCAAAGACTGCACACCCAAAGAGCGCAGTCCGAGGAAGCAGAGACGAACAATGATGCAGAAGAGGAAACAAGAGGAAGAGGAAGAAGAAGAGGAGGAAGATTCTTCAGAGGAGGAGGAGGAAGAAGAAGAAGGGGAAGAAGAGGAAGAACAAGCTTCATCTGATGAAGAAGATGAAAATGAAGAAGACAGTGACGTTGAAGATGAAGAAGAAGAAGATGAGGAGGAGGAGGAGGAAGAAGAGGAAGATGAGGAGGAAGTTAGTGAAGAAGAAGCCAGTGATGCCGAGATGGAAAGTGATGAGGAAGAGTGAGTTTTTTATATTTTTTGGCATGTAATAGTATTTCACATGCAGTGAATCTTCTCATCATTTTGATAGATCATTTCGATATCTTGATACATACTGATATTGTGTGAGTGAAAAGGTTGATGTTCCTATAGATTTCCATTTTTGTCAGTTTCTGTAAAAAAGGATGTGGTATCTGTGAAAGGCACCTGAGCCTGGTGCATTTGGTTTTACAAACATATACAAATTTGTTTTCCTAACCCTAACTCCCTAGGCATTTTTGTTAGGATGTAACCTCAATTCTGCAAAATCCTCCAACTGCCTCCATGTAAAAATAGCATAAAGCCTCAATCCTGCAAAATCCTCCGTTATTTCTTGAAAGTGGTCCTTAGAAGGGTGACCACTGTCTCTGTCTCAATCCTGCAAACTCCTCTGACAATCACCGTCAATATCAGGGGTGTGAAATCTCAGCTTTAAAGCTGATTTCAGCTTCTTCTTTTTTTTTTTGGATTTCGGCTTTTTTCCCAGCTTTTTCTCTCACTTGCTGTGTACAAAAGTATAGGAGATTTCCAAAGTTCAGGTGTTTACACCTTTTTCAGCTGTTTTCAGCTATTTTTATCAGAGGTCACTCACACCCCTGCAATATGTGGAGGCAGAGCCAGTGACATCCTGGAGCAGTGCGGAGGATTTCAAGCATAATCTAAACAACACGAGGTCCAGCCCAAGACCTTCACACAGTGCATCCTCCAAAATCAGCAACACACTTGTGCTATGTAGCCTCAATCCTGCAAAATCCTCCATTTTGCAAAGAGGATTTTGCAGGATTTGGGAAGGTCAGGGTTAAATGGAACATTCACAAGCATTTCATGGACTTACAGACATAAAGTGTGCTATAGGGGGATTGTATGGTTATTTCTCCTTGGTGATCTCTCTTTGCAGTATTGACCATCTAGACACCTGTGAGGGATGCGGGCACGGGGGCCAAATGGTCCTCTGCCACAAATGCCCCTGCGCCTACCACATTGAGTGCTTACAGCCGCCCCTGCACAAACCGCCCCGTGCCAAATGGCTGTGCCCGATCTGCTCTGTAAAGCGTATACCCAACGGGTAAAAGACTGTTCCCTATCAATCGGCCTTGCTGTCGCATCGCATGTACCAGTGCCCCCTCTACCCCCTAACCTGTGCTAGCTTGCCCCACGCTCTAGAAATGTGAATACGTAACACATACAGAATGCGTTGGTAACACTTCACAAATGTCTGTATCCCTGCATGTAATAACGCCCCATGCCGCGCCCCCTACATTCACTAATTTCTGTTTTTCTTCCCTCAAAGAAGAACCATAAACCATACGGAAAGGCATAAATGTACAAATAGTTCAGTACCAGTAACATGTCACCAACAAATACTTAACACACACAAGAAAAACACTCGGCAAAGTACTAGATGTAATGTTGTGCATGAATTTTGCCATCAAACCAGAGTGCGTACATTACGTTTATATAATTTACTGTGCAGCTCCAGTGCTCTACCTATTCGGGTCATTTTGTAGATTTAGGGTCCAAAGTGCGACATTTTTCTTGTCCTGTTACCTCTGAACTTTGTAATTTGCAATTAAAGTGTTATAAAAATTGACGTCATCCTAATTTTTATTTGTTGGGTATGTCATTACATTGTATTCACTCTAGGAGGGCGATACAATAGCCCTAACTCCCTACTGAGTTTTACTAAGAACAGGACCAAGTCTGCCAAATCCATCACTGACTCTGCTTCACATAATGCTTCAGGACCAAATCAGCCGAAATCCACCACAAATCCACCACTGCTATAGGTGGATTTTGATGGACTTGGTACTCATGGCTTGTCTGCCAAAAGCCCCCAAAATTGAGGGAAGGATATTGATGGAGTTGGGAAGGTTAGGGTTAATAAGGAGTGCATCCAGTCAGATAAAACAGGGACAGGACAAAGTGGACCCTAGATTTATAGAATGACCCATGTGCAAAGTAAACCACAGTGTTGCTAAAAGGCCTGTGTATAGTCAACGTGGCAGATAAAGTTCCTTTAACACACTATTGACTGCATGTTAGTACATGTAACTATTTTTTGTTTTTCTGTTGGTTGAAGCGTTTTGAATATGTTCAAAATTGTTTTGCGTTATTAAAAGCTGTGTGCAATAACCACATCCTCAGTGGTAAGGCCAAAAAAAAATAGTTCTGCTTCCAGTTTGCCTAACTACCCTATTGTGAAAGCCCCTACCCTAATTTTTTTATGGGAAAAATGAGAAAAAAAACACCCCAAACCATCAATTTCTACGTTTTACCCTTGACTACACGCAGAGGCCTCCATAAGATCGTAAACGAAAAAAAATTGGCCCAAAAAAACCCCCAATTCCCTACCTACCTACCCTATTTTTGAATGCCATGTAATCGGAAGCAGAACATTTCTTTTTTTGGCCTAATGTTACAGGAACAACCCACAGAACCCATGTTAAGGGGACAAAGCACAAACAAAAGATCACCAACAACATGAGAAATGGCACAAAACAGGACAAGTAGACAGAAACAACCTAATAGTATAATAGACTTTAAACGGGTAGATTTTACGGTGCCTACCAGATAATTCAAAACATTTGCATAGAGGGATTTGGAACAGTTTAGTAGATATGAATTAGATCAATGAGCGTTTAACACTTAAAAAGATCAGTGCAAGCTGGAAGCCAGTGGAGAATGCAGGATTAAGCCCGGTTCATACTCTGCGCGAAAGCGAACGCGAATTTGTGACGTTAAAGTTGAACATATTTCAACTCTGGCGAATTTTGCAGCGAATATTTCATGACGTCAAATTCGCTTTGCATTCGCATGAAGTATGAACCGGGCTTTACATGTATATTAACTGAATACAGGAAGGAACTTAAAAGAAAATACACCAGTAAAAATGACAAAGAAAAAAATGACCCCCCCCCCCCCCTTCAAACAGTGCAAACTGCAACTGACCAGGAAAAAATGACGGCTATTTGTAATTGAAATGATAAGCTAGCAATGTAGTTTCAAGAGTATTGCATGTGTAGTGTACATGTCTCACTCTCAACTATTTCTGTAAAAATGCCAAATATTTGTTGTCTGTTGGTTTGATGAGTTAATGCTGTACCTCCCTGTGTATTTGTTTGTTTGTCCCTGCCTGCTGTCTGTCTGTCCTGTACATCTTTTCCTTGCATGCATCCTTGCATCAAAAGCCATGTTCACCAGTAGCTAGTCATGGCAACTGTAGTTCACTTAAAGCATCAAACATCTTGGTAATCCTCACATCACTGATAAATTGATAGATTGTCCAAATTTGCTTTTATTCCATAGCCCTTCAGAAAGAACCCGAGTTCAGAAGTCTGCAGTTTCAATCAATATTTTGTGTTTGTCACCATTGTATGGGCTTAGTGCTAAAATGTTAGGGTTGTCGTGTCCTACCAACATGAGCCAAATTGTGTGCCATTGCATTGTTGCCAAGAGTTGTGCACTTGGATCTAGTGGTGGGAGAAATCTGAGATTTATAAATCTGGTTATGCTAATTTTTTTCAAACCAAATATAACGGTTATCTGATTTCACCAGAAGTTCCCATTCAACTTACAGTCAACAAAAAGTGATGAGTAAAGGTACTGCATGCAGTGCCCTCCTAATGATTGGGTATAGTTTGCAGGATTCAATGGCCACTGGGTCTCTGCAAAAACACTCCAGAGCTGTAATGATGAAACAAAATGGGTGGGAACTCTCTGATAAGTCGAATGGGCAGGCTATTCATATACCAAGAAGACATTCGGGCGATTCACAATGCAGTGCGCCACCAAAAGTTTGCCATGGAGAGTCTATTTTTATGCCCCGCGGCGAAGCCGAAGGGGCATACTGTTTCCGCCTTGTCCTTCCGTGGGTGGGTGGGTGGGTGTGTGGGTGGGTGAGCTTGTCTTACATACGCAGTGTGGACTTCCGAACAAAAGACGTCCACATAATGTAGGTAGCACCGACGTTGTGTGGACTTGCCCACGTCCACACAGTGTTTCCCCATTTCTGGAAAACAGGTTTAGAGGCATTTTTGGGTTAGGTTTATCTGTAGCAGAATGAAGAGAAACACTAAAGGGAATCATAGAAAAAAAATTGGGTTGAAAGAGTTTTCACAGTTTGAGAAAAATGAGTTTTTTCACTGGTTTTTCTTAACTACACGAAAGCAATGGAAAGTCCACACTAGTCATGTGAAACAAGTATGCGTGTGTGTGTGGGTGTGTGTGTCCGGACAAATCTTGTCAGCGCGATAACTTGAGAAATACTTAACATATGAACTTCAAATTTGGTTTGTGGATTGTCCTTGGTAATCCTTAGAAGCCTTTTGCATTTGGGGCCGAAAGGTCAAGGGTCAAGGTCACAGTGGCTGAAACAATAGAAATTTTGTCAGCGCGATAACTTGAGAAATACTTTACATATGAACTTCAAATTTGGTTTGTGGATTGTCCTTGGCAATTCTAAGAAGCCTTTTACATTACGGGCCAAAAGGTCAAGGGTCAAGGTCACAGTGACTAAAACAAAAGAAATTTTGTCAGCGCGATAACTTAAGAAATACTTTACATATGAACTTCAAATTTGGTTTGTGTATTGTTCTTGGTAATCCTAAGAAGCCTATTGCATTTGGGGCCGAAAGGTCAAGGGTCAAGGTCACAGTTGCTGAAACAATAGAAATTTTGTCAGCGCGATAACTTGAGATATACTTTACATATGAACTTCAAATTTGGTTTGTGGATTGTCCTTGGCAATCCTAAGAAGCCTTTTGCATTTGGGGCCAAAAGGTCAAGGGTCAAGGTCACAGTGGCAAAAACAATAGAAATTTTGTCAGCGCGATAACTTGAGATATACTTTACATATGAACTTCAAATTTAGTTTGTGGATTGTCCTTGGCAATCCTAAGGAGCCTATCGCATTGGGGGTCGAAAGGTCAAGGGTCAAGGTCACAGTGGCTAAAACAATAGAAATCTTGTATTTATTCTGAGATCATAGGGATTAGGGATTAATTCATATAAAACCTACAGAAGACACTAATGCTGTCAATGAACGTTCCATTTGACCAAGGTAAATGTAATTTGATGTTAGAGTGGTGTTATGTCATGGAAACAGTCACGGTTGCGGGGCATTTGTGTTTGTAAACACACCTGACTTGTTCAAGTTTACGGTCGACAAAACATGGCCCATTTGAATGAGTGTCAGTAGACAACTTGAGCTATTTTGTTATAGATTTGGGCATAGCGTTCTGCCGCCTTCCAAAAAAAACCCACCATATTGATAAACAGCAAAGAAAGGGGCAATTAGATACTCCACTCATACGTAAACAAATATACTGACCGGAGAAATGAACAATTTCAAATGTCCCATGCTGCGAATTTGTCAACCATCTCCCACAATGCACTGGGAAAATGAACTCTCCGTGGCAAACTCTTGGTGGCGCACTGCATTGTGAATCGCCCGAATTGAATGCAGTTACAATGTTCCAGTTTTCAATAGCCTATGTTACAAAAAAATGGAAGGCTTAATTTTTAAGGTTAGTCTCGAATATCCGGTTTCCAAAATCAAAACTGATTAGTGGAATTCAAACCTAATTTTCAAAAAATCCGGATTTATATCCCGCCCTACTCGGATTACCAAAAGTCAGGCTTCGTTCTTGTAGACACCTTGGACTCAATGCAGGCACAGAAGATGACACTATTGGACCTAGAAACGAAACTCAAGAATGCTGTGCTTGCCAATCCGCAACCGCAAATTATGTTTGTGCATGAACATGTATTGCTGGCATGCAAGCAACAAATTTTTATCTCAATATTGACAAAATCAATGTCTTTATAGAGGAACACACCTTAACCCTAACCTCCGTGGTATTTTGGCTAGAAACCCTGCCAAACGCAACAACGTGTAACACTTGTCTAAGCGACAAGCCTCCCCAGTGTAGCAAGATCCATCAGGTGAAAAGTCTCACAGCCAAACTGCCTCAGAGTCTGTGGTCACCAACTGCAGCAGGATACAACTGTGGCATTTTTCAGTGGGACTAGCTCTCATTGTCTCAGAAGCGGCCGTTTATGTTGGTAGCTGAATGCATCAAAGTGCACCATACTTTTCCACCTGATGCACTGTGTTGCGTCTGGCAGGGTAAGGGTCAAATTGTAGAGATGCATGGCAGCAGTGATGTACAGGTGCCATCATGTCACTTTTTCCCACCGTTGAGGGAATACTTGTGCAGAAAGTCCCTAGGAAATGACACTAAATTATTTGCATCTTCAAGTGAGTATCAAGCCCGCACAGGCTTCACGTTATTTCAGCTTTTGCTTTGATTGTTTGGCATTCCGATATTACTGTTGTGCTTTGTTGATTCAGGGCTACTGGGAGTGATGCAGATGCACATGAGGACACCTGTGCAACCTGCGGTCACGGTGGGGAGCTGATTTGCTGCGACACCTGCCCCAAGGCTTTCCACATGGAGTGCTGCAAGCCGGCGTTGTCCCGCATACCCAAGGGCCAGTGGAGCTGTGAAGTATGCAAGAAGGCAAAGCGATCAGGCAAGAATCAACGAGCAGGCAAGAGCATGGGTAGGCATCCAAGGATTTGGCCTCTTTAAGTTTGAGGGTCACTAACAATTCATCTTCTTCTTTTTGGGGGGGAAGGGGGGGGGGGGTGGGGGGGGGTAATTGACCTTCTGTAGGAAAAGTATGTGGCACTACTCACAAGAGAAAGTGTGTGAATGATATGGTGCAGGTGCACTTTGGTAGATCTATGGCAAGATCCCAGTTATTAGTGATCCGAATTGCTTTTTGAGATTTTAATTAAAAGTCACATCACACAACTGCAGAGAGTCCTGCCTCAACTTCCAAGAGCTCGTCTAAGGAGTCGACGCCTAAGGGAGGAGCCAGCTCCAAGAACTCCACCCCTAAGAGTGCCACACCCAAAGATTCCGCATCCAGAGGATCCTCGTCAAAGAACCCTCCCAAGTCGGCATCGAAAGGAGGCAAGACGCAGGCCAAAACAACAGGGAGCAAAAGTAAGGCGGGGTCCTCGGCGTCCAAGAAACCAGAGGCATCTAAGAAACGAGAGGCCACCAAGAAACCAGAGACGTCCAAAGCGGATGCCAAGACTTCCAGGAGCCATGAGGAGGGGCGGGGCCGTAGCAGCAGGAGGCAGTCTACAGACTCGCGCTCCTCCACCCCAGATGCGGAGGCCGGGAAGCTGAACATGATGAAGGGTGTGAAGGTGGTGCTAACAGCCATCAACGGTGGGAGCAGGAGGCAGCAGAGATCAAGGAGCCAGTCTCTTGATGGTAATGAATGCTGAGGGTTCCTGGCCTTGTGCATTGAACTCAAAGACCTTTTCGGTGATTCTAGAAATGTTTGGTTCCAGTTGAGCCTGTGGGGTTGCGGTGATGTTGCGGCAAGACACTTATCCAAATAATTGCTTCTCTCCGGCCAGCAAGATGGATATCTGTGTCTGCATTGAGCAGAGATAGTCTAAGGAATGTCTTATGGGCCCAACAAACGGGGGTATTAATGATTGATGTGAAGCACTTTATTGAAAGTGCTATGTAAATACCCTTATCAGAATTAAATGTCTACTGAGCGACAGTAGTTATTACCACACGGTGTTACCGCAAACCGAAACGATACAAATACCCAATATTTAAGTATTGGGAAGTCATATTATGCCAAGAGGCGTAGCAACCTCCTCAAAAGAACAAAATAGAACCAACCAAGCAGTGGTGTTTGTACAGGATTGACTAATCAGTTGTGAGGAGATCGACTGACAGGAATTTATTGGTTCAGGATCTGCCAGACAGTTGACTGGAGCATGTAGGCAAATACATGATCTAACCTGAGTAGGGGAGTGTTAGCCAAGTCTGTACAAGTTGGTCGCATGTCCATCTCAATCTCAGTTGTAAAGCTATTCAAATGAAAGGTTACAAGAGGGCCTTCCTTTGTCAGTGTTCGTTCCCCGTTACTCACGACTTGTGAGTGGACACAAAACTGACTTTTGATTTCATCATTCATATACTTTTTTCTTCTTCTTTGTTTTAATTAAAGATTCAGCATCAGAGGATTCAGGTCCCTCTTCTGTGTATCGCAGACAGTCTTCAAGTGGGCGCGGCAGCAAGGAAATGAGGAAGATTCACCATTGTGAGGAGCTCCTTAAGGAGTTGGTCAAGCACCCGGAGTCTGTACCCTTCCTCTCTGCAGTCAGCAAGAAGGCAGTGAGTAGTCACTTTATGGTCCCTCAGGGAATGAGCCAAGTTGAATATATCTGTATTTCAATGACCCGAGGTCATTCTGGATAACATCACTGATGTGATGTCAGTGATGTTACGCAGACGCCCATTCTGCTTGTAATTTTACACGCAAGCGTTGTGCGCCCGCGTTCATGCGCCTTCTAAACAATCGATCATCCTGAATGACCCGTGACCCATATCATTGTGCACATGCGCAGTTGAAATACTGAACTGGCTTATGTCTTGTGAAACAACTCATGAATTGCACAGTGACAATCACATAACCCTGATGCAAAGTTCTACTGCAAAGTGTGACAATGCGGCATTAACAGAGCTTTATTATCAATATTACAATACTACCCATGAGATAGCTGTGTTTGCTCTTAAATGTGTATGTAGCACAATCAAATCTTTTGATTTCTGCCCCCATCCCCCCTACCCCCTCAGGTACCCGACTACTACAAGATCATCAAGCGGCCGATGGACTTTGCCAGCATGCAGACCAAAGTTAACGCCATGGAGTACCGGACAGCCACTGAGTTCGTGGCCGACGTCCAGCTGATCTTCACCAACTGTCAGCAGTACAACCAGCCCTGGAGCGCCACCTACAAGTCCGGCACCAAGCTGCGGGCGTTCTTTGAGAAGCGACTGAAGGCGTTGGGTATCAGCGTCCCAACGAGCCGGGAGGCAAAGGGAAAGGATGTGCCGACAGAGGAGCAGCCACCAAAGAAGCGACCAAGACGAAGATGAATCAGAATGCCTTTAAAACGAAGGCCATGGAGAAGAAAAAAAAACAGAAAAACTTAGAGTAGAACGCCACTGTAATGAATAGACTCTGTGCATTAAGAGTAGATGTTGTCACCATTCCTGGGGGGGGGGGGGGAGCATGACTGATTTTATTCTGAATCTGCACAATCCGGTTGTGTCTTCCCGTAAGTGTCAGGTGCCGTCGGGAACGCGTTCCAGTGTCCCTCCCAGTGGTCTCCCCCAACTTTCTCTTTGGAACCTCTGACGAGATACTTGTGAACGGAGTCCAGACCACTTTACCATTTGGCTAAAGAGCAGCCTTTTTGGGAACTGATTTTTTTTACGTCAACAATTGCGACCAAACATTTCTGTAACAAGCCATCACTGCATTTAATAATCCTATGTAGACACCGTTGAGTTTATCACAGCGACGTTTAGCTGTGCTCTAATGAGATTGGTCAAAGAATTATTTCACACTAATATGTTTTTATACGTTGTGTTTTTGCAGAAGGAAAGCACAAAACATGTAACAAATCAAACCATTTCTTGTTTTGTTAATTTTGGGTACCATTTTGAGGCAGTTTTATCGCTAACAAACAAACGGAAAAAAGCAGTGTCCACATGCACTTTTCGTTTCAGTCAGATCTGTAAACTTTTTTTTTTCCCAATTAATCATGGCATGAGGGTGCATTTCCCTTATAAGAACAATGCTAATGTTTGCCAGGAATGGTAATGTATTCGTTGGCAAATGTTAGCGGTAACGTTGGCAAATGTTAGCAACAAAGGTCAACAGTCTTCCAGAATTGTTGGCCGTTATTTTCCAAAATTGCTGACTCGCACACAGTAAGCACGATGCTTCTTTGGGAGCTGAAAGTGGCTCTTTTAAACATCAAAATTACCAAATAAATTTCCATCAAAAGCGAAATTGTTCTCTTTCTGTCGCAAGTCATTTTCGACAAATTAAAGGGGCTGCTTTGCCCACGGAGACACTGGTAGTACCGTGTGTGCCATTTTGACATCAGTGTTTCGATGACATTGTTTGTTGTGCTTGGGGTTGACACATATGCATATAGGTACTAGGTCTGTCTAACGTTTGCGCTACCGTTGGTGTGAATGGAACGGACCCCTTATTCCAAAGAATAATGATTGCAAAATATGACCCTTTGTGCTGGAAAAAAAGTAATATTTAAGTTTAAAATGTAGGAGAACCATTGTACATTTCTAGTATCAGTTTGTAGTTCATTTTCTTAGTAAGATAATATTGGGATTTTTGGTCATTACACAATGTTTTTGCAGTTCATCTCTGAGTTATTAAATATCATGCTGTGATCAGATTCAAATTTTCAGGGAGACGGCCAAATTAGATTTACTGAGGGAAATGTATTTTCCAGCACAAATTTCAAGCACTGAATGCAGAGCAAAAATGTGGGGAAAAAACTGTTGCAACAACAACACGTATATTATGTGTGAAATGGTTGTTGACAATGGGACATATTGGAATATAAGTGGAATCAGTCAAGTGCTAATCCTAATAAAAGACGTTTTTATCACCTCGATGCAAATTTCATCAAAACTTGCCCAGTATTTTGAAATTATATTCTTGTGATGAACTGTTGACCTACACAAACAGGCATATTTGCATCGTTGGGAAAAAAGTTTCAGGCAATCGGTGTGATTGAGTCAAGTTTTCTCTGGGCATTCACTATTAGAAAGGATATCTCATGGAATTTGACACAAACAACATTTCGGGAGAACAGTAAATTGAAAAAAAAAAATTCAAACAGTGTTGGACTTGTGAAGAAAAACTGCATGAAGTGGTGTAAACTTTCTTTGTTTCTGTGAAGCATAGTCATTTGTTGTAAAAGAAGAGTATCCTATCGCTCCTGCACTTAGTTTGTAAGAATTTCTAAACATTTTGAACTTGTATCATAACTATTTATCTCATTTTTTGTATGTTCATCAGAAAAAGTGTATCAAATTCTGATAGCGGATCTAAAGAAGAAGGCGTATTAACAATGAGTATTAAAGTTAACAGATAATGTATACGATTTTACAGTTTAAATCACAGACAAATAGTGATGCAGCAACGTTCAGGTAATTTATTACAGGTCAATTTAGGTGTTCAACTTTTCATTTGGGCGATTTCATTTATTAATTAGCATTCAACTTTTTGGGTTTTTTTTAATTTTCTTTTTGTGGTGGAGTGAAGCATGCAACATTGCTGGAAAGTGCTTGAAGTGACACGACAGTTTGTACACCTATAGTAGCTATAGTGTAACTTTCTTCTTTCGTTTCTTTGATAGAATTGTTGCAAAAAAGGGCAGCACGAAAGCCACAAGGACTTAGTATAAACCAGATAAAACCAGACAAGCAAAGAAAGAAAGATTAAAAGGGACAAAATTGTAGCATTACTATGTTGTTTTTTAAAGAGGTTGTGGAATGCTCGAAGACATTTCCGTCATTTTTCGGGTATATGTAGCCCAAGGTGTGATGAAATAAAAACGACTATTGTTTCTGTCATGAAATGAATACAAAAGGTACTTTTGAGAGCTGTTTTTCAGGTCCTGTTTCGACCGAACGTGCAGTTTGTGTAAAAGTCTTCGTTGGGGGCAGCAAACAAAACATAGTAAATCGTGACGTAATAAACAGGACTCCCGATGCAGCATAGTATAAACGAGACCTGTTTATTACGTCACGGTTTTTCAGATTTTACGAAGAACCTGACGACTGTTGATTTCAATTATGCTCTCGCCGACCAACAAATTACTCGATGAATTTCAGTTTTATAAACATATAAACGCACATTACAAAAGAATGAGAGTTTGTCGTGATATATATGGGTCTACTCTACAATAAAAACAAATATAAAAAACAAAAAGATTTTCAGCATTCCACAACCTCTTTAAGCACATTGTTGGGATATCATTGTGTTTTTCAAGGCATTCTTTCCAACAAAGTGAGGATCATAGTTTTTGATGTGTATTTTTTGCAACAGGTTTGTGGTGATATATATTTTGAGTCCCCCACATTCCTTTACCTGGGGACAGACCTCAGACCAAAATGTGTGTCAGTGGTCAGATAGTTTTAAAAAACCCTTTTGATTTTTTTTCGGCTTTGTTCATTATAGGAGTCTGCAGACTTTTATCAAAACTTTGAAGCGGAGTCATGAAAATGCCAGTCAAACAGTGATCAGATTATCCATAATTCATGAAAACAGTACCAAATAATTCCGAATTAAAAAAAAGTATTAAGTTTCTTAACCTAAAAGGATAATCAAAGAAGTTGAGTTCAGTTTTGTGGCTAGGTATGAGTAGTTCTGTTATTTCCTTTAATTTTTTTGTCACATTTATTATTAATCTGTAAATCTTTTTTTTTTTTTTTTTCAGTCAAGTTGAATTAGATTTTCTAATACAATTGGATACAGGATTCTTGTTTAGGGAGGGTAACTGGTTGTCGATTTAGTTTTCCTATAACTGTAAATACAAACTGATAAAAAGTGTCTTCTGTTTCAATACATGAAGCTTGCAAGTGTTTTCTTGTTTTGCAATGTCTGTGTATGCACTTACAGTGATCTGTATGTACGGTACCCTGAGGTATGTCCATGGGCTCGCCAGGATTTTTTTCAGCGGGGGGCATGAAAGCATATTTTTCCCCAAAATTCCTTAACTTTTTCATTATATTCTCAATTTATCATTTTTTCAGGCGTGAGCAGGCGAGCATTGCCCCCCCCCCCCCCCCCCGCATCATCAAATTAACAGCAATATATGGCTTCGCCCCTCTTTTTTCCCCCCTTTTTCGGCATTTCCCCCTTCCCCTTGGCCCCTACCCCTTGGCCCCTACCCCATTTGGTCTCAAATCATAAAAGTGAATGTTCCTGAAGCATTAATACAGGCACTAAAATTTAGATTGGGTCCCCGAAGTCGGGGGCATAAAATCTCTTTAACCCAAACGAAGCCAATGTTTCGAAAAGGCCATACATCAACCTCGTCCCCAGTGCTTACTTTATTTCCAACCTAGTTTCCAAAAGTAAGGTAGTGGTGGGCGCGTACTGCTCGACACCCCGGAGACGAGGTTTGCCATACAGTCACTGCAGTATTGCGGAAGTAATAGTCGGGTGCCATATTGAAAGGAAGCGTGAGATTCCTAATCACGTTTGGTAGAGTTGGGATCCATACCACTTTAATGCCCGTGAGACAGGGTTACCGTTTTAGCTGATTTTCTGCTAAATTTGACAGACTTTGACAAACTAGTTTGACAGAAAAATTGACAGAATGGATTTTTTTGGCAGATTTCTGGCAGAATTCTGCAAAAAACATAGCAAATTTGGAAAAAAAATGGTACATTTGTTCAAAAAACTTCCGTCTTTTTCAAACAAACCCTTGAAAAATGGGACAGGTTGGCTGGTCTAGGTGCTGAGGTTCACTGGGAACCAACAAGTCGTCGTGACGCAACCGCGTTTTGCCTGAAATGATTTATGCAATTTCATAACATCTTTATGATGAGACTATAGATTGTTTATAATGTAATTTGAACCTTAATTAAGGCAATACTACAAACCTGCATGTGATTTTAAGTGTTTATAGTGTATTTCGAGTAATTCTGGGGAATTAGGGCAGATTTTTGATAAATCTGACAGATTTTTGAAGTGCACTTAGCAGAATTTGGCCATGACCTTACGGTCACCCTGCCGCGTGAAGATGTTATCACCTGTCACGTATCACATGCGCATCAGCTGCGTGAAGGGTTCCGCCAGTCAATAAATGTTTGATTATTGTGCTGTCACGTGCTGGTAGTTTACTCATTGCTCAAATGTGGAAGGCGTATGAAGGACCCATTCATTTAGGTACGTACTCGGGTACTGTACTTTTATTTTAATTTAAGACTAGTAAGACTAGAGATATGGAAAGAATGTTTTCATAATTTATCACAATGAAGTTGAACTTGAAGGTCAGCATGGTCAGTCATTGGCATTGCATACAAAAAGGCAAAAATGTGGAAAAGACATGAAGTTTCAACTTTCATTGGGACAGAGAAACATTTGCAATTTTGTTAGGAAATACTTTGAAAATGTTGTTGACTCCATGATTATCACTGATTATAGTCTGTTGTATCCTCGATCCTCCATAATCTGCGCAGGTATACCGCTTGCAACGCACGTGTGTTGCCAACACAAATAAACAATAAGATAGTGGATATTTTGCCAGAGGTAATGACGGCAAACTAACGTTTACTAAAGGTTTGCCGGCGGCAATCCATATCAACAGAGGGCGCTGTACTCTTTAAGATAGGGCTGAATTATAAGATGTATTAAATTCCCACCAAAAGTTGTGTAGCACGTTTGGTGTAGTGGTTTAGCTAGGATGATCCTAGCGTTATGTTTTATCAACATCTGGTAGATTACCGTTGAAAGACTCAACAAGCAATTCATCGCGTTTTATTTCGCCCAAACGAAACGCACACTTTCCTAGCATTTGTCTAAAGCTAGCGGTCAACTTACCAAGCGAGGATAAAGAGCTGGAAATATATACATAAAAAAAATAGTTTGATAATTTGTACTGGAAAGAAAATGCAGACTTTCAAAGCACAGTTTTATTTTAAATGATCACCACTTTGTGTTGAGATAAAAATCAAAGCACCGTGACCTTCAGAGAAAGAGATGTTAGGGGAGGTTCTAGGGGAAGATTATTGTAATTGGATGTTGGGAAAGACATTAGGTTTATATTCAACACGCTCTGTTAAACATGGCCCAAATTTACTGCATATGCATTACATTTACTGCACCAGTGCATGAATGGCCAATTCTGAAACAAAGAGAGCTAAGTCCCATTAAACAATGCCAGAGTTGTATCCTGCTGCATGCGGTGACCACGGACTCGGAGGCAGTGTGGCCTTGAGACTTTTCCCCTGATGGATCTTGCTACACTGGGCAGGCTTGTCACTTAGTCAAGTGTTGCATGTTGCTACGTTTGGCAGGGTTCTAGCAAACATACCCTGGAGGGTTAGGGTTAAAAATTAAAGAACATATGAAAATATCAAGTGCTCCCTGACAAGTGCTGCTAGAAAAATATTGATAATGATATGTGTAACTCAAATGGAACGAAATACCTGTCTGGCGATGCGTATATTTCTGTCACATCCTCGGGTACTAAATGGAGACATTCAAGCACCCTTTAACGGCCCGAATTGCTGAGTGTGCCAGTTAACATCAAAATGGGCACGTCATCCATTTGGCTTCGCAGTCTACCCAATTTGATGAAGGCGGGTCTGAAGGAATCCCCCCTACAGATAAATTCAAAACAACAATGGTGTTTTTCGGAACTTAATAAATTACATAATGGTTAAATGGAAATACGAACTCTTGTTATAGCTAGCTGCGAGATCACGATTTCCGACGATAAGAGCACACTATAAATTATTCAAATTATACAAATTTAATTAATAAGTCCGTCCATCCACCAAATTATAATGGTATACAGTAGTGTAACTACAAGCAAGAGCGTAAATCCCGGGGGCGAGATATACAAACGATCCCCTGTGCCCCCCCCCCATGAAATGCCGCATGTACAAAAAATGGACCCCATTAGTGCCCCTTGCAAGTTTTAACCTGTGTAGATACGCCGCTGTAACAAAAGAAGAGAAAAGAGTTAATTTGTATTTTCGTTTAATTTCAAATGTTACCATTCAGGAACAAGGTGCACTTCATCTATTGTTATCAGCTTCAATTTCCTTACAAAAGCCGTTGGTAGATTTGTCAGCCAATAATCCAGTGCTTCTGGGGTAACGAAGGCAACATCAAGGTCCCCACTGTTGACTCCTTTATAAGAAAATAAAAAAAGCGAATCTGTTAATTTTGATTATAATTTGGACTGTTAATTATGGTGATAAGTTGGCGAGTTCTAAACAATGACATTTGATGAAGGTTTTATTTTGTATAAAAATGTTAGAAATGTGATTAGGGCCTATATTGACACCTGAAAATGTTTTGCTATATACGAATAAATGGCAATATACTCACTCTATATGTCTTCTGGCGCCATGTTTACTTTGTTACAGAGCTCTATTGCCCTAATATTTCGGCTTGCAGCCCACTCCAGTTGATTAGCCATGAGGGCTTTTAAAGGCGACACCACTAGTCCGATACCTTCGTCTAAAAGTGGCGGCACAAAACAAGTTAGCGTTTTACCATATCCCGCTGGCAAGACCCCGAGAACGGTCTTCTTGTTTGCTAGTGCCCTTAGAATTTCCAATTGTTTCACTCGCAGTTTTTCCGGAAATACCGGGTGGCGTTCACGTAATTCCTGGTATTTCTTCTCCATCGCCTCAAAAGGTTATGAGACCAAGACCTGGCTGCATTTCTAGCTTCAATAAATTGTGAATAGCGCCGCTTGCATTAGGCTACGTCAAGAGCAGTTGCGCATGCTAAACATACCGGTTTCAGCATCACGTGCGTGTAATCCAAAATTCCGTCCCACAATAATCGCTCACATAAAACTGCCAAAAGGCTTTATTTCGCCACATGAGTATTCCAACAATTGATGTTATCCAAAATATTTTAATTGCAATACAATTTGTTCCATCTGCCGGCCATACCAAATCACAACACACGGCAGGGGACCACGATCAATATATCAATGTATTACATAAAACAGTCATATACAATCTCGATTGTATTGTGGGGTACGGGTTGGGGACATGATCAAAGTATCTTGAAATGACCGCATGGTGGCGATGTTTAAACCAGGAAGAAAATGTGTATGCATGAGGCAATGAATAGGCAGTCGTATTTGTTGACATGTTGGTAACAAAGGTCTCCTCGGTTTCAGCCAAAATATCCGTAAGTAGTGAACATTTCTGGTTTTAGTTATCATTCAAGTACTGGAACAAGTTCAGCAACTATTATTATCCAGGTTTTAAAACAATTCTAGCCGTTTTGAGGAATATATTGCAAAGGACATGGTTCTGAAAGAGATGTGCAATAGCTAGTAGTGGTTAAGCAAAGGCTTTAGTGAGCGGGATGACTCGGGTTCGATCCCAATCCCCGCTACATTTTTAAGGGTTTTTTTTCCCATCCCCAAATAAATAAGAATATTCTTCTTTTATTATTTTAACATGTCTCAAACATTTTATTGCAAAGTATGACTTTTTTTTTCAGATTTGTGGCTCTGGAGGATTTTTTTTTAAAGGGAAATAAAGTCCGAAATTATAAAATGGTCTGAATCCCATCTTGTGAATACGAGGTTACAACGATAATATTGGCATGGAGCCAGACTAAAATTTGTCACCGGAAAATGTTTAAGTACAAAAAAACAGTAACTGCGCATGTTCAGTGCATATCCGGCAAACTAACGTTTACTAAAGGTTTGCCGTCTCCGGCAAAATATCCACTGCCAAACAATAAAGGCGAGTGCGTAGAAATAGAATTTCTTCAATCTTTGCAGCAGTGGAATGGGAACCAGACAACAAAAGTTCCATAGGGATTTATAAAAAAGATAGACGGTTCCTTCTTTGGCAGACTCACATAGTGAGAAAATTTGCAAGATAAGGAAAAGTACCATTTTATTAAAATTCATCAAATTCACCAGAAGTCGCGACATTTTTTGTTCTTCTTTTTATAGAACTTTTTATAGAAAATCCTTAGTTAAAGATGAACTGATAAAAAAACGCAGCTAGAGGGTGTACTGGCAACACAAAAAGAGTAATTTCCGATGTCGCGATAAAATCCGACTATACATAGCTTGGAAAACCCAGCTCTAAGGCTTATGACATGGGAAATTCACCATTCTAAATGGCAAATTTCCCATGTCTGGGTTTTTCAAGGGAAGCCTCAGTTAAATAAATGCTCATCGTAAATTTGCCAATTAGAGCTGGGGGAAGTCTTTAAGAGTTAGATGCAGGTTTTAACATTAACGGCCAAAATTTTCCGTTTTCATCATTGTATCCCAAACTACAAGCCACACTCGCCAGAAAACATTTAGCAGTCATTTACCGTACATTGATACATTGATACATTGATTGCAGATCAGTAATGACATTAACAGTGAATAATAATGTCATTCCACATACAATGTATTTTAACACTGCAGGGCACAGCTAGAGTCAATGTCTTATGCTGCAACGTTACCCAATCCAAGATGACTTCCTACACCCCGGCCTCCACCAACACGCATCCCTTCGGCCAGGAGGAAGAGGTGTCCCGCCAGCAGCTCTTTGTGGCCTTCTGCAACCATCTCCACCTTGGGCAGTGGGAACTAGTCAGGGCATGCGGTCAGACACTGTTGGCGAAGTACGGAGAGGAGGGGGCGTGGCTTGAGCCTGAAGTTAGGAAAGTTCTGGAGGCGGTTGTCGAACATCCTTTTGATTGCAGGTAAATGAAATCATGAAGTTGGACTCTGCAGTTTATATAATTTTAGATTTCAATTTTTTCAAATGATAACATAAATAATGAAAGGTTTGCGGAAATACCATTTGCGAAAAATTTTTCAACTAAGAGAATGGTTCTGAAAGGAACCAGAGGTATAAACTCGACGTTCTGGTCAGTATGCTCTGACCATCTTCAGGAGAGCATACTGACCGGAATGTCAAGTTTATACCTCTGGTTCTTTTCAGAATCATTCTCTTAATTGAGAAATTATTCGCACATGGTGTTTACGCAAACCTTTCATTATTTAGTATCTCCACCATGCAAAGCCTCAAATCTTACTTAAATGATAACATTTTCCTTGTAACATTTTTACATCACTTTTTTTGTTGCTATAGGAATACTGTTGGTAACCTGGCCCCCATAACAGATTAATATTTTTTACGCTGACTCGTTTGTTTTGAATCTGTTCTTGTAGTTTGGCGTCAGAGAGTGTCCCTTCAGCACACCACCTGGCTTGGCTAGCGCTGCAGGAACACAGAAATCTGACGACTAATCTAGAGGTGAGTAAGGGATATCAGCCAGAGTTTACATCCACAAAATCAGCCGAATTTTCACATCTACTATTTCACATTCCTGTAATTGTTTGATTTTGGCAGAGTCTGAGGGGTTCTGGAGTTAATATTTACAGTGTCACTTTTTTATTGGCATGGATCAAATAAAAGCCATCCAGCAAACAGTCAAAGGAATTAATGCATTCAAATAATGGTCTCATCATCATCATCATGAGACCATCATTTTAATGCATTAATTCCTTTGACTTGTTTGCTGGACTTTGCTTTGACTTGTTAAAATAATGGTCTAACCTAAACAAAAACGTATGTTTTTTTTTTCGCTGATGTGGTTTTTTTTTTACTTCAGGAGAGATTGCCTCATTCCCTCAGCACACTGGTTGAATTCAGACTGCTTCTGCACAGTGCTAGTGAATACTCCACTGCAGCTATTATACAGGTATAGACAATTACTGTATCCCATTTTAAATCATATCAATTGTGGCTGCAACATGAAAAATGCTATAGTACAACTAGGGAATCTGTCCTCCCATTTTTTTTGTTCCCTTCTTTTTTTCACATGGGTAAATGTATTCTTCCCCCCCCCCCCCGCCCTTTTTTAACTGATTAATGAAAGTAAAATCCAATAAACTTGACTATTAGTTCAACTTGAAATTAGTTGGCAATTTACTTGCATGACCCTTCACGAGCCAACTCCGTAGCACGTAGGAACAATACACACAGTACACACACCATTATTATGTGCATTCATATAGGTGTGGTCAACCCAGCCAATGAAAACATCTTTTCATTAGCATGTGCGTTTTCAACAATTGATGTTACCATTCAGCAATCCACACTTGTAACTCATGATCAGAGGGTCAGGGGTTCGAATCCAGCTGCTGGTCATATGTTGTGTCCTTGGGCAAACCACATCACCTCTACTTGGCTCTCTTCACCCAGGAGTATAAGTGGGTACCGGGATTAGCTGGGGAGTAGCCTACAATGGACTAGCGTCCCATCCAGGGGGAGTAGAAATATTCCCAGTCGTTTCATGCTACTGAAACTGGATATAAACACTAGCCTGATGAGCCACATTGGCTTGTTACACACTTTACTTCTACTTACTCCATACTCAAGAACCATTAAGTTCTCAGTAGGCATCTGGGAGCTATTACTATTGATCTGATCTGACAGCTGGTGACTAGTTTGTGTGTAAGGTATAACGGGAAGTGTATTGTATTTTTGACTGTCTGTGACTGGTCAAATAGCAGGAGGGTTGAGTATACAGTTTACGAATGGGACATATGAAACAACACTTTGTTGACATGTCTCTATCTATTTATCACCACAGGATGTGTACAACCTCTTCATCTACATCCAGGACATCACAAAAGCTGAGCAACTTGGGAATCCGCTATCCCCGAACCCCCATGCACCGTCCATCACGGACAAGATCAGGGCCTTCCTGAAGGTGTGCCTCCAGCGAGACACCAACCCAGGCCACGCCATAATCAATCACCTCAGGCTCCCAACGAGCTCCCGGCGTCATCTCCCCCACAACCAGAGTCTCCAAGAGGTGTACGTGGACTGCCTGACGGAAGACATCTCAGCGCTGCGACAGGCTCCAGGGAACAGGGAGAAGCTTGTGGCCAGGGTCTACAAGGTCCTGTCCCTGATGGGCCCCAGTCGGGACATGGAAGACCTGCAGCTGGAGTCGCTCTTCCTGAATCTGTTGGACCTGACAAAGCCCCCGCACCAACTCCTCAGGTAGCAAAAGTTTTCATCAGTGCAAATCACTAGTCTAATCATCAGTCAGTCATAAACCAATTACAAGTTTTGTCACAAGGTCACAAGTAACTGGGTAAGAATATTGACAAAGAAACCCCTTAGTCTCATTTCTTGTGAAAATCATAGTACATGACTTGAAGGCAGATTTGCTATGTGACTTGTGGTGGGACTTCTAATTGGCTTGTGACATCTTGATTACGATATTGTCAGAGAGACATAAACACAAGAGGGGTGCAGTCATCAGTCAGAAAAGAATTCCGTAAATTGAGACTGTAATTTAATTTGACATTCACCAAAAATGAATCAAATTTTTTTGACCTCTCCAAACTTTAGGATCCAGTCCCTGTACTCCTCCCTGCTGGGCCGGGGGTCCCCCTATCTCATCAGGGAGCTGTGCCGGATCGAAGGACAGGAGAGGATCCAGGAATTGAACGCAGAGCTGAAGTCGACTCATTTGAAGCTGGACATGCTGTCCCAGGAGTTGAGGATCACGCTGCGACTAGCCAAGATGGAGAACAGGGAGCTGGCCTGGAAGGAGATGTTCCAGCAGGCCCTGTCCAGGGAAAGACATGTGCTGGCTAACGTCCTGGTCAGTTGTTTACCCATTAACACTTGAATTACATGTTATAACACCTCACCAACAGATTCTGTATCTTGATTGGCCGAGAGCAAGTCACATGGCATTCGCTATTTTTGCTATCTTGCTGTGCACAGCCAAACGTACTTTACCTGTAGCACCCAAAGTACTATACCCTTAGCAACCAAAGTACTTATACGTGTAACACCTGGTATTGTGTGCAAATACATACAGGTACGTGTTCTACATAACCTCCGAGGACCGACACACAAAGGGAGCACAACAGATCCTTACAGTCTTTGGGCGTTGGGTCTTTTGTTGAAAACGGTCCTCTATCGTACGGTTATGTGCTTAGTCAATGGCAGAGTGTTATATTACAGGGACAAAGGGAAACACAAAGCATTGTCCTCGAGAGTATAGTAAAACACGACTGTATGTGTGCGCGTGTGCGTATTGACACAAGAGGGGTGCCGTCATCAATTACACAAGAATTCCACAATTTCAAACTGTAAATGAATTTGCCATTCACTACTAGTTTCCACTGGTTGTATTGTCATCTGGGGTTAAAAGTTATAATACTTGCTCATTGACAACTTTCATGTCTTCAATAACCTTGCAAACATTCGCAAACTTTTAATTAATTTTTATTGGCAGGCATGACATGCATGTTTATATGAATTATTCAGTTGAATATTGTTTGATGTACACAAAGCTGTCCTGGGTGTTTTATTTTCCACGATGCTTGGGCACAAAAAAAATAGGAACTCCTCTTTTCTCTAATTCCATGCTTTCCAGCAGTATCAACACAAGAACCATACTGACTGAGCTCATACGTCAAAATGCATGCACAGATATTTAGGGGTTTATCAACAAAAGTGGGGTTTTTTGGTGTTTTGTTGTGCTATGTTTCTTTTTTTTCTTTCAATATTTTTGTTTCACTGCACAGGATACCTGCATGACACTCATCCGGGATGGGATGTACAGTGAGCTGGTAACCCTGATGTCCCCTGATGAGTTTGCACCACTCAAGCCGCTGGTACTCCTGCTCGGATGGAACCACGTCTCAAGCTGCGACAGTGCTAATCGGCTCTTGGAGGCCCTGCATGTTCCAAGTGAGGTATGTATTTCTGCTGTAATTACATTTTTGGGGGGAGTGTGGCCTAATAGTAAGGGCTTGTGACTCAGAGTGTCAGGGGTTCGAATCCAGCTGCTGGCCATATGTTGTGTACAAGCCACTTCACCCCAACTTGCCTCTCTCCACCAGCAGGAGCATGGGAGTAACCTGCGATGGACTGGCATCCCATCCAGAGGAAATAGATTTATTCTGAGGCGTTTCACGTCAAGGAAACCGGAGATAAACGCCGGCCTGATGGGCCATATTGACTCGTGACAGTCTTTAACCCCCAACAGTCTTATAAGTTTCATGAACCCTAACTTCGTCCCCCCTTTCAGCTTGGAGCCTTCTTGGGTCCTCTAAAATCCAACCTTTTCTTCATTCAAACTTCAAGGAGCTAGGATCTTTGCATTGTAATAGTGACTGCGCTGTATTTTTCTAAATCCTGAAATATTCCTCTAAAACCTCTGGTTAATAATTTTGAGGATCTGGGAGTGTTGGGATTACCATAGAAAAGGCCGTGTTTGGACATGTAAAGTAGAAAAAATAATTATCTGGGTTTGACTTTACCTGCAGAGGGCATGAGCCTTTCCATGACTATCAGATAGCACACACAACCATTGCCATGTACGAAAATTCTGAAGCCATGTGCAAGTCACTTTTTAGGTCGCCTATGGCTGCTGGTACACATGGTCACTACATACGTTGAAGTGCACCATACAGGGTGAGTAAAAAAAACGAAACCCAAATGTCGGGACCATTGTTTTAGTGAAGTTCTGCATGTAGCACTTTCAAAATCTAGGATATGAAAGCCCAATTCATAAGGTTTCTTTTAGTGCAATCACATATGGATGTATGTGAATTGTTTTCGTTTTGCTGAAAGAGCGCACACCTTTTTTGTGATCCGTGGACAGAACTTTAAAACGGTGGTTGTGTTACAAATTTCGTAACTTGAAAAGTACATGAGTGATTCGAATGAATCTTGAACTAAAAGATAGTTCATGCATTGGGCTTTCATATCCTAGATTTTAAAAGTGCTACATGCAGGAAGTTACTAAAACAATAGTCCCGACATTTGGGTTTCGCTTTTTTGACTCACCCTGTATATTTGTATCAAGATTTAACGCACAGTTTTTCATACATTTGTGGCCTCTAAACATGGCAAACAACTGACTTCAGATGTCAGCCTATGATCGCAATGCGCTATCTACAACATAGCTATTTAATAGTTCTAGTATTTTAATCTCTGTTTTCTTGGTACCAGACCAACTCAGTGAGTGAGCCACTTCTTGACCAGGCCTGCGGGAAGCTGACCCATCAGGTGCAGCTGGTTCAATGGTGTCTGGAGAAAACCAGGTAAATGAAACAGAAAAATCATGATTTTATATCTTTTGTAATGAACCTTACATCTTGGGTGATGGAAATTGTGTTGAGGAGATTTGAATCTTAAGTTGTATAAGCATATATGCTTATAACTGTCTAAGACACTTTGAATCAGCATACAAGCTTGCTCTAGCTATAAAGTTGAAAATTTGACATGTTGAGATTTCTGCATCCCTTAAGATAGCAGGTGTATGGCAAATTCCATCAAGGATAAAAATGCTGTTTATTTTTACCACAGACCCTTTCTACTCGCGAGTGGTGTTGACCCAGGATTTGACCCCAAGGCCAGTGAGATGTTTTGTGAGTTGGATTCCCGCTCAGTGCTTCACATGCTGCATCACGCCACAAACTTGAGCCAGCTGGACTCGGCCGAAGTCTTTGATATCCTCAGCAAGAAGCCGCAGCTTGGTAATGTGGTTTTCATCAAATCTGTAACCCTCAAGGAATTTTGGCAAACAGCCTCTCAGGATCTACTGAGCTTTTTGACTTAAATCTGTCAAACTATAACACTTGACCCTAACCCCCTGTAATAGGGTGGTTTGGCCAGAAACTCTGCTGAATGCAGCAATAGGCAGCACTTGTCAAGACGAAAAACCTGCTTAGTGTAGCAAGGTCAAAAATTGTAAGGCCACACTGCCTCAGAGTCCATGGTGACCAAATGCAGCAGGATACAACTGTGGCATTGTTCAATGGGACTAGCTCTCATTGTTTCAGAATTGGCCGTTTATGCACTGGTGTTGATGGCTCACTGCGGCAAGGTTCCACAGGCTTTTACACCTGATGCAATGTGTTACATCCAGCAGGGTAATAGTGTTAATAGTATGCAAAGTCACGGTTTATTGACTTCATGCGCAAACTGTATAGAGTTATGAGTGTCTCACAAGAACTAAGGACACATTGCAGAACCAGGACACATGATTTGTGTATTCAGTCAAGTTTCTTTGTATGTGTTTTTCAATAGATGTCAAGTCTGAGGAAGTCCCCAAATCAAGCGGGAAGTCTGTTCATTTTGAGGAGCCGCAACAGCTCTCCATCCAGCAGGAGAGAGACATTGCCATCTACCGCAGCTTCCTTGCCATCAAGAGCTGCATGACAGCTCTCTCAAACAGCACTCAGTGCAGGAAGCCACGGGAGCAGTCCAACCTGAACAAGCAAGGAGCATCACTTGGTGCTTCCAGGAGTGCACCTGTGTTACTTCAGCCTGAGGACTCAAAGAGGACTGGCAATACTTCATTAACACCCCACCAACCTCATACATCTCAGGGAGATTCTGGCCGGTCAACTAGTAAACAAGCTGCTGATGACAGCGCTGGCTTGCACCAGGTAAACTCATGGGAGAAGGACGTGTTGCAGCACCTCAGGGAAGCCAGACACCAACTGTCACTCCTCTACCCTCTGACTTACCGAGTGGAGACTTTGGAGAACATCTTCTCTTTGCTGTTTACTCGCAGTGAGGATGCGTTTGTCAGGAAAGCAGCAATGTCCGACAGTGGGGGAGAAGAGGGGATCGTTGATGAGGAGTGGCAGAACAAGAGTGTCACTAGCTTGGAAAGCACGCCAAAAAATGAACACTTCACCTTTAACTTAGGAGCTGAACTACTCCCAGTTGGCCTGTCTTCGAGTGACTCAAAGTTGTTAGATGCCCCTAGGCCTGCTCAAGTTGAGATGCTGACAGAATCAATGAGCACAGGTGTCATGGAGAGCCTGATGAGTGCTGAGAAGCGAGACAGAACAAGCTCAGGATCAATTGTAGCCAAGAGGTCCAACACAGAGCGGAGCTCAGAGTCCCACAGCCAACACAGCTCCAACAGCTTGGGACCTGTGAAGATTTGCTTTGTGGCAGACGAGGACATCATCGATGCCTTGCTCAGCACTCTGAAGGAGTGCTTGGCTGATCTTGCAGAAGCTAGATACTCCCTAGCTGGCCCTAGCGCATCCGTGGAGGTCCTGCAGGAGGCCGGCGGCAGATTGATGAAATACATGCACTGTTCAGTCTCGACGTCCACCATGGCCCAGCGCATCTCTCAACTGACACAGCGGGTCAACGAGGCGTGGTGGCGCTACCGGCTGGTATCTCAGGCCACAGGTTCCCAGAATGCATCACAGGGGTCAGCCAATGGCAACCGACCCGTCAGAGACAGTAGCAGCGACGACGAGCTGTATATGACTGGTTTCCATGGAGATAAGGATGATAAGAGAGGAGACAAGGTTGACGGTGACAAAAAGCGAAGAAGGAGTCGTGTCAGCAGCCTTAGTGGAAAGAGTGGCTCAGGTAAGTCCAAAGGCCAACAAAATAAATGACAAAAAGTTTACTCGGTCATTCTGTTGTAAAATGTCTTTATATTTCAACTTATTCACATTTATAATCCATATCCATATGCTTCATTTCTACACTGTACATTACTCCATTCGTTGCTTTGGATATTTGCTTGTTCATTCCCTAACCCCCATCAGGTGTTCTTCATGTACCATGCTAAATGCAACAAAATTCAACACAGTTGAAACGAGAACCCTGCTAAATGCAACACACTGCAACACTAGATTCTGTTGCATTGCACAGTGAACCCAGTACACACCAGCCTTGGCACTATTGAGTTACATGTACACTGCAGAATGCAACAAACTGTGACAGTCTGTGGAGTCTGTTGTATCAACCTGGGCACTACGAGCAGTTACCCTGCTAAATTCAACAAGATGCCACACAACGTAGGACTTGACTGTTAAATGCAACAATGGGACTTGACTGTTAAATGCAACAATATGCAACAAGTTCTTACCATTGTTGCATTTTCTGTTGCATTTAGCAGAGCCAAGGTTTTAGCAAAGTTTCACTTTGTTAAAATTATTTTTTTTGATCAGTACACTTGGGCAAACTTTCCCATGTTTTGCAAATGCAGTTGTGTGGAGAAGTAGACCTGCTTCGATATTAAGCAAAAGCAATCACTTGAAATCATTTAATTGTCATCCAAAACTCAAACTTTACATGAATACAGGGACTTCGAGAAGCAATTCAAGGGATGATTCCCGTCCACATCTAGCCAGGCTCAGCACAGGGTTCACATCTGCAGGTTAGCTGGTCTTCTGGGATAAATCAAGATTGTTGGTCAAAATATGAGGTTGAGCTTTTACAATATCAGGAACCATCATTTGGCTCATCCCATCTCATTTGATCTCATTCCCTGTCCATTCTTGTCATGGTCATCAAATAATTGTTAACACCCCAAAGGGCTATGGTTGTATTGAAATGTTTTCTTTTTTACGTGTTGCTGTGTTTGTAAACCTCATTGCAAGAAAACAACATGTTGCCCCTCCCTTTGAAATGTTATCAGAATAATGCTGCTGAGAGAATACGCCGTGATAAACTTCCCCTTTTAGATTTGTTGTAAAGTGGATTTTTGGACTTCCGTATGGATAGTGGTGTGCATTTGCAGGTAGTGCGGGAACCGGGTACCCTAGTGAAGTCAAACACAGATACCCAGGTACTCGTAAAAAAAACCAACCCCAAAATCCAAATCTCAGAAGTTTTCTTTTGGCAGAAAACTCAGAAATCTCATTTGTCATACCTTAAAGTGCACATAAACGTGACATCTGTATTGGTTTTCCATGTACATGTAGCCTGGTTTTCATTTTGAAAATTCCCCCAAAATGGCATTCAAAATCTTTCTTTCACATTGTCTCAGAAGTAGTTTGTTAAATTGGGTACGGGTAGCCCATCCCATAATCTGGAACCGGTTACTGACATCAGCGGTTGGGTACTCTGGTACCCGTTTCTGATGCACACCCGTATTCTGATGCATCAGGAGTAGCACTGACATCATTTTTTTTAATCTTCTGTAGACGGAAGCACCAGCAGCAGTAAGAGACGCAAGAGACGCCGACGTCAAAAATCAACCAGCAAAGCACCCACCAGCGAGCGCGGCGTGGTTGCCCGCATGCTGTCCTCCCAGGATACCCTGCTTAGGATGTGTCTGCATAGGGGCAGCTACGCACAGGCTTTACAGGTATATTGTCCAGGAAAGAACAAAGGATCAGGGACCTTTTCCAAGGACCTGCTCAAGCAAAGAAGTTATAGGGTACCCACCCAAATGATATGCTGTGTACATTCGCTTAGCACTCAAATTTTCCTTGCAGATTTTTGCTTCGCAAGTAACTTTGCTAAAAAACCTTATTTGCTTAGCTGCTCCATGAATTAAAGTTCCAGGCACAATGGAATGAGGCTGCTGTTAAGCAGAAAGTATTCATTTTTGTGTGCTGAGGCCGGTCCTAAGCAGTGTATCAACTGATATTTTGGCTGGTGGTCTGTTTTTGCCAAGCAACTATTTTACAGTACTTACCAAAATTGCATCTCATTGTTTTCTTGAAGGTGGTGAAGATGTTTGAACTTGAAGACACGCCTGAGGTCTCGGAGGTCTACTTTGCGGAACACTGGGAGCAGACATTACGTCGTCTTCAGAATATCGACGCCAAGGCAGCTAAGACTGACTCCATCTCGGGTATTCCCAAAGTCAAACCTTCTGGGTCATCCTCCTCCATTGCGTCTATAGCTGCGTCTGGAGCGGCATCATTGTCGGTCTCAGGGGTGGTGGATGACCTGCTTGCCACATCAGTATTACCTCTGCTGCCTACAGCACCTCTGGTTGGTTCAGACCAGCACGAGAAGCACTCCTTGGTCACCACAATGCTCAGGAACATTCAGAGGCTGAACATAGCCGGGGTGGTGGTTTTTGACTTGGCTTGCTCGGCCTGCAAGTCCTGGAAGGCCAGTAAGAACCTACTCGAAGTGGCCAAGGGGCGTCTCCAACTCGGACACCACAGCCCGGGGGAATTTGATCAGTCTTTCAAGCCACGCCTGCAATCTCAACCCAACACCAAAGTGGACCCTTTGCAGCTGCTTGTGGGCATTCTACCCTTTGTCCACCAGATGACTAATTTGATATCCCCGACATCAGCCGACGCGACGGCACTCATCAGACAGGACATCATGGAGGAGTTCTTCCAGCGCAGCGCCAGTGACGCGCTGCTGCAGGCCACCAAACCCCTGGATGCGATCGGCCTACGGGCGCACGTCAACTTGGTTCTGGAGCAAAGGAAAGCTGTCTTGGGACTCAGCCGGGCCCTGCAAGCTGAAAGTAACAAACGGACGCCAGGTAGCTCAGGATCGGCTGCCCAGAACCTCCCTCCATCTGAGATGGACCATGGCTTGAAGGTGTCCCCCAAGGGACGCTCCGTGGTCCATCAAGCAATGAGGCAACTCCTACAGACCTTTGACAAGTGCGGGAACCACTGCTACTCGTTGACCGCGCTGCTCTCCACAACGGGCCTGGATCACGATGCAGAGTACTCCAATTACTTGATGAGCCTCTACGCTCATGTTTCTGTTCTCTCCTCTCTGCTGGTAGAGGCCAAAGAATGGCACCTAGGTATGCTTACTAATAATTTGGGAATAACTTCACTAAACCTCTTAAATATTTTTAGTGCAAGATAATCTAATATTTTGGAAAGTGCCAGTACATGGAGGATACCTACTTATTTCTAATTTAATCTATGATTCTAATCACCTCCTCACTCGTCATTGCCGTTTTCTTGTTATTTAAAAACAAAGAGGCTGCTTAACAGTTTTTTTCCAGACTTTGAGCCTCATTTATCATTCAACTGCATTACCATTTCAAAAGAATAATATCAGACAGACATACTTGTGTCTGCAGAACTTTGTGTTATGTGCTTAAAACAGTAAGAATCTGGAGTGTGCATAGTGATGCTTTATTTGAAAGGAAATTATTAAAAACTCAGAAATTTGTAGAAGTTTCCAGAATATAGAACAAATACCCTTTGAGTTATGATGGAAGAGTCCCACGTTGTGTACCATACATTCAGTTTCTAAATTCCGATTCTTTCTCTTGTTTCCTTTCAATGAATTGATGGGTGCGTGGCAGGTCTGGACCAGCCTGTGCCTTGTGGCAGCATGAAGGCGGTCAACCCATACTGTGTCCTGGAGGAGAGCCCTAACTTCTTGCTGGGAAGACTCATGTTCCAGAACCAGATCCCACCAGTCAGGTCTGATACATTTCCTCAAAGTATTCCTCACTTCTATTAGACTTTTTTGTTTATGCGAGGAAAGAACCTCCTGAATCAGAAAAGAAAGCAATGCTGTGTGGTATATCCAATGGGGCATTGCTTGTGCTTTTTAAAGGGTCCCTGAGATGTATTTTTCCCAGGAACAAATTTTGTACAACTTTTTACTCCTTTTAAATGTATGAAAACTATTTGACATCTTTTTTTTTTTATTTCATTGAAAAATGCACTGCTTTAAACATTTAACATTTGCCATGCTCTTCTGGACAACTTAAGGCGCTGTTGCTGTGATGTCATATTAGGTAGATACTGTTCAGTTTATGGGTTTTCGGTTCAAATTGTGAACCCCAAAATGTGCTTATTTGAAAACATTTGTGAGAAACGTTAGCTCAATGGCTGACTGCCATGTACCGTCAAACAACAATCCACTAAAGAAAAGAACATTTAGAACAGCAAAATATCCAAAATGGTGGTATCTTTTTTAACTTTACAAATAGTGTTTACTACCTTTAACCACTTTGTCCCAAGTTGTGTTTAAGTCCCCAAAATTGGCCTCGGGTTGTACTAGCTTGCTCATTAAATTTCTTTAATCTTTTTTAATTGCTCCGATCTACAGATTAGAAGGTGTCGCAGACCAGTTGAAGCTGAACCTGGTCCATGTGATCGTCCGTAGTTGCTGCCCAGCTATCCCCATGCACATCAAACCAGACCGACCACCACGCCCGCAAGCCTCCGCACCAAAGAGCTCCCTCTATAGGATCGTCCTGAATGACCCAGGGGAGGGGATGGAATGGTCGAGTGAGGTGAGACACCCAGAGGTCGTTGCGCGGGATCTCCTGTCCAAGATGATTATGCTCATGAAAGGTAAACAAAAGGATGACAAAATGTGTGCCTAGTCTGTCTCCCTATGTGATTTAGTTAATGATTTGAATTTTGTTTTTTTTTAATTTGAACAAAGAAATTCACTGGAGCGGGGTTTGAATCTGTGACCTCTGGATTGCCGTTCCGGTGCTCTTCCAACTTAGCTATCCAGCCTTATATTGGCAGTTCACATCTTTGTCAGTGTCTTTATTCAAGGGGCTTCTGACTAGCGCCCTTTGAACAAATTTGGGAACCACCAACATAGGGATGGATGGCTCAGTTGGTTGAGCACGGAACAGCAGTTGGCCGAACAGCAATCGGGAGGTCGCAGGTTCAAACCCTGCTCCAGTCAATTTGTTTTGTTCAACTTTGAAAACATTAATGCACCTGGTCAGCTTCCCTTTGTGGCTTATTTAAAAACATTTGGACTTACAAAAACGAAAAACGAGGGAAAAAGTTTGCATTCCCTCAGAATGATCTGGATGGCCATCGCCCAGTTTTGTGACTTTGCTAAATGGGTCTCATTCAAATGACGTCATTTCCTACAGACCATTCACGTGCATCGGCATTTTGAGCGTCAACTTGCATAAGGCGCATCGGCTGCATCGTATTTCGAACACATTTTGAGCAACAAGCGTGCGTGTTTGGAACATTTTCAACACTGCGCAGTGGGTGCTTGATTGCATAAAATACGCAGTTGCAGTTCTCCTACAGAGATGGCCATCAGTGAGCGAGCCCTATTGTACTACTTTGGGCATGATCTCTGGACACATGGCTCACTCGTGATCATTGCTTCTGCCTAGAACCCATGAATAAACAAAGGGCGGGATAGCCTAGGCGGTACTGTGTTATGGAGTTTACAGGTTTAAATCCCGTTATTGTAATTTTTGTTCAATCATTTTATTGTGAAAAGGTACGAAAGTTGTATTAGATCTTTTTAACATTGATAGGAATATGGTGGTGCTATATCTCATTCAGTGACACTTCTATTCTAATGACTAATGACTCTCTTCTAATGACTTGGAGTTTGTAAAATCAAACTTATTGTAGTATTGATGTGAAGATTGAGTTCATGCTAGGTATGTTCACAGTCTAATCAAATTGACATTGAAATTGGCGAATATAAAAGACTAAAGGGCTTACGTGATATTCATTTTATTTTCAGTACCTCTTGTATTGCGAAACAGCTCTGATTCCAAAAATCCCTTGTGGATAAGATTTTATTCATCTGGCATTCTGCTCAATATGATCGCTGTTTCAGGTCATGCCACAAGCATCAACCCCAACGGCCACTTTGGCCTACGTGCCAGTGTGCTAGCCAGCAGCAGCAAGGATTTCCAGGCCTTGGCCGAGGCCACCAGGGAGCTGGCCTACGTGGACCTGGACCAGCTGGAGTGCGCCAAGCAGCGACTGTGTTTCTTCGCCAACGTGATGAACCTCATGCTGGCACATGCTTCCCTACACCACATTTATCAGCAGCTCATTTGCAAGGTGAGGGTTTTTTTAATTCCTGGTCAGCTGGTCAGTAGTTGTTTTACTTTGTATTTTTTTTGTTTTTACTTCATGATGAATCAATAAAATTAAACAATTTTGGACAGTTATGGTAGTAGTAGTGGGCAGGGCACTTTGAGGGTGGAATGGGTGGCTAGTGTGTAAAGGGCTCGCCTCTCACCACTGTGGCCCGAGTTCGATTCCCGGCTAGGACCACATGTGAGTAGAGTTGCTCATTGGTTCTCTCCTGTGCCACAAGGGGTTTTTTTTCTGGGTTCTCTGGTTTTCCTCCCTCTGCAAAAAAAAATGAACACTTTCAATCTCTGGTTGTGCTTCGTGGTCAGACATGGATCATATACAGTGTGACCCAAGTAATGCAACCCTGCAACATTTGCCTTTTTTCAAAAACGTGATCTGTGAATTTCTATGTTTTGGATATCAGACTAAAGCTGAGATTTTTTTCTTTCGAATACTGAAAAAAATCATGAAAATAGTTGCTGAGAAAATGCCAATTATGTAAAAGAAGTGATTTTTGCATCCTTTCCAAATGTGCTTCAAGCAGTCACATATGTTGCTGTGCGCCCACTGTAATTTCTGTAATATTTTGACATATTTATGATGCTGAAAAGGTTTAAAATTGGTTATTTCCATCAATTCATTTGCACTCTTGTCATATTATGTGCCGTGCTGTTTGTAAGGATTAGGACATAATGCGCTACATGCATTTCATGCACAAATAGGTACAGTGTAAATTCCTTAACTGTGGTAATGCCATTGGAAGGGACCAAAAAGGAGTTGTGTTACATAATTGTCATTTTCCCACAGCAACCCAATGTGCTGTTTTCATGATTTGTTCAGTATTTGAAAGAAAAAACTCCCAGCTTTAATCTGATATGTATCCAAAACATAAAACTTCATAGATCTTGTTTTTGAAAAAAAAGGCAAATGTTTCAGGGTTACTTTTTTGGGGGGTCACCCTGTTTATGGCGCCTTTACATGCCTTCGGCCAGACCACGTTGTAGCCGCGTCCTTCGCAATTCAGTTTCTCGGCTGCGAGTAAGGATGATTATTCCCCCAAATTTCAGGATACTTGGTTTTTTTTACTCTACACATGTCAAGTTTTTATTACCTTAGCTGTGTTGTAGGTTTTGTATAAATTGTATTGTTGGGATTGTAGATATGTTGAAATACAGAATCATCCACTGGGGTAAATTATATTTCATTTGCACAAGGTTTACAGGCCCTTTTTTTTTTTCTATCACACCTGATATAGACAAACCCGGGCACGTGATCACTGTACACTTCCCTTCAATGGAGAAACCATTGTGCACTCTGTTGTACACAGCAAGTGCGCCTTGACAGATTATCTGAACAATAACTAGCACAGTGCTTTCGCCATTGAAGGGGGCCTTCATAATAGAATGAATAGCCTGCCTGCAATGGTCTCATAGATGATAAGACAAATTTTGTTTTGGTGTAAATAATAAAAAGTGCTTCCGAATACATTGATGTTTGTCTGGTACTGCACAATGAAAGACAGGTATAAATTAATGCAAGATAATGTAATAAGGCAGTACGTGTACATCAACTGTAAGTTTAAAAGTGACTTTGTTTTCAGGATGAAAGCTTGATAGCTCACTGTATTCTTTTCCCGCTATCATTCCATAGGATGTCACGTTACCCTGCTCCGGCCACACAAGACACAGCTCCCTGACGGAGCGACTGCACCTTGAAGATGTTGTCACCCTCCCGGGCACCAGTAGTCGTCAGATCATCGAACGTATCGCCTACCTCAACAAGATGGCCTACCGCATCGGACAGCTTGGTGTTGTCAGGTAAAAATCATCTCAGATGTACTCTTTTTTAGTCTTCTTTTCTTTTCTTTTTTAGTTTTCACCCTGACAAATTAAGTGGGGGAGTGGGGTCTAGTGGTTAGGATTTGTGACTCGTGATCAGAGGGTCAGGGGTTCGAATCCAGCTGTTGGCCATGTGTTGTATCCTTGGGCACTGGATACAAATGGGTACCGGCATTTACTGGGGAGTAACCCGCCATGGACTAGCATCCCATCCAGGGGGAATAGAAACATCGGTCGTTTCATGCTACTGAAACCAAAAATTGACTTGTGATTGACTTTCGTTTTGACTTGTGATTCGACTCTTGATTGACTTTTGGAATTGACTTGTGATTGGCCTATGAATTGACTTGTGGCTGGCCTTTGAATTGACTTGTGAGTGGCCTATAAATTGACTTGTGAGTGGCCTATGAATTGACTTGTGAGTGGCCTATAAATTGACTTCTGATTGGCCTATGAATTGACTTGTGAGTGGCCTATGAATTGACTCGTGATTGGCCTATGACTTGATTTGTGGTTGGCCTATGACTTGACTCCTGAGTGACCTACGAATTGACCTTCGACTGAGCTATGATTTCACTTCTGATCTGACAGCAATTCCATTTATTGACGTTTTTATTTCACAGTGCTTTTGAGCTTCGTTACATCATCCTTCGGCCAGGACTTCACCCTCCGTCATGCTTCAATCACATACTCCTACACAGACTTCACGGTAAGTTTGTAAACAAACTACAGCAAGACAATTCTATTCATTTGTTTCCATCAATTAAAAAAAAAATGATCGATAAATCAAATTCATGTCTTGGGTTTCAATGCTTTTTTCCACTTAACCCTGCGAGCTGCAAAGCGTAAAAACTTACGCCGCGTAGCTGAGGTGCTCACGCGTGAGGCAGTTTTGATTTCGCGTATAAAATACTATTTTGTGGACACAATCCTTTCTCTAATGGTCTAAATATTATGAATGCAGGTCCCCCGAACCCACACAAGATTGAATCACCTCCAGTAGGTCACTCACAGACATTGTGGCTGCACAGTCATGTACATATACACTGCATGCACTGTGACCATTACATGTTGGATCGACCATTACATGTTGGATCGACCATTACATGTTGGATCCCCCCCCAAAAAGATGTGGCTCTAGACAGCTGTCACTGGGCCAGCAGTAGAGGATGATTGTGACCAGTGGCGTCACCAGACTTTTCAGTCTGGGGGGGCACAGGGGGGGGGGGGGCACCAGCATTTGATGGGGGGGGGGGCACTTAGGTGGATACGGATGGCCGTCCTGGGGGAGGGGTCTAAGGGGAGGGGGTGCCCCCCTCCCCTTTGGAAAATTTTCGCATACGGAGGATGGGCTAGATGCAAAATGGTGCCACATTTGATGCTAAATTCGATCTGAAGATATCTCCAGAAATTGCTATTTTTGAGGTAATGATTTTAACAACGCGCAGAATTTTGCAGAGGATAGGGGGGCACCAGCATTTGATGGGGGGGGGCACTCGGGGGGGCACTAGGTTTTCCAGGGGGGGCACGTGCCCCCCCTGGCCCCCCCTTGGCGACGCCACTGATTGTGACATATTGTTGTGACGGCGGTATGTGAAACACAGAGAACTGTTTTTGTGCACAAGTGAATGGGCTTTGGCTGGAGGCCCAACTTTCCCAGGGGCGGCTGACCCCCAAGTGAACTCCTACAAGAAAAGCGACCATACCATCTCAAACCACAAGGTTCACTTTAGGAATACATGTAGTTTCAAGGGAATTGGGCGATAGCTTCATAAAAAAAGTTAAGAAACAAAAAAAAGTGCCTAGCGCGTGAGCCCCTGCGCAGCCGGCAGGGTTAAAGGGATGTTTCTCCCATCAAAAGTAACAGCATGCAGCTTTCATCTTGCTTCAGATCTCTAATGTCCCACTTTTTGTTGCCAGTATTGTGACCTTTAATACACTTTCACGTAATCACTCTCTGAGAAAGAAAGCATGAAGGAGTGCATCCAGAATTTCAGAATTATACATGTCAGATGTAAGAGGGACAGAAAAAAATGTGGACCCCAACTTTATAGAAATGACCCACAGAAGTAGAACTACTACAGGTATAACATCAATAAGATAGAACTTTAAAATATTCTAGAAGTATTACTTTCAGTGGTCAGTGACACTCAACAAAGATTGTTACTAATACATCGAGACCACATACATAGTGACATTAGTACTTTAGTCAAACTTCTAAACCATTAAATATTATTTGAAGATAAATGAAGTGATTTTACAGTTATCATCACAAAGAGCTAAAACTAAAAGTACCACCATCATCTTATTATCCAACAAGTACGTTGCATCAATATTAAATACATGGATTTGTTCAGCTAATGTGGCACATATGGATGCTACTCCATATAGAACTTGATCGAGTGGTAGTGAAAAAAAAAAATCTTTTAGACGGATTAAAAGGTTATTATCACAATTTCTAAGAAAGATTGTAAGTATTCATGCAAAATTAACAAAACAAATATGTTAAGTGCATGGAATTTCATAACCCATGTACATATATTTAAAACTTCATATGTGATAACTGTGACAACAATAACTTTTGTGCTGCCTATTACATTTTGTTGATGGCAAACATATAATCAAGACACCTTGAAGTCCTGATTTGTGATAGACTTGTGATAGACTCGACTACAATTCTACCTAAAAGAATTACTGAGTGTTTTGCACCATTCCAGCCTTTACAACTATCCTTTAAAAATGTCATTAATCTCATTAATTTCATGTAATTGCAGGTGATTGCAAAACCTGCATAAACATGTATTAGAACAGTTTTATCATTTTAAGAAATTATTTCACATTCTCTTAATAGGCCATGGGCCAAAATGTGTATCAGGTCTAGAAGTTGAGGTTCGTCTTAACTTTCTGGTGTCAACTTGCAGTAAGGTCAACTTTACTAATTCGATAGTGCTGAATCTGAATCTGGTCGTTCACATTGGCCCAAATTGCACATTAACATTATGGTCAAAAATAGTGTTTTTGCCATAACTTCTATGTTTTAAGTTCATCTGCTTTCAAACTTGACACTAAATAAATAGGAAGTCGGCATGAATAATGTAAGTTATAAATAAACGCATGACACAGTGCTGAAATTTGTGAAAGTTTTTTTTTTGGAAGAATCAATCCTTTCAAACATGAACATGATGAAGTTTTGACATGGCATTTTTAGTAAGGATTTATATTAAGTGTACGTACTTCTGTCATTGCTTTACAACACAAAACAATCACAAGTCTTCAGTTTCAAGTTAATAAGTGACAAAGAGGTGTTTTTTTGGGGGGGGGGCCATAAAACGGGGCTTCCGAATCCATATAGAAAAAGCATCGCGCAGTCTTGGAAAAAAATGTGTACATGTGACGCAACATGTAGGAGATAACGCGCGAGCGCATATAGGGCGTGCAGTCTACGCGCGCGGTAAGCTCTGAATAGCCAGTAAGAATCGCCATTTAAGCATTCCCCATAGCCAGACAGCCAGGGGTTAATGGAGGAATGCCCACATGCCATGGAGGCGAGACTGATCGCCCTCAAAGTTACATTGGGGAAACAGTCCCCTCTATTTCTAATTTGTGCAAACGATGTGGTGTGCACATTATAAAATATCAATATATGTGTTCCAAACTGCTTATTACTGAGAAATGAAGTTGCCACTAAAAAGTTAAGACGAGATTGCACGGATTACTGGCTTTGGCCCACAGTTTGAACCACATTAACTCTTACAAGTGATTCACCATCACAATTTCTCACAGTAAATTATTTAATTTGCTTCTGAAGGGAAAAAGAGGTGTTTTGTTTTTTGTCCGGCATTTGAGTTTTTTAAGTTGTGTTGAAGTGTGTACACTACTTGCAACATTTGTACCACGATACCAGAAGATTGAATGTCACTCGACGAATTTCCCCATTCCTGAGGTAGTAGATGACAACGTTTACCCAACTATTTGTCAGCACGGGTAGCACAAACAGAAAGAGGGTCGCCATTTCACTGTAATAAAGTTCTGATATGACGAATATGATGGGCAGAAGATTGAACACAAGTGCACTCAATAAAATGAGCAGCATGGTGTGTACAGTCTTGGTAGCAGGCCTCGCGAGTCGGTTTCCCTGTCCAGCAGGCTGGTTGTCGACGTGAATGCGGCGTGCATGCTGGCGGGAAATCAGGAAAAGTCTGGTGTAAACGACCGCAATTGTCAGCATACAGCTTAGTAAAATGATCGTGTAGATAACTTGCAAGTAGATGAAGGAACCCTCATCATCAGAGTGGAAAATGCACCCCAGTGCATAGTAACTGTACAAGGTTTGCCAACCGCTGACAAAACCATGCCCTGTCACGATGCACAAGACAACTGCCCATGCAGCACAGGCCGTGATTCGGGCTCGCTTAACCGTCACTAAGGAATGATAACGGAGCGCATATTCCACAGAAATGTACCTATCTACAGATAGCAAGAGCAGCGAAACAAGGGATCCTAGAGTACATGATGAATACAGAAAGGACTGCATACCACACAGTGCATCCCCAAACGGCCAGTCCCCATTAATTACCGAAGGTATCATTGGGATGGCCCCGAAAATCCCCACCCCCAAATCAGCGGCCGTCATGGAGCGGAGAAACACTTTGGTGGTGTCTTGGACCGTGTCGTGGACATGACTCAGAGCCAGGAGACAAAGTGGGTTCAGTGTTAGGAGTAGAGCAGTTTCTGTGATGACAAGGATGAGGATAATAACATTAGTAATTAGGTACCAGTAATCGCTGGTCCCATCAGTTTCCGGCTCCATGGATGCATTGAATAGAGAGGCATTGTAAAAACCCAATTCCATCGTCGTTTGCGTTGAAGTTACTGCAGTCATCATGGATACAGACTACAACAAGAAATCACAATGACTCCGAAGTTGTCTCCAACCAGAGATGCAAATTGTTTAAAGTCTGAATTTCAAAGCTAGGATTTTCTTTTGTACAGATGAATGTCAGAGTGTGCTGAGACAACAAAATAAGTACAACAAAAATTGGAGATGTGAACAAGTCTCATCAGACTTGATGCCAAATTCAAGATACAATTTGGTTTACATCGAGAGTTGACGACCGCTCTACAACCGCAGTGGTGAACATCTCAAGTTCAGCGTTAGCAGTGCATGTATCATGCTATACACTGTGATTTTGTGACCAAAAAAGGGGCGTGGCTTCTGTCTCATAACTGTGTGTGCAATTACTGCTGAATCTGAGGATTAATCAATAATTGTATTGTTAAGGTCTCTTATTGGATCCTGTAGACTCTAAACTGTCAGCTTATGGTGACAAGTAAGATTCAAGCCAATATGATGTCCGTCACCTAATGAAGTGTAGATTAAAAAGTCATGTTTATACCACGTCAGATTTGTTGCTTTAGTTGCATGCTGTCATCACTTGATGCTAACTTTTATTTGGAGGATGCAAGCACACGACCTGTCACTGCGTGTGTCTCACTCGATATACGCGTGGGCTGGAAATTGTTGACTATAAAACACAAGTGACAGTCATTACATTGCAGATGATGCGGTTGAAAGACAAGCCTTTGATTTAGAAATGTCCCTTCATTTGCTTTTTGTCTTGCCCGAATGCAGTTCAGGAAAGAGACCATGCAATCACTATGTCTATCCGTATGTAAAGTGGTCTCCTTTAAAAAGTCGAAGTCCAATTGGAACCAAACTTGGGTCATTGATGCAACATGGCATCCTTTGTATGATAACGATGTCAAAGGTTACATACCAAGGTCAAAGGTCATCTGAGGTCAAGTAGCAAAATAGGCTTAAACTTTAAGATTGGTCTCATTTGAAAAGTTGATTTCCAATTGGAGCCAATTTTGGGTCATTGATGCAACATGGCAACCATCATATGATAGTGATGTCAAGGGTCAGATACCAGGGTCAAAGGTCATCTGAGTCAAGTTGTAAAATAGGCTGAACATTTGAAAAGTTCAAGTCCAATTGGAGCCAAACTTGGGTAATAGATGCAACATGCTAACATTCATATGATACTGATGTCAAAGGTCACATACCAAGGTCAAAGG